GTCTGCACACACCCCGGGCTGCTCTCTGTGGTCCTCGGTCTGTAGCTTTCTCTGCTGACCCACGGGATCTTCTTTTTCCTTATTCTTTGCTTCCCCTCCCTCGCTTCTTTTCTCCCGCCTCAGCCTCTGAGTATCGGGGACCCAGGTGTGGGCCCCTCCCCGCCTCGCCCTTGCCCCTCACCACCTGCTCCTCCCTGGACTCCCACCCTCTGGCCCCCCTCCACCTTCCTGAAGCCTCTTCCCTCCGCACAGAGCTGCCGTTTTGGTCCCGTGGACTTGGCAGGTGTCCCTGGAACCTTTCCTGGAGTCTCAGCGCGGTCTCTTTGAGTCTCATATCTCTGTTGCAGACACAGGTCACCTCCTGGCCGTCCTCTTCCTGGTGGTGTCGGAATGTTCAGTCCAGCTTCCTTCTGCCTGTCGTCAGCCGAGTAAATTCCATTTCCCTTTGGTACTGGGGGTCGAACCTGGGGCCTTCGCGCTGAGCCGCGTCTCCAGCTCCCTTCCAGTTTGAGACAGGGGCTCCCTGAGTTGTCCAGGCCGAGCTTGCACGTGGTCTCCAGCTACACCATCTCTGAGAGTGCTCGGGTCCTGGGCAGGGCCACCACAGTGGCTTCTGTTCTTAGTCTATTTCAGTTATGTCAAACTGTCATCGGCTTCAAACAGAATAAAGCTGGGTGTGGTGGCGCACACTTGTAATCTCACCATTTGGAGGCTGAGGCAGGAGGGCTGCTGTGTGTGCAGAGCCAGCCTGGACTGCATAGCCAGAGCTTGTCTCACATGAAATATTTAAATGCATGGAAGAGTATAAAGGAAAATGCAGCAGGTACCACTCTATGGATGCCTCAGGGTTTGTTCATGCTGTTTGTGGGACAGAACCCAGGGGCCATGCATGTGGGCAGGCGCTTCCCTGCCTAGCCGTACTCCCAGTCCTGAAGCTCAGCTTCTTGACTCTTAGTTTAAAAGTCCTCGGAATTGCCGGTGTTGGTGTGCTCTTGTTTTTTTTGAAATAGGGTCTTGGTCTGTAGTCCAGGTTAGCCTTGGACTTACTGGGTGGCCCAGGCTGGCCTCGAACCCATGGCATTCCTCCTGCCTCAGCCTCCTAAGCACTGGAAACCATGCAATAAATATTTGACTTTCCATGTCTGACGGACTTCACTTGGTGTGATGGTGTCTGGTTCCATCCATTTCTGCAGGCCACATGACTGCTTCCTTTTCATGGCCGAGTTGTTTACCAGCGTGTTTATGTGGCCAGGCCTTGAGGCTGCTCCCCGAGTGTAGCTGCTGTGAATTAGCCTGCCATAAACGTGGATCGCCATGGTCCATATCTTCAGATCTTTCCAAATGCACCCAGGGGTGACTCAGCCGGATCCAACAGAACAGGGTTTTTAGCAGCTAACATTCCTCAGGGTAGCTATAATTTATGTGATCATTTCTAATTTCTAGATGTTTACTTTTTTTGCAGTTTTTACCCAAAATAAGTAACAGTGGCAACTTTCTTTTCTTTCCCTTTCTTTTTGAGACAGAATCTCTGTGTAGCTCAGGCTGGCCTTGAACTGGCAATCTTCCTGCCTCAGCCTCCTGGGTACCTGGATTACAGGTGTGCACCACCGCACCTGACTAGAAGGAGTTTTTTTTTTTTAATGGTTGGAAACTGCGAACCATTCTAAGGCTCGTGAATGGTGCAGGGTTGCTTTTGGGAGGGCTGCACGCCCTGCTCCCGCAGTATTGGAAAGCTGGGTTCCCTCTGCCTGCTCAGCACTCTGAATTGTTGCTAATGTGCTGGATGAAGAGTGGTAGCGGGTGGGAGCTTGTTTCCACCCTGCATGAGCCATGTCCTTGGACTCTGTGCTCTTCTTGGTTTTGTCTGGTGTATTTTCCTTTTCTCTGTGTGAGGCTTTAGTGCTTTCCTTCCTTTTCCTTTTTGCTAGTACTGAGGGTTGAGCCCAGGGACATTCTTCACCTGAGTGGCTTCCCAAACCCCCTCCCCGTTTTGTCTTTCTGAGACAGGGTCTCACTATGCCGTTCAGATTGCCTTGGGCTCACTGTGTAGCCCAGGCTGGCCTCGAACTTGCAACGATCCTCCTGCCTCAGCCTTTGGAGTGCTGAAGTTACAGGTGTGTGCCGCCAGGCCCGGCCCAAAATAAAATACACCTTATCACTTGTCTAAATAGAAAATCATTCTCATTTACCACACGTAAAAAAGTAATCTTAAAAATAAACACAGTGAAAACAAAACCAATCTTACTAAATTTTAAACCAGATCTTGTTGCTCACAAATAGCTTGATCCTGCAGCTGCCCTCGTTTGGTTAAGAAAAAAAGAAATAGGGGCTGGGGATTTAGCTCAGCGGCATAAGTACCTGCCTTGCAAGCAGGCAGTTGTGAGTTCGATCCCCGGTACCGATAAAAATGAAAAAAAGAAAAAAGAAAAAAAGAAATAGAGAGTCTTAAAGACATCGTGGCACCAAACTCACCGTCAGGCTACCAGAAGACTTTAACATCATTTTAAAAAACTGTTTTAGCCGGGGATTTAGCTCAACGGCATGAGCGCCTGCCTGGCAAGTGCGAGGTCGTGAGTTTGGTCCCTGGTACCAAAAAAAAAAAAAAACCCCCTTTGGGGTCAGCACCATCCCCACCCTGAGCCAGCAGCTGCCAGGGCCCAGGGTTGCACAGTGAAGCCAGCAGGAGTGGCTGGAACAGTGGGTCCTGCCACACTAGAAGCCCAGCTCAGAGCAGCTCACACTAGGAGCCCGGCCATCACAGCTCACGCTCTGCCTGCCGTCCAGAGCAGTCCCCACTCCCCTTAGCACCTACCTTCCTGTGTTGAGGTCCACCCTGCCCCTGCTCTCCCCCTGGCTAAGATGCACAGAGACCCTGTGCCTGTCTCCAAGACACTCCGTGGAGAGGTACCCTCCTCTCCCCGCAGCTGTTCCTGCTCCCAGCTCCCTTCCTCTCCACCCAATCCAGAGAAAGGGCTCTGGTCTTGAGCCTCCAATCCCACTGCTGGGAACCCACAGGGAGGGGACAGCCTGGGCACCAGGAGACTTCTGTGTCCTGCCTGGCCACCCTTCCCAATGCATCGCATACTCCTGGCTTGTGCAGCTTCTCCTGCCCTGCTTTAATTGGTTCCTGGTGCATTTCTCCTCCGTAAAGAGGACAGTGCTGTGCCATGGAGGAACCTACAGGGCCCTGCGCAGCACAGAACTGGTGAAGAACAGGTTAAGTCAGGTTGCAGCAGGACGAGGGGCCAGAGCCCCTGGACTCCCAGTCATCCTCGTCTCTCCTGGGGGCTGCTGTGGGGCGGCAGGGGTGGGATGGAGGCCGAAATGCAGGCAAAGGCTCCTTCTGGGCCCTCGCTGGCCCCTGGCCCAGGGCCTTTCCTGGAAATGCCTGGGATGGAAAGGCTGCTGAGGGAGGGGAGCCAGGCCAAGGCCCAGATGCGCCCTACTCCTGGACATGGGGATAGGCAGAGCACCCCAGGTGCCCACCTACCTTTGTGCCTCAGAACCAGCTTGTTAAAGAGATTGACATCAGGTCCCGCCCTGGCCTGAGGCTCTCACTTCGGGGAAGCTCGGTGAGGAGGTGCAGGTGGACCCCCTGTAAGACACCAGTGGCCCCAGGAAGCCTAGAGACTGAGGCCTACACTCAGCTGAGTCCTCTAAGCACCAACACCCCTCGGAAGTCCCCTGGGACTCATTGTGGCACAGCCTGAGCTGGCTGAGCTGGGCACACAGCCCCACTTGGGAGCCCAGTACTAGCGTATCAGGGGAGCCAGCCAGGCCTCCAGGAGCACCCTGCCTGCAGGGGGGCAGCCCTGGGGCTCTGGCGGGCCTCTGCTTGGGGTCCTGGTGGCAGCGGGAGGGGGTTCTCACCGTGTTCCTACTCCTGCTACTGATCCAACTTGCGTTCCTTGACACTGCGCAGCTTGGCCTTGCTGATGCCCCTGCCCGGTGCATGGACTCCAGCAGGGTGGCCCGGCTGCTGAGGGCCCACCACCTCCTTGGGAACCCCTGGGCAGGTGCTGGGAGGGTGGAATTGTGAGGAGCAGAGCGTGGCCTTCCAGGCCCGTGCCAAGTCAGCGCATCTCCCCATTTCCCACCCCAATTGGGTGCTGCCGTACAGCATGGACCTGGGAATCACTGACGCACCCTCCAGGAGCCCATGGGCCAGCGGAGACTTCTGTGCCCCTTCTGGAGGATGCACGGAGGCTGGGAGGCGCAATATTAAAACCCAGGTTCTCAAGTCAAAACAAGAACAACAAGAGTATTTTAGCCAGGTGCAACATCACACGCCTGTAATCCAGGCTACTCGTGCGGTTGAGGCAGGAGCATTGCAAGTTCAAAGCTAGCCAGGCTGTTTTAGCAAGAGCATGTCCCTAAAATAAAAAGTACTGGGGCCGATGCTCATCCTGGGTACAACTTCTAGTACTGGAAAGAAAAAAGGAATGTGTTTGACTTGGCTCTTAAACCCACATCTGTGAACTACCTGAAATTGTTCCCTTTTCTCGTGGGTTGTGGCAGGTGATGTTGCCATGTTGCGGCTGCTCTGAAATCTGTGCATGAACACAGAGAGGTTTATCACTTCCTTGTACTTTGCATCCTGAATGGATGGAGTGGGGTGGAGCGGGCCCTGTCCCCTCAAGTCCCTCAGACACCCAGACTGAAGGGGCCCCAATTCCCACACCTACTGGTCACCACCACAGAGTCGGGTCCTGGAGGAGCCACCCCGTTTCCTCCTCTGGCCTGGCAGTGGGCACGTACGTCCCTTCCCAGCACATGGGCCCAAACGCCCCGGCCTGAGGGAGGGGCTGGGCGTGCAGAGGTGCACCCGGGATGTGTGGGGACGTGGTCTGTGCTACCTCTGTGTGTGGTCTGGATGCTGCGGGAGGAAGGTAAGGACCGGTGTGGGGTGGTTTATTATGTTGTTGTTGTGGAATGGCTTACTGGCTGAGGCGGTCAGACGTGCCCAGTCATCCTGTATAACGGTTTCTCCTTTCTCCAAGTTTCATTAAAGAACGGTCCAAGGCGAACACAGTTCCTCTGAAGAGTAAGAAGGCCTCCAGCTTTCACGAGTTTGCCCGGAACACCAGCGACGCTTGGGACATTGGCGATGACGAGGAAGAGGACTTTTCCTCACCTTCTTTCCAAACTCTGAACTCAAAAGTTGCCTTGGCAACTGCAGCCCAGGTCCTGGAAAACCACAGCAAGCTCCGAGTAAAGCCCGAACGGTCCCAGTCCACGACGTCCGAAGTCCCCGCCAGCTACAAGGTCATCAAGTCCAGCAGCGATGCCCAGCTCTCCAGAAACTCCAGTAAGTCCCCTGTGCCCCGCAGCCTCAGCTCCCAGCCAAGGCAGTTCCCTCTAGGACACCACCCAGCTTGCCTCGGGGTGACAGAAAGCAAGTTTAAGCCTGAGGTGTGAAATCTGTGAGCCCAACTGGTCACCAGCTGTCCTGACCTCTCATGGTGACTGCCGCCGCCTCCTCTTCCTGGAGCCTTTGTGTTTAGACGATCGGCAGCCCTAGGAGTGTTGGCAAAAGCCTTTTTAAAGCTTTAGCTCTTGGTGGCTGGATTTCCTAAGTCACACACTGGAAGTGGTCCTTTCCCCACTACCTCGGGGGAGTTCCGAGTGCTAGAAGGCACAGGCCATCTGCACACCAGGAGGCCAGAGCTGGCAGGCCAGGCCTGTCTCCCTTTTTAGGAAACTGGCCTTGGTGACTGGCTGGAGTGGTGGCGGATTTGTTAGAAGTGTGGGGACTTTCACGGAGTCTCTTAAGTTTCCTGGGCTGTGTGAGGATGCCCTGCAGGGTTCTGTGGAAGCCAGATATTCTCAGCAGGGGAGGAAAGTGCTGTGGTCCTAGCGAAAGTGAAAGTTCAAACGCCTGGCTGTGATGGATGAGAAGGAGGTCACACTTCAGGGGCCCGAGTGTGTCCCGGTTCTGGTTCCAGTTCCAAGGGAATTTCTTGAATAGCTGCAGGCTGAGCCCGTGGACCACAGTCCGGTGGCAAGGTTTCTATAGTCACCCCGAAGTCACCTTCCCTCCCTGCTTCTGGCGCCAGCCTGAGCATCAGTGCCCTGCCCAGAGAGACAGCCGCTGTCGTTAGCTGGTGGCCCCTACTCTAGGCTGTGGGCGATGTCAGCACCCCAGAATTAGGGGTTTACCCCCAGAGGTTCCCTGCACGAGGAAGTCTGCCTTCATGTAGCCAGGACCCCCAGCGTGGCCCCCGTACGGGCTGTGCGTGCCGCTGGAGGCTGAGGTGCCTGTCTGTCCCAGCTCTGCAGTGTGGGGGCCACACTCTCTAGGCCTGCGGCTGTGACTGCAGGTGGCCTGGTGATCACCTCCGAGGAGCATTTTTCTGAGCTGCCGTGGGTTGGTGATCACTGGTTTTCCTGTGAGCAGTACTTTTTTTTTTTTGTCGTTTTCTTTTTCTTTTTTTATTGGTATCGGGGATCGAACTCACGACTGCCTGCTTGCAAGGCAGCCGCTTATGCCGCTGAGCTAAACCCCCAGCTCTGTGAGCAGTACTTTTTAAGGTTGAGATACGCGAACTATGGTGTGATCATGAAAGAACAGCCCCGGTTAAAAACTGAATTTTAACGTAAATAAGGGCTTTGAAATCAGGCAAACCTAAGGCGTCATCTCAGCTGTCCCTTAGAATTACTGTCCTTCGTCTGGCTGCAGTCTCCTCGCGTGTGAAGTGGGTTTACATTGAGTGTGTGTTTCGAGGACCGTAGGAGAGGTCCTGGGTGAAGTGACCCACATGGTGCCTTACGTGTGGCTGGCAGGCACTTGGTGCGTGTTCGTCCTCCGCTGCTGCTCCCCCGCTCACCGGCTTTAGAAGAGTCCTGAGCCATCCGAGGAGCTAGGCCAGAGCACCTTTCCCTGTTACTTGGGTCCCTTTGGGCGGTGAGCAGTGTGGGTATGAGGAGCTGCAGTCCCCATGGTGGGGAGGGGTCCCTCCTCTGGTGGCTCCGGGCCAGGTTAGAGCTGTGTGGGACTGTTGGTAGCCCAGCCTTGGGGCAGCCAGGCGGGCCCAGGCTTGTGGAGAGCAGCCTGCTCCTAGGTCCTGAAGGGGGTCCCTGGTGTGCCGTAGGGCTCAGAAGTCCCTGCAGTCTGGGCACCTGAGATGCCACCAACAGGTTTCACCTTGCTGACCCGCCCTGGCTCCTCAGATGGTGCACAGGGGCTCTGCAGCAGGATTTGGGACAGCCGGGGCTGAGGTTCCCACCCATGCTCGCCCTCCAGCCGTCCTCTCTCTTCTCCGACTGCTCTCAGGTGACACATGCCTGAGGAACCCACTCCACAAACAGCAGTCACTCCCTCTGCGACCCATCATCCCCCTCGTCGCCCGGATCTCGGACCAGAATGCTTCCGGAGCACCCCCCATGACAGTGCGGGAGAAAACGCGCCTGGAAAAGTTCCGCCAGCTTCTATCTAGCCACAACACCGACCTCGGTGAGTCCAGGCTCGCTGGGAGCTTGGCGACTGGACCGCGCAGGGGCCTGGACGCTAGCGCGCTGTCCTTTCCCTTCTTTACCCTTCTAGCCTCTCCTGATCGGGTGCCCGGGGCGGTGACGCGCAGGTATTAAGGCAGAGGATGTCGCTAGAGATTAGGGACCAGGTTAGAGGAGACTGATTTCTGGGGCCCGTAGACCATAGTGCAGCTCCTCTGGCTTCGGTCTCCCGGCGCAGGGGGATTCTTCCCGAGTCTGCTCCCGGCCCCTCACGCTGCTCTCCAAGCTGCCTGGGTGCCACTGCAGGGTGTGGTTTGGGCTCGGCTGTGCGGGGCTGCCGTGAGGCTGTCCCTGGGCCTGGCGGTGGTGGTGCAGTGGTGGCGGTGGCCCTGTGTGATGGTAGGTTTGTGTCTTGTGTCTGGGCCCTGTTCGAGGATCTAACCGCACCAGGCCGTTTTCTGTTTGCAGATGAGCTGAGGAAGTGCAGCTGGCCGGGGGTGCCCAGGGAGGTCCGGCCCGTGACCTGGAGACTCCTGTCGGTGAGTTTCGCCCACCAGAGGCCATGCAGCCTGTGCAGGCTCTCGTTCCACAGGCCACTCTACCCTGTTGTACGTGACAGCTGGACTGCCCTCGGCCTCTGTGCAGAGCTTCCCCACCAGGTCACTCCGGGAGTGCAGGGTGAGCCACTCTCCCTGTTCCAGTCTCAGCCTTCTTAACAGCCAGGAGGCAGAGCAGAGCGAGGCAGGGTGACCCTAGCACTCCCTGACTGTCACTTCTTTCTCAGGAGTAGCCAGGTGGCTCGAACCCACTTTGCAGCTGGGAAGACTGATAAAGTGACCCCCCGGGGGCCTGGCTGTGACTCAGGCCCAGGCCCCTCCTACTGGGTGCATCTGCCCTGCCTGGAGGAGTGTGTGGTGCTGTTCCGTGCACATGGCCCTAGGAGTCGCCTGGCATCCTCTGCCCACTGTGGATCGCACTGAGTGAGGGGAGGGCAGACATCGGGTGCCAGGACCCAGGAGGGATTCACCATCCTTGGGGCATCTTTTCCCACTTTGAGAGTTTCCAAGCCGATGCTCAGGCTGAAATCAGGCTGAGGACCCACCTGCCAGCATCTGTCTGTAGCTGACACAGGCTTGTCTGCAGGGTTACCTCCCGGCAAACATGGAGAGGCGGAAGCTGACCCTGCAGCGGAAGCGGGAGGAGTATTTTGGCTTCATTGAGCAGTATTACGACTCTCGAAACGAGGAGCATCACCAGGACACCTATAGACAGGTACAGCCCCCGCTGGCCCTCTGCTCGTCTGTCACTTGGGTAAGGGGTCTCCCGGTAGCACCCCTGGTAGAAGTCTTACAGATCTCCAGGCTGTGCGTCAAGCTCAGGACCTTCCCAGGACCCCTCCCTCTCTGTTCCTTCAGCTGTGCTGGTCTCAGCCCTCTCAGATGGGAGAGGTTTTGCACACTGGTCAGTGGCAGTGGGTCTCAGCTTCACTGCCGAAACCAGCAGCCAGGACCATGACTCTGACAAACCCCACACAGAGACCACAGGAGAACGCAGGTGCCCACTGCCATTCAGAGTGTTCATGGCCTGCCTGCAGCTTCCTGTGTGCAGGGAACAGGGAGTCCTGGGCAGCGGGGTGTATGGGGGCAGCTGTCTCCAGCCAACCAGGAACTGCAGCAGCCTCTGCTGCCTGTGTCTTCAGGATGGCCGGGCTGGGCACAGGGAAGTCGCCAGAGCCAAACCAACAGCAGTGACATCTTGTCCCCTGGCCCAGCTCCTTTCTTCCCCATCCTGGCTGCACACACAGAGCCTCGGGTCCCCACCCTGGCACGTTTGCATAGCTGTCAGGCTCCTGTTCCTGGAGCGCTGATGGGTAGAAGTGGGAAGGAGAGGCTTGAGCCACGCCCGTCAGGAAGCGCAGCCTTGGGAGGCCGAGGCTGCGGGCACGTGGTCGGGAGAACCACCTCGCAGGTCACTCGGTGGTCTCTGTCCCCAGGAGTGGCTCGTGTGGCGGCTCCCTCGCTGTGGAGAATTGCTCTCACAGAAACCGGCAGTTCTGTGTCAGTTCTTTATAAAGATAAATCTTACTCTAATTGTTACTCCTGGATTCCCTCTCCTGGAGTAAACAGCCTGTCTGAAGAACGCCCCAGCAGTGTTGGTTTCAAACCTGGCCTTTCTTTTCCAGATTCACATTGACATTCCGAGGACGAACCCCCTCATTCCGCTGTTCCAGCAGCCGCTCGTGCAGGAGGTGAGGAATTGCTCAGCCTCCTCCGGGGCTTCTCCCGTGTCCCGGCGGCCTGTGTTAAAATGGTTCTCCCGTCATCCCCATTCAGAGTGACACCAGGAGAGGCTAAGGGTTTGCATGGTGCATCGAAGCTACCTGGTAACACCGAAGAACCCACATCTTAGAATTCCTGCTCCTGAGTTTTCTCTGATCTAACAAGCTGGAAGAAAGAAAAAAACCAACTGTGTTTAAATAAGCATAGTCGGCCGCAGATTTAGCTCAGTCTTAAGCCCCTGCCTCACAGGCACAAGGTTGTGAGTTCAGTCCCCATACCAAAAACAAACAGACAAACAAAAAACACATAGCCAGGTATGCCGGGACACATCTGTAATCCCAGCATTTGGGAAGCCCAGGCAGAAGGATCACCATGAGTTCAAGGCCAGCCTGGGCTGTACAGTGGTTCAAAGCTAACCTGAACTGTATACTGAGACCCTGTCTCAAAAACAAACAAACAAACTAAGTGAAATCAGCAGTGATATTTTGAGACATAACAGGTGAATTTAGGATGTGGAAGGGCTCGGGTCTCGCTTGTCTTCCGGTCTGAGCTGTGCCTGCAAACTCCAAGCGGTGGGCTTTGCGTGCCAGCCTTCAGGACGGTGCTGAGCGTTAGCGCTTTTTGAAGTGAGGGTTCAGGTCTCCTCGTGATCGAGGGGGTTGGTGTAAAACGCTCAGAAACACTGCTACTTGGCTTCGGATGACACTCATGCTTCTGTTTGATACAGTTGTCCCCCGACAGGAACCCTCCTGCCTACCAGTGCCATCGGGAAGGTTTTGAGGGCAGCTCCATGACTTTACCCAGAAGGTTCAGCTCCTAGGAGGCTTACGAGGCACCTGGGATCCTCTTCTTCATCCCCTTCAGCCTCCCCCGGCTCAGCCCGCTCGGTCCTCGCCGACCCTGCAGCTGTGCGGTGCTTAGCCTTCCCTTGTGAGTCCTCAGTCTCAGAGGCTTCTCCTAGCAGGGAACCGGATGGAAACTCGGGAAGGTTGAGCGTGCTTCTTTCCAGATGTTCTTCACTTGCTGGGTCACGGAGCGGGCCGCAGTCCTTCTAAGCAGGGTAGACATGGCCACAAAGGAGCAGAGCCCCAGCTGGATGTGGTGGCACACACCTGGCATCCCAGCCCTCCTGGAGGCTGAAGCAGGAGGGTTGCAAGTTCCAGCCCAGCCTGGAAAAATTAGCAGCTTAGCGAGATCCTGTCTCAGATATTTCAAAAATAAATCAGTAAAAAGGCTAAGGCTGGGGCTGGCGATTTAGCTCAGCGGCATAAGCACCTGCCTTGCAAGCAGGCGGTTGTGAGTTCGATCTCCGGTACCGATAAAAATGAAAAAGACAAAAAAAAAAAAAAAAAAAAAAAAGGCTAAAGCTGTAGCTAAGTGTGAAGGCAAACTTTCAGGGTTGTCCTGTGCAGCCTCCCTATAGGGCAGGTTACTCAGACCTCCCCTGTGCTTGCAGCCCAGATTCCTCCCTGTGGCTAGCTTGCACTCAGGGTGTCCTGGTTTGAGCAACCAGCAACTACGGGTATCCCCGGCCATGGCCATGGCCAGCATGGGTCCCCAGGGGCCTGTGTGGTCACAAAGGGGCTTTCATTGTGGACGTGAAGTCCTTAAAAATCCTTCACACAGACTGACCTGGAGGAGGGTTGGTTTGTTGCCTGCTTTTGTGGGGCTGGGCTGGAACTCAGGGCCTAGTATATGCTAGATGCTCGCTCAGCCACGAGCTACACCCAGGCCCCTGGAGGGGCCTCTGATCAGGGTGTCCAGATGGACATGGGCTGTGAGAGAGGCAGAGAAACCGCGGGGCGGGGAGGTGCTGACACATTCCAGAGCTGGGCGACTCTTGCTTGAACATTTTCAAGGAAGGGAGAGAGGCCGTCTAGCAGCAAGAGGGAAGTGTGTAAGAGGGCAGGAACCACACAGGAGCGTGCCCCGCTCCTCCCCGACCAGACATGGCAGAAAGGCCTGGTCCTCGGTGCCCGCAGAAGGGCTTCCTGGCTCTGACAGCTGACCGCAGACCCAGCTAGCTAGACACTGTGTGGGGTGCATAGGTGTTTACGTCCTTCCTAAATAGCCATCTCTAAGCCCCTTGGTCTCCCTGGGAGGCACTGCCTGCTTGGGGGGGCCTCTCTGACCTCACCCTGGAGCAGAGTGTGTGCTGTGGGGATCCCGTAGTTTCCTGTCCCCCCTGCACTGAGGCACTCTGTGTCCCTCTGAGGTGGTTCCCCAGCAAAGCCACCCTTCCTGTCAGGCCCATGGGACCGTGGTGCCAGGACGAAGCCAGGCAGTGGGCATCCTCGGATTGAGAGACTGCAGAGGAGGAGTTGAGAGTCCTAAGGAAAGCTGAGGGGATAACAGACATGATGGTGCACACCTGGAATCCTAGAATGTAGGAGACTGAGGCAGGAGAACTGCTATGAGTTCAAGACCAGCCTGAATTACAGAGCAAGACCCTGTCTCAAAAAAAGACAGACCTCACTGTCCCACTCACTGAATGGGACTGGGCAGGACTCTGTTAAGAGACTATGAGAGATCTGCCCTTTGTCCCCAACCTAGAGCCCTGGATTCTAGTGACCAATGGGCTTAACCCCAGAGACTTTCCCTCGGGCTGCGCTGGTTTCTGCCCCTCAGAGTCCTGGCTGTGGGAAGCCTGGGCTTTGGTTTCTCCAGGTTCCCGTATCCCGCAGAGGCCTGGGCCACAGCCAGCCGTACAAAGGGACTTCGGACTGTTCCTGTCAGGCTGCGGAGACCCGAATGCAGGTCTCCTCCTCCTCAGAAGGAAGCAAGGAGAGGGCGGACAGGAGGCTGTGGTCTCTTTAGACCCTTCCTCCTGGGCACAGGGGCTGGCTCAGCGGCTGCGGCCCCAGAGCGAGGCTTTGGCCCAGTCATTTGTGTCCCGGTCACCAGGTGCTGCAGAGATCAGTGAGCAGTGAGGAGTGTGCAGCACGCTAGTGTCAGAGACTCCGTGTTTATATTTTCCTCCATGCCACTGTATTTTAAAGTCGCCCTAAAAATCCCACCCCAGCCCTGGAGTAGACCGCGAAGTAGGTAAGTGGAGAAGGGAGTGTCTCCTGGAGATTAACGCCTGTGTCTTTCTCTCTTTCCTTGTCGTTTCCCTAGATCTTTGAGAGAATTCTGTTTATCTGGGCCATCCGCCACCCTGCCAGTGGGTACGTCCAGGGGATTAATGACCTGGTCACTCCGTTCTTTGTCGTCTTCCTCTCAGAATATGTGGGTAAGAAGCACGCGTACCAAGCCGAGCAGCTCTCTCTTCCCTGTCTGCCATCTGTGTGTCTGGTTTTCCCCAAGAGCGCAGCCAGTGGGGTCTGTCCTGCTGAATACGAGCGGACCTCGGCCCTGGAATGCAGGGCAGTGGCAGCCTGGGATTTCCCTCTGAGACACTCACATCTCACCTAAAAAGACCTGCTTTGTAAGAACGACCTGGTGCCGTGTTTATGTTCTGCCCTAGACAGATGGTTTGATGGCTTTAGTTGAAGTTATTTCAGGATTTTTTTCTTTTGGCCTTGTTTGAGGCAGGGTTTCACTCTATGGTTCAGGCTGGCCTTGAACTCACTTTTTAGTCCAAACTGGCCTCAAACTCACAGTGATCCTCGTGCCTCAGCTTCCCCAGTGCTGGGCTAAGGCCTGTGCCACCACACTCGGCTTCAGGATTATTTTGAATTTGTGTTGGACAGAGCAAGGGTCCACCATGAACACTAGCAGCTGAGGTTGTGCCCCAGGCCTGGATTTTGGAAGCAGACTGTAGAGGAGAGAAGCTGTGGGGAGGCCGGGGGATTGCTGAGGGTTGAAGGCTGGCCTGGACTATGCAGCGAGACCCAGACTCCAAAAAACACAAGCATAAATCAAACAGGGGAGGCGAGGGGAGGGGCCGGTGCTTATTCCGTCCCTGGCCCCACCGCTGCCCTCCCTCACCTGTCCCTGCTGGGTTTTCTCACTTGGAAACGTGGTTAATTCCATGGCTTTTGTTGGCGGCGAATTTTTTCCTCCTCCAGCATAAATTAAGCTGAGTCATGAAGCTGAGGGCTCTCTGCTTTCCTCTTTGGTTTCTTTAATCTCTTTCATCGGTCTCGGTTCAGCGCTTTGTGCCCTAGTTGGGGAGAGGTGCTCATGTGGGGTGTGTACACTGCCTGGACTCGAGGGACACATCCTGCTCAGGCCCTTATTTCACAGATGAGCTGCGAGCCTGCCCGCCACCTCCTCTTGGCAGACGGGCCAGGACTGGGCCTGTTTCTTTACACTCTGGGTGTGAGGGGTTGTTGGGGCTTTGGGAGGATTAAGTCCATCCTCTTCGGGTTTTCTGATGGAGCTCACAGGGAGGGCGTTTGGTCTTTGGTGCAGCAGACTTGAGATGTGAAGGCAACCGAATCCCAGCCTTTGTTTTATATAAGTAGCAGCAACCAGGGCAGAATTGGGAATAAAGGTCTAGGTGAACCTCAGCCCCTAAGCTAAGCGGCAAGGAAGACTGCTTAAAATTTAGCTTCCAAAAACAGGCAAAGAAAGCTTTTCCTAGAGGACTTCCTGTCCCCAACATCCACTTATGGACATGCACAACCAACTTTTAGGGGCAGCTTAATTCTACTGGTTAATTATATGAGAGTTTGTGGGGGGTTGGAGAGGCTTCTTGCAGTAGTATGGATCTTCTTGCTCTTCTTTTTTAGCACTGGGGGTTGAACCCAGGGCCTTTGCACATGCTGTGCATGCACTCTACCACTCAGCTGTGCCCACCACCTGGCAGCTTTGTCCCTCTAGTCCTAGCTGCTCAGGAGCTAAGCTGAAAGGGTCGTTTGCGCCTAAGCGCATGAGGCCAGTCTGGGCAACGTAATGAGACCCTGTCATTAAAACACAAATAAAAACAGCAGTATTCAGAGACATGCCAGGAGTGAAGGACTCACTGATGAATTCACAGCTGACGTGTACATGCTGGTACCCCACGTGGTGGCAGAGAGCCCTCAGCCGCTGGAGCTCTGGCTGGGGTTGGATGACTTGGCAGCTGCTGTTGATGTGTTGTGGCCAGCTTGCCCTCCTCCTGCACCCGCCTGTCTCATTTCCCCCCAGCCCCTTGGTGCCTTTCCGTGCTAGATCTGCTGGCTTTCTGGCCCCGCTGTGCGCTGGAGCCGCCCCAGCTGCTGAGCAGGAAGCCGCTGCTGCCCAGCAGCCTGGGCTGGGCCGGCACATGGTCCGCTGCTTCTTTATCTTTTTTTTTTTTTTGTCTTTCTGAGATGGGGTGTCACTATGCAGCTCAGGCCGGTCTTGAACTCACTTTGTACCCCAGACTGTTCTCAAACTCACAACGCTCCTCCTGCCTCAGCCTCCTGAGGGCTGAAATTACAGGCGTGTGCCTCCATGGCCGGCAATGGGCCACTTCCACAGTGGGTGTCACACACACGGTCTTCCAGCCTTCCTCAGCGGGATCCTGGGCCCATTCATTTTCCATGAAAACTTTAATTGTACCAAATTTCAGACGTGTAAAAACAGGCAAAGGATGGCATTCATGTCCTTACACCCTCAGCCCGCTTCAGGGGGCGGTCACGTTTCATGCACTCCTCTGTCTGTTCCCCGTGACGCATGCTTGCAAATTATTCTGGAGGAGATCTCAGTATCAAACATGGCGTTGGTTCAGTCATAATGTTTCCAGGTGTACCCTGGGTGACAGGGTGATGTGAGAAGCACAACCGTAATGCCGTGACCCCTCTACAAAGTAACTACAGCTCTGTAACAATCGAATACGCAGTCAGGGCCCGCCTTTTCCTAGTTCTTAAACCGTTATTCAACAGCATGTTTCAGTTGGTCCCCATCAGAGCCACGTATTGTGTAGTGGGTTGATAAATCTCTCTCAATCCATCTGTTCTCACCCACTTCTCTCTCCCTGAGAAGTCTGCAGCATGAACCCTGACTTCTGGTTTTCAGCCAAAGGCCTTAAGAGTACTGTTACCATGATTTGTAAGTCACTTTACTATTTGTAAAGTACTTTGATAAACCTACTTTCAGGGCCCCAAAATCTCTTTAAGGTAGAGGCATCAACCCAATTTCCAGGTGAGTGAGCCAAGGGTCAGCAGGGAATTGAGCTTCTGAGACTCGAATCCAGCTCCCCGCACCCCACATCTGTGCCCCCCCCCACACACACACACTGTCTGCTCCACAGCAGGAGGTGCGTTTCTCTCCTCCTCACCCTGATTCGCTGTTTTTCTTTGCTGTGTCCAGAAAAACAATGCAGCGATCCAGACCTCAGCATCTGGCTCGCTGTCATTTAAAGGTCATCCCAGCCATCCGGCCTGCCGATCCAGAGGTCCACTTGGTAACCCCAGCCCCTGTGCTGTGCTCCACACTGGGGCTTTCCTAGGTCTCTTCACCTCTTCTTCCGCAGAGGAGCGGGAGTGGCTTGCCGCACCCCGGCAGTTTACACGGGGCGGACTGTGACCGCGAATGTGGGCGCACGTTTCCTCCTGTTACTTGATTCAGCAAGAGCTGAATGTGTTGGTCTAGCTTGGTGTCACACCTAGAAAATAAACTATGGCTTATGTTTCAGGTCTCCTTTCCACGTGTGTAGTGAGGTTGTGTATCATTGTTCTTCCTTTCATGTGTGTGTTAGAGACAGAATCCAGGACCTTCGCACAGAGCTACGTTCCCACCCTTTTAAAACTTTTTTTGGAGACAGGAGCCTCCCTAAGACTCGGGGGGTCGGGCTGAGTGTGAACTTGTGACCCTGTCTCGGCCTCCCCGAGGCGGGATGACAGGTGTGCACTGCCGTGGTTGGCTGTATCATTTTCCTGTATGATTGTTTGTTTCTTTTTATGATCTGCTCTTTCAGTCCTCTGCCCTTTTTTTCCAATGAGTTCTTGGTCTGTCTTGTTCCCTGAGAGCTTTGGGTAAATTAGACACTTTTGTCCATTATCTGGTGTATATTAAAAATACTAAACTGGGGATATAGCTCAGAAGAATAAGCGCCTGCCTGGCAAGCATGAGGTCGTGAGTTCAGTTCCCAGCACCCTCCTCCAAAAAATCAGCTCTTATAAATGTTCCTCAAGTCGCATGAAGTTGCTAAGACTGCATTGTTTTTAACTCCCCAATGTGAGATTCAGCTTAATAATTTTCCCCAGGCTGTCCTTTGTCTCTTTAATTTGTTTTATTATGTCTTTTTCTGTAGACTAATTTTTTAAAAAATCCATTTTATTTCAAAGAAAAAAATAGAAAAAAAAGCAAAATTTCAGAACACATCAATCAGGGCAACAGTGGTACACACACTGTGCATTGTCATCCCCAGATCATTCACCCAGAGTACAAGACAGCTGCATTCAACTATTCAAGCAATACCAGCACAAATCTTTCTCTTCAAGGAACACCGAGAAATCAGTAATATAGGTATCTTAGCTATCTTTTTCTATACATATGTTGCTTTAGCTTCTCACACTATTGAGACAATACGATGTTTGTGCATGTGTGTCTGATTTATTTCACTAATGAATATGTCTCAAGTGTGTTATGTATGCACACCCGTGTGAGCATGTGTGTGTAAATCCAGGGCCAGTCATGCCCGTTTTTGGAAATGGGCTCTTCCTCCAGACAGACCGTGTTATTCCAGTATTCTGTGTATGTTATCACTGTGGCTGTGATAGAAACCCTCAGGACGCCATCTCCTCCCCTTGACCTGCAGGATGCAGTGCTGTCAGCTGCGGGTCTGGTGCGGCCCAGCCCTGGCTGGAAGCGAGCATAATCATCAAGTTCCTGCGTGAACTTTGTCCTCCCTGCCTGGCTGCCGCCCTTCCTCCCTGGGCCGGGTGAGCTCCTGTCTGCTCCCTCCGAGGGTTAAGGATCAGTGCTGGTCCTTCATAGCTCTCCTTTCCCTCATAGAAAGCTCTCAAGGCCTTCCAGGGAGACTTTAGAACCAAGACATTGTTACTGAGGTTGCAGCACATTTTTAGATGGGAGGAGTCAGTAAAAGCTTTATTGAGGCATAATTCACACCCCAACAGCCGCTCACTGGAAGGGCGCTGGCCAGTAGTTCTCCGTGTGCACTCCGAGTTAGCACCGTTGACCACTTCTGAAGGGGGGGGGTGTGTCTGGTGGGAGAGCGCTTGCCTAGCGTGTGTAAAGCCCAGGTTTGAGCCCCAGGCCTGGAAAGGAAGGAAGGAGGGAGGGAGGAGAGAGGAAGAGAAAAGCAGACAGGAAAGAGCAGAAGGAAACCGTGGGGTTCTTCAGCCATCACCCCAAGCCCCCATCCCTCTCCCAAGCCACCACTAGCCGTCTCTGGGTTTGCTTCTTCAAGATTCACCGTGTGGCAGGATGTTAATTCCCTTTTGCGGTATTGATGTCCCATGGCTTATTCATCTGTTCATCGATGGTGGATGTGAATGAAGGAGGCGTTCCCTATTTCACAGTGATCGAACCCGTCCTGGCCTCAGCAATCACTGCTTGGAGGAACCTGGCTGCAGTCCTCTGCCCCACCTCCAGGCCTTTCCTAGCCGAGACCCGGCTGCAGGCTTGCGGAGCGGAGCGGCTCTCGGCTCTCGTCTTGACTGTGCTTCTTCCCCTTTCTAATGGCTCCACTCGCAAAGGCAGCAGCTCTGCCGCGCTGCTGCAGGAGGCCGGGGACAGGGCATCTTGCCCCAGGACACAGGCCACCAGTCCTGTCATCCTGCCGCTCTGGGAGCAGCAATCCCATCTCACTGGCTGCAGCTGGGGCGCCTGCCTGGTGGAGCTGTGCTGGGTCCCTGTCCCCTCTCCTGTGTCATCACACAGCACCTGAGCTTGCTTTAGGCTCCGAGTCATGTTTGTTGTGAAATAGCTGAACTCAGGGAGACCCAGCAGCTTCCCCGCTTTGCTCTCTTGAGGGTTGAACCTGAGCGTCACACACGCTAGACAGGGCTCTGCCGCCCAGCCGCGTCCCCAGTCCTTTTTAGTTTTTACTTCGAGGCCCACACTTGCGATTCTCGGCCTCAGCTTCTCTCTGCTGGGGACACAGGTATGCACCACGCCTGGGTGGCAACTCCCTGGTAGAGAGGCCGTCTGTAGCTAGCTCTGCCCCCAAGCTGCTGCTTTGATGGCTGAAGCCAGCTTCTGTGAAAGCGCATTTCCAGCAAGTAAGCCAGCTGAGCAGGGTCTGGGGTACAGGGCTGGAGGGTCCCCACTGGAGACAGGAAGTCCCTGTATCACGGTCCCTGAGTCTGGGGTTCACCTCCCCATTCCGTGCCATCAGCAGCTCTTCCGTGGAGCTGCTCTGCCCTCGAGCTTTAGCTTCCATCCCCTCTGGCTACAGTGTCTGAGGTCCTAGCCTGTAGTCCCAGCTCCTTCGACCATTTGAGCCCAGGAATTCCAGGCCAGCCTAGAAAAACAAAAGACTTTGTATCAAGAAACTAAAACTTAAAATGAAACGTCCAAGTTCTCATCTTTGTGTGCAGGGACCTGCATGATCTACTCCCCCCTTTACCTCTCAAACTCGGGGATTTAAAATGCACATTTTATTTATTTATTTTGGTACTGAGGATTGAACTTACAACCTTGCACTTGCCAGGCAGGTGCTTATGCCACTGAGCTAAATCCCCAGGCCCTAAAATACACATTTTAAACCTCAAGCCTTGTGCTCCACCATCTCTTTATCCCCTGGGGAAATCCTCCCTGAGTCTCAGAAACCAAGGACTTAAGACTGCCCTCCCTCCTGGAGTCCTTCCTGAGACCTGCCCTCACCCCCACCATCCTGGCTGGACCCCGCTAGGGCCTGGCATTGGCGTCTGCAGCACCGTACCCACACCCTCTGCCTCTGCCACCAGCTTGTCATTCTGGAGGCCAGGGCTATTTCAGACTTCATTTGTTTTAGACAGTGTCTCACTCTGCAGGCCAGGCTATCCTCCTGCCTCAGCCTCCCAAGTGCTGGGATTACAGGCATAAACCAGCGCACCTGGCCTTATTTTAAACGTGGGCAGTGACAGAGAACCTTCTAGAGACGCGTGCCCAGAATGCTACCCCGAACCCACTAATTTACCACAAAGTGTCAAACTGCAATGAACCCTGAATACTGAAGTTTTAGTTTAGCAAAAATAACTCTGACATTAACATCTTTGGTCTTAGAAGAAAAATCAATACCACTTGTGCCATAAGTTAGTCACCACTGTCCTAGGGCCATCGTTTTGGGGTCCGCATTGGTGTTCCTCATCTGCTAAAGTGGGAAAACATTCTGGGCTAGTTTTGTGAGATCCTGTACTGAGGGGTCGGGGCTGCGCTGCCGGGCTGGGCCAGCAGAGGGCAGTGAGTGGCAGGCTTCCGCGGCCGCGAGGAGCCGAGCTCTCCTGCTGGGGAACCTGGGCAGTGAGTACCGCCCCTCGCTGAGCGGTGCAGGCCAGCCCCTTAACAGCTTCGCAGGCAACTCCGGGCACTGCGGTTTTGCCTGTAAACAGAGCCCAAAGCCCTGCTGCTGTTACCCACTCAAGGAAAATGAGAAGTTACAGCCCCCAGAAGACTACGCACAAGAATATTCACAGCGTGGGCTGGGGATTTAGCTCAGTGGCATAAGTGCCTGCCTGGCAAGTGTGTGGTCGTGAGTTCAATCCCGGTACCCATAAAAAACAAAAAGACCAAAAAAAAAAAAAAAAAAAAAAAAATTCACAGCGCCTTGAGTCACACAGTCAGAGACAGACCCGACACTTCCAACAGCAGTCCCCAGCACGGCACAGGGCTTAGCAGTGAAAGAAGCCAGTCCATACAGCCTCGTGGGAGAGCTGATGAGCAAAGGGTGCCAAGTGCCACCAAGAAGTACTGATGGGACCGGGAGTGGTGGCACACACCTGTAATCCCAGCTCTTGGGAGGCTGAGGCAGGAGAATCGCTGTGAGTTGAAGGCCAACCTAAACTACATAGCAGGACCCTGTCTCAAAAAATATTTTTTTTCCCAAAAAAAGTACTTACAGTATATATGAGTCCACTTACATGGACTCCAAGTCGAGGCAGAGCTAGTCTGTGGTGATAGAAATTGGAACAGAGAGGCCTTTGGCAGAGGACTGAGTTGGAGAAGATGTGAGGATTTGCTCTTAGGGTGACAGAGATGCTTGCACTGTGGATTGGGGCCTTTGGGTTTTTCACTGTAGCTGTAGATATGAAGGAGCATGCACTTTACAATATTTAAACAGAGGTTTAAATTCAAGGATAGAAGCAGGTCATAGATGGAAAAAGCCAGCAAAGTGTCTGCTAGGTCTGGAGCTCTGCTGTCTTAGCCTCTGCATAGCTGTGACACAGGAGCTGAGGCTGGGTATTTTGGAAATACCGCAGTCAGTCTTAAGCACTGCCCCATCCAGCACAGCCCAGGCAGGAGGTGAGGCGGTCAGCCCTGAGCAGAGGAGCCCAGCTGGTGGCATGGCCACCATGGCAGCAACCTGTCCTGCTGGGGGAGCAGGAATGCACTCCCCGGAAAAAAGCACCCACCACCACCAGGGAAGGAGCAGGACCAGCCCAGGCCCACACTGAGAGGTGACCTTGAGTGGAGTCTGCAGGGCTGGGGGAATCCTGCAGTTAATTTCTCACAGTGAACCCCACATTTTCAGGGTAGTCCTTGCCTGGGCACATCCTGCCCTGGCTGTTGGGCAGACTCCTCCTCTGCGTCCGTGGTCCCCCATAGCCGTTGCTCTCTCTGCATCTCTGGGCCTCTGCGTGGCAGCTGCCCTGCCTGTCCTGCACTGCCCTGGCAGAGGTGACATGGGACAGACTTCTCCAGTCATGGAGAGTTCCCGTTACTGTCTCAGGAGGAGGCTATTGCTGGGGTCCCAAGCCAGCACTAAGAGATGGACTTCCTTCCCAGCAGCTTCTGATTTTTGCTAAATGAAAGTAAAGGCAACACAGGAATCTCAGGAGAGTTAGTTTTCCCCAGGGTGTCATGACACATATACGCAGGACATCGCACGCCGGGCACCAGCACTCATTCCGAGACCACAGTCTCTATCCTGGGTTCTGGGCATTGTGTCCCAGAACCAGGGGTCCCACGGTCAGCTGCCTCTGCATCTCCTCCAGCAGCAGGATCCTTGGGGCCCTTGTGGGTCCCTTCTCAGCAACAGCCACAGAATAAAGCCCCCTCCCCTCAGGCTCACTCCCTTCTGTGGCAGGTGGCGTGGCCTTTGTGGGGTCGGCCGAGTGGCCCCGCATCCCCTGTGTGTGCTGAAGGTTGGCTGTGGTGCGTGGTCCTGGAGGTGCCAGGTGAGTGGTCACAGCAGCGTGTTTATGTAGCGCTGGAGCCGCTTCAGAGCTGTGCAGACGCCATCAGGCAGATTCCTTGACACCTTTCTTAAAACTTTGGGGGGGTTTTTGGTACCAGGAATCAAACTCAGGGCGTCACACTTGCTAGATAGGCACTGTGGCACCGAGCAACATCCCTGGCCAGAACTGTTTTTTCTGAATGAAACATTTAAGCTTTTGTGTTCTGAGGTTCTTTAGGTGTATGCCTAAAAGGATTTACTTTGTCGCCCAGGCTAGACTTGAACTCACAACCGTCCTCCTGCCTCAGTGTCTCAAGTGTTGGAATCACAGGTGTGCGGCCCTGTGCTTTAGCTTCCTTTTGTGACCACAAAGTATTTAGCAAGGTGTCTATCCTTAGGAGTCCAGTTCCTAGCGAAACAAGGGCAAGAGCTTTGGGGAGCCAAGAGGCCCCTGCCAGTGAGGCCTGAGCCGGGGCAGACAGGTAGTTCCTGTCAGTTTAGGCAGAACCAGCTCGTCCCGAGCCAGCAGGGAGCCTGGGAGGGGGCTGAGCTCAAGAGCCAGAGCCACCCTCAGGCACCTGTTAGCCGCCAGTCAAAGGCCTGGGCGCCTCGTGTCCAGGGTGGGCAGCTCAAGTTTTACAAAGAGCTTGATGTTCCCTCCTCTTACAGTGGCCACGCGGTGCCCTTTAAGATCCCACGGAGCGCCTGCTGCCACGCGCTGGTCAGGACAGCGCGAGGCCGGCCCGGCCTCCCGTCTGAGCTACAGCTGTGCTTTGGTTTCCTCCAGGGGACGTCAGTGACCCTGCTAAGCAGGCGGTGCTGCACGGAGCCCTCGGCGGGCGCTGGCCCCTCTAGTGCTGCCCTCAGCTCAAGGTTTTGACTGCGGGTGTGATGTTTGTCCCCTGGCAGGCGGGGACTCCCTCCCTGCTCCTGCCTGCTCTCCACTGTCACCAAGGCACACAGGTCCCCCACTGGAGGGCTCGGCACCTGGCCAGTGGCTGCCTCTGGACACCCTGCCCTGGGCTGGGACAGCTAATGGAGGCGCCCCTGTCCAGCTCAGTGCCCAGTGTCATTGGTCTGATTTTCATCCTGGGCACCAAAAAGTAGAAGTGGGAAGCTTTGAGAGGTGCCTGATGTTTTTCTTTGTTTTGTTCTGTTTTGGTACTGGAGATCGAACTCATGACCTTATGCTTGCCAAGCAGGCACTTGTGCCACTGAGCTAAATCCCCAGCCCCTAAGGCCTATTTTGGGACGGCAGGTCTGGCATTTAAGATTAGGTTTGGCTGCAAATAATAGAGATCTAAAATGTCAGCGGCTTACACAGGAGAGATCTGTATTTGCTCCTCATATGATAGAATGCTACTGGTAATGCCAGCTGACATTTACTCAGTGCCTGCTTTATGCCAGGCTTTCTTAGTATATTAACTTATTTAATCCTCACAGCAGCCTCTGAGCCGGCATGGGTGAGGCATCGGGGCCCAGAGGTAAAGCTGGTTCCCCAAAGTCACTCGGGGTGCCCAAGCCGGGGAGTGCCGATCAGTCCGGCAGACCACAGGCCAGCGGTGGGTAGCTGGCTCCCCATGGTCTTTGGAGCCCCAGGCATCTTGGGTCTGTGTGGTTCCCATCCTGCTGGTGTCTCCACTGCAGGCTCCCTGAACCATGGATCCCGGGTTGGAAGAGGCCGTTCCTAGCTGTGGCGCAGCCCTGGCCTCCCTGCCGAGCCGCGTGTGAGGCTTGTGTCCCCGTGGGCCTGGCCTCCTTCGTCCCCTCCCCACACAGAGGGGTGGGCACAGTGGCCTGGAAGCAGAAGGAAATGGAGACCCAGAGCCGGGCCTTCCATACAGCCTGGTATTAGTTAGTCTGGTTAATTATATCCACAGAGAGCCACACAGGACACACTGCCTGACACACGTTTAAACCAGGACAAGAAGGAAAACAAGATTTCTCTTCGTCTGTTTTTTTGAGCCAGGGTCTCTCTTCTCTATAGCCCTGGCTGGCCTCAAACTCACAGTAGTCCTCCTGCCTCAGCCTCCTGAGTGCTGGGATTGCAGGCCTGTGCCACCACGCCCGGCAGCAAAATGGACTTTTATCCATTATCTAAATTCTTCTTTAGTATTCTTTTCTTGGTGATAAAAGGCAAGTGCAGTCAACTGTGCCTTTATTCCCCCTAAAATAATGTGCATTTTGGAGGACTATAAAAATTATGCTTATTAGGGGCTGGGGATTTAGCTCAGTGGCATAAGTTCCTGCCTTGAAAGCAGGCAGTCGTGAGTTCGATCCCTGGTACTGATCAAAATGAAAAAACCAAAAAAAAAAAAAAAATTATGCTTATTGTTGAAATTCTGAAAAGTCCAGTAAAGCTTAAAGAAAATAAATTCTTCATCCTGCCACTGGGGAATGAAGCACTGTGAGCCTTGTGACATATTTTTCCTTCTATGTAAACACACGCACATATCCTGCATACAGTGGTCGGATGTCTGCCGTAAATAGTCCTGCGCTGGCCACTCTGCGCCTTGACTCTGACTTACCCGCCCCGGTCAGCTCCACATGAAGCAGTGACCATGAGCTGTGTGTCGGCCAGCACTGCCCATGTGTTAATTTCAAGCCGGACTTGAAGGGCATTCTCGGGGTCACAGCTTTCCTGATAAAGCACCTCACTATCCCCCCACCAAAGATCTGTGTCCTTGATGTTCGTATAAAGACAGCTTTGTAAGCAGAACACAAGTCCAAAAATTGTTGCGTGTTATCACCCAGAGGCCCTGCCATAGGTCTTCGTAGTGAGTCCCATAAACTAAAGGGCGGAATTTCAAATGCACCATGACGCCAGCACCAGGGACCACAGTGCCATCCTGCGTGCAAGCAGGGCTGTGGCCCGAAGGGGAAAGGCTGCCGGTTGTGCACACCCAGGGGCCACAAGGTCTCCTTGTGGCTTGGAGGGGCTGGCGGTGGCCATCTTCCAGGGCGAGGAGGGCCTGCTCCTCCTGTACCCCGCTGGGAAGGGAGCCACGCATGGTCTTTTCCTTCTTCTGGTTCTTTATGTCCTCCTTACCCAGATCCAGCCCAGACCTCTTGTTGCCTTCGAGATTTCCACGGGCAGCTAATGGAAGAGGCCCCTGGCTAAATAAGCTGGGGAGACGCAGGATAAAGAAAGTGAAGCCAATGTACTCTAGGCAGAGTCCTCTGGCTTGCCCAGGCCTTCTGTGCTGGGACCTTGGGGGGCTCCAGGATGGACCGTGTATGCTGTGTTGCGCCACCACGTTCGCCTGCAGAGCCCTTTCTCAGCTGATGTTCCGTAGGACCAGCGTTTTGCAGAGCCCATCCTAGGACATCTGCCTTGGCGGCTTACACCTGGAAGCATTCCAGGCCGGAGTCATCTTACCAGCCCTGAGGGCCCGGCCTGTAGTCCACCCTACCCCGGCAGCATCCCTTCCTCCCGGTGACCACTGTGTGCATGCAGTTGTGAGTGTGCTCGGCAGCTCACTGGATTTCTGACATCATGGTCCTTCCAGCCCATCTCCAGCACTGGGTAGAGCTCACTGCGTGTGAAGCTTGAATTCCTTTTCTGAAACTGAGTGAAGCAATGCAGAGCAAGGGGGCTGGGATTTAGCTCAGCGGCATAAGCGCCTGCCTTGTAAGCGCGCAGTCATGAGTTCGATCCCTGGTACCGATAAAAAAATAATTTAAAAATTAAAAAAAAAGAAATGCAGAGCAAGAGGCAGGAGCCCTGGATCCTCGGGGCTGGCGTGAGGAGCGCCTGTTGGGTTGAGCGAGGTCCTTGGGCACTTCCCTGGGACACCCTGGTACCCCCGACCTGGGGAGCAGAGGGACGGGCCCTCATGCCTCGGCATCAGGGCGGCCTGCTTCCACTGGCCAGCAGGACCCAGAGAAGACCCCGGACTCTGTCTCTTGTCGGGTTTTAGATGAGACCTCTGGACTTTCTCCCCCTTTTGTCTTCCAGAAGAGGACGTGGAGAACTTCGATGTGACCAACTTGTCCCAGGACATGCTGCGCAGCATCGAGGCGGACAGCTTCTGGTGCATGAGCAAGCTGCTGGACGGGATCCAGGTGGGCGCCCTGTGCTGCCCTGGGGGCTTGGGTCCTCACAGCCGTCCTGGGCCAGCAGACCCCACTCACTGCAGCACCTCCTCCGTGTACGGTCGCATTACAGTGTCTGAGAACCCCCAGGACTGGAGAGGTCCCCGTGCTGCGCTGGCGTGGTCATCATGGAAGGGCCCCTTCTTCCTACAGGGGGAGAGTTGTAGGTTTGCTTCCCACTGGGGGCTCCCTCAGGCTTTCCCCAGTCTGCCCTGTTCCCCAACACCCCATGGCCAGCTGTCAGTGCTGGCTTTGCAGAGGGAGACTCTGTACTTCCCAGAGTGTCCCAGTGAACCTGAGGGGCGGCTGCTTAGCGGTTTGGGGCCCCCACTCACTGGGCTTTGCGTCCTCGGCAGGATAACTACACCTTCGCACAGCCAGGGATCCAGAAGAAAGTCAAGGCGCTGGAAGAGCTCGTCAGCCGGATTGATGGTAGGTTCAGAGGAGCGGGTGCCTCCGGCGGTAGCCCGGTGTCCTGTGACTCAAGCCAGCAGCCCTGGGTCCCTCCCAGCTCCCTTTCCAGCCGTGACCCTCCCTGGGGCTCCCCACTGTTGTTAGGACGATGCGGAGAGGACACTGCAGTCACCGCAAGTCCTTTGCCCTCATTTCTGTCACCAAGCTCCCCTGTCCCCTCTGGCATCTCCGTCCTCTTCACTCAGGAGCTTTCTGGGTCCTCCTCTTGTTTTCTTGCTTTCTTGAAACACAGCCTCGCTATATAGTCAGGGCTGACCCAGCTTCACTGTGTAGCCCAGGATGGCCTCAACTCGTAGCAGTCCTCCTGCCTCAGCCTCGAGTGCTGGGATCACAGGCCTGTGCCGCTGTGCCTGGCTGGCCTCTAACTTGTGCCCCTCCTGCCTCAGCCTCCAGAGTCCTAGGGGAGGGGGTGCGCACTGCAGCTGGCTCCGTGGCCTTGGACACGTTGCCGGTAGGCTGACCTCCTCTGTCCTGCGGTGACAGAACTCTCAACTTCTAGGTGACACTGTCACCCGGGACTTGCTGACGCCTGGCAGGGTTCTGCCGCTCCCTGGAACCCCTGTGGACTGGGGGAGCAGGGGCGAGAGGGTCAGGAACCCTGCAGGAGTGCAGTCCCTGGGTCCTGCCCGCATTCCTGGGGTGACCAGCGAGGGCACTTAGACCAGGAGGAGCAGGCAGGTGCCCTGTTCGGGGTCCTGGGCACCATGGGCAGGAGCAGCTGCTCCAGCACTGCCTGCCCCACAGGCTGCCCCGGGACGCCCGCGTCGCCCTAGCCGAGCCTCTTCCTTCCCTGCACTCCCGCTCCTCCCAGGACGTAGCAGTCAGTCCGGCCTTGGTTGGTCCTTTGCGGTAGCTTCGCACTTGTTCCTGGCCTTGGTCACCTGGCCCACAGGTGCCCATTGCCCCCTGCCAAGGCGCTGAGTGACCCTCCTGGGTGGCCATCACTTTGGCTCCAGGGCACAGAGGCCGGCTGTGGGCTCTGCCTGATCCTTGTTTTTTTTTCTGCTCTTGCAAATATCTGAAAAATAAAAACCTAACACCCAAAACCTTTAGGCTAGTGGCTTTACAAAGCCCTCTACTGTTATTTGGCACTGTAGAAGTAAAACTCCCACTAGGAAGATGGAGGCAATGCAAGAAATGCACAGTAATTAGAAATCCCTTCTTTGCTGAAATTCTGCTCCTTAGAAATAAACACTGTTAAAGCCAGGCGTGGTGGTACACTCCTGTAACCTCAGCACTTGGCAGGCTAAGGCAGGAGAATTGTTTGCAAGTTCAAGACCAGCCTGGGCTACACAGTAAGCTCAAGGCCAGCCTGAACTGTATATAATGAGACCCTGTCCTAAAAGATGAAAAAATAAAAAAAGGAAATAAACACTGTCAACATTTTGCCTTTCAAGAGCTGCTCTGTGGGGCCTGGGAGAGTGCCTCCCCCACCGCGCTGGGGTTCCCAAGGTGCTGGATGGTTCCCGGCATCACAAAAGGAAAAAGAAAAAAGTCAAAGCCTAAAAACAGTGAAAAAAGAAAGCAAAGAGTCCTCCCAGCATCATTCCAAGTGCAGCAGGGGCCAGGATGTCCCCTCCGCACAGGCTTCGGTGTGATCCCTGCTGGCTGGCCATGGTCAGGGTCAGGGCGCTGGGGCGGGAGCACAGCCAGGTCCCCTCCCGGTTCTTTTCTGCGTGGCTCCTCCTCTGATGAGTACTAGGACCCCGCCTGCCTGCCTGAGGGGCTGGGCCAGGGCTGCTCGCAGCCCGGCGATGCCTGGTTGTTCCTGCTGTGGGCCGGGTCGAGCCCAGGCGCTGCCTTGGGGCCAACGCCCGTGCTGTTTCAGAGCAGGTGCACAGTCACTTCAGGAGGTACGAGGTGGAGTACCTGCAGTTCGCCTTCCGCTGGATGAACAACCTGCTCATGCGGGAGCTGCCGCTGCGCTGCACCATCCGCCTGTGGGACACCTACCAGGTACCGGTCTCCGCCACCCTCCTCGCATCCAGACAGGGCGAGCTTCCCACGTGAAGCTCGGGAGGGCGGAAGGGCGTCCTGCTGCTTCCCTGCCGGCTCCAGCCTCACTTCTCTCCCTCCAGTCCGAGCCAGAAGGCTTCTCCCACTTTCACCTCTACGTGTGCGCAGCCTTCCTGATCAAGTGGAGGAAGGAGATCCTGGATGAAGAGGACTTCCAGGTGAGGCCGGCTCTGCGGCCTGCAGGGTGGGCCAGGGCGGGGGTCAGACTGGCGCGGCCGCCCCTGGGGTCCGGTTGGGCAGGGGATGGGAAGGGTGCACAGGGGAGGCCACCCTGTGGGTTGGCAGGAAGTCCTGGGGCCCGGAGTTCCTGGAACAGAAAGGGACCTGGGGCCAAAGAGGCTGCAGCGCGGCCGGCGGGCAGGAGAGCTGTCGATCCTAGTGGGACGTCCCAAGCGCCTGCCATGCTGGGCAGGGGAGGCCAGGGGCAGGGGCTTTGTTCTTCCAAAGAACACTTGCTGGCATCAAGGGCACAGGGAACAGGAAACTGAAGAGAATGTTAGGCAGGGATGAGATTTTGTTTTGGGTCTTGAGGCAGCGTCTTGTTCCGTAGTTCAGAGTGGTCCTGAGCTCCCCTATCTCAGCCTTCCAAGTGCTGAGATGATCACAGGTGTGCACCACCATGCTCGGCTAGAATTATTTTATGAAGGAATTATTGGGTGGCAGGGAGGGGACAAACTGCAATTTCAAGTAAACTAGTCAGGAAAAGCTCCCCGTGGGTGACCCTGAAAGGAAGGCTTGGGGAGGCAGAGGCTGAGACCAGGCCAGTCTGGGGAGGGGAGGCTGTGGGTGGAGGGAGCTTCCACGTGAGGACCTGGGCCACCACCACGCCTCAGCTGCTCAAGGAATCACAGTGGCAGCACCGTGACCCAGTACAGTGATCCAGGGGAGGGACAGGAAGAGATGCGGTCAACAAGGCCTCAAGGTGCCAGGGACTGAACCCAGGGTGCTCACACACAGGCCGAGCCTTTCTTTAGAAAAACACCTTTGAGACAGGCTCTAAAGTTGCCCAGGCTGAGCTCAGACATGCAAGCCTCCTGCCTCAGCCTCCCAAAAGCTGGGATTATAGGCCACCATCCCCAGTGTATGGGCATACATTCCTTTTCAAAGCAAGAGAAAGAGAAAGAGGGCTGAATGTCTTTCTGAATTCTAGCTAACACCATAGATGTTGCCAAAAATGGCAACTCCGTGTGACCTGAGCAGTGCCACTCTGTACCTGGCAGGACATGGCAAAACAGTGGACGCCTGTTTGGTAGGTGACAGCAGACAGGCCCCAGCTCGCCCGCGGGGGGCTCTGGGGCTGGGAGCAGGGATGGCCCAGGGTAAATGAAGACAGGGCACTGGTGAGCTATCAGTTCTGTAACGGGTGGAGGAGGATGGAGACTGAACGGCAGGAGCCGGGCTCAGCAGGCCCTCCCTCATCAGCACCCTGCGGGAGGGCTTGGGCATGCACCTCCGCAGTCACAGGGTCTGGAACCGAGGACCGTCCTCAGGACTGCGGGCCCACGCTCAGAAAGCTGCCCTTCACCGTGCTGCCTGCCCCACTGGCCAGGGGTACACAGAGCACTGCTGGGCTCTCTGTTTGCTGGAGTGCGGAGCAGGCTGGGATCAGCTCGCCAGAAAGCTTGCTTTTCATTCATGACACGCAGAGGCAGGATAGAGCTTCGAAACGGGTCGCAGACAAGGGACGTCAGGGAAGACTTCCCAGCCCAGGGCAAGGTCAGGCCCTGCGGTCACGAGTGAGCTGTACGTGGGGATGAGGGGTGGACCTCGGGGTCTGCGCAGCCAGACACAGACGAGCTGCTGAGCGGCTGCTCCACAGTACTAACCACTGAGGCGCGGGCAAACACCTTGAGCCGGAGTCCACAACCACGGCTTCTGCGGGGACTTTGGGGTGCGCTGGTGGGGCACGGCCTAGCCACAGGCCCCGTCTTTACAGATCAGCTCTGACGAACCAGCAGAGGCTCGGAGGAAGCCCTGGGAACTGAAGCTTTTCTACCTAGGGCAGACTGGCACCAGCAGGGCACGTTTTCTGGACACGTAAAGGAACACAAGCAGCCCCAAGAGATCCCGCGGTCTGCTCGCAGAGGGCCTTGCCAGGCCCCCCGGGTGCCATGGCCCAGGAGAAATTCAAGAATTCAAGTCGGGCTCCGAAAGTTTGCAGGCAAGGACTTGGTGTGGAGAAGCAGCTATCGGGGGCAGGGAAAAGGTTTGCTACCCCCCACTCTCGCAGAGGTGCCTCCTCTGGCCGGGGAGTGCGTTTGCCGAGCTGCACACTTCACAGCCTCGAGAGCCACCTGTTGCAGAGATTCTGCACACAGACTCCGACCAGTGTTGTCCTGGTCCACCTCGAAGTTCCTCCGTCCACTCTGCCCTCCGTGCATCCCACGGTCGGATTGCCGGCCCTCACTGCTGTGTTCCTCCCAGCGGCCTCCCCTGTGACTGTATCTCTGACCTCCAGTCCCACTTATTTCTTGCCGGAGCAGGCATCAGGGTGCAGCTGTTCCGAACACGGCTCTCCAGCCAGCTGGCCATGTTCAGATCCCAGCCTCGCCCTTCTTGGCAGCCTCAAGCAAGCGCCCCCCCCCCGTGCCTCAGTTTCCTCATCTGTAAAATGGAGGAGGTGGTTCTGGGGAGTTGGGCCAGGGTTAAAGGCATCAGTGCACAGTCCGGGGAGGCGATTTGAGCCTGCCGTGGTGGTGAGCAGTGTCCCAGACATTTTCCAGTCTCTTCGCCAGCTGGGCCTCTCGAACCTTCCCCTCAAACCTTCCCCTCGTGGGCTCTGAGCTTGGTGCAGCTGTTGGCCCCTTACCTGGCTGTGAGCCCAGGGCTCAAACTCCCCCACAACCTCGCCTTGGCCTTCGCAGCGTGGCCTCCCAGCAGGATGTCTCCTGTGCTGCAGCCATCCGCTTCCCTCTCTGAAGGCAGGTGTCCCTCAATACTGAACCCTGCTCCCCAGTGCAGCCCCGCGAGAGCCAGCAGTCTCCTCCCCACCACCTGCTGACTGCATCCGAGCGAAACTGGCCTTGTAACCAGTCTTCAGTCGTGGTTCATCTTGGCGGCCTTTTCTCTACCCCTCGATGAGAGCTCCCCATTTGTGCCTAACACCTTTCTTCCCAGTTGTGGTTACTCAGTTCTCCATCTTTGCCGCCTTTTCCGTGTCTGCAGCAGTGAGCTGGGCGCCAGGGCTGGTGGGGAGCTGCAGTTCCCCAGCGTTACCACCAGGTGGCAGAGCGGCGCCTTGCAGCTCAGCCCCATTGCTGGGCCGGGACCGGAAGACTGCGAAGGCTGGGGTGGCGCGATTTGGGGGTTTCTTGGGGGTAGGAGAGTAAGTTGCTGGTGGCTGTCATCCCCGCGGAGTCTCGTACTCCGTCGTGGGTTGTTTTTGTCAGTTACACAAATGCAGGTGACCATCAAATTCCAATAAGAAAAAAACCCTGTGCACCTAAAATACTGTCGCACAGAGGGGCATAGTACCCACTGACTTTGTAAACTATTTTGATAACTGTACTATGTATATTTTTGAAACCAGTATTTTTTCTTAATTAAGTTTATTGGCACATCTTAGCTATACATAATGGTCTTGTTTATCATAGCTGTACATGACACTACTTGATTCTTTTTCCCCCATCTTCCTGCCTTCCCTTCAACCCCTTGTCCCCTCCTGATTTACAAAGCTTTGTTTCCATTTTTTCCTTCTTTTGTCATCATGTTTTGTCTTTTCTCTCCCTTCCTTTCCCCTCCCCGCTTCCTTATTCTTCTCATGTGAAGGTTTTCTTCCTACTGCACAGTATCTGTTACACATCTGGTCCTGATTGACACTTTTGGTTTCTCACACCAGAGAAACAGTGCAGTGTTTACACAGGTGTGTCCGATTTATTTCACTTAAGCGTGTGGGTTCAAGGTGGATTCATTTAGCTGGAAAGGTCTCAGGTTTATCCTTTATGGCTGAGTATCACTCCACTGTATTTAAAAAAAGAACACGTCTTTATCTGTTCACAGTTAATGAGCACTTAGGTTGCTTCCAAGATCTGGCTACTACAAACTGCTGCTGTTGTGAATTTATCAATGTGGTACGATGCTTTCAATTTTTTCGGTAGGCTGCCCAGGAGCGAAATAGCTGGGTCAAATGAAACCTCCAGTCCTAGTTTCTTCAGGAACCTCCACACTGACTTCCACAGTGGCTGCACCAGCCTGCACTCCCACCAACACTGGAGAAGGGTTCCTTTTCCCCACAGCCCCTCCAGCATTTGTTATTTGTAGATTTCTTGATGGCAGCCATTCTTTCTGGGGTGAGATGGAATCTCAGTGTTGTTTTAATTTGCATCTCTCGAATGACCAGTGATGCTGAATATGTTTTCAGACATTTGCCATTTCTACTTCTTCAGTGGAGCAGTGTCTCTTTCAGATGCCCACTTTTGGATTGGCTCTTTAAATTTGGGGGCATCTTTTTATATTCTAGTTAGTTAAACTTTGTCTGAGGAACAATTAGTAAACACTTTTTTCACACCCTGTGAGAATAAAATGAAGCAAAATGAAACAGAATAAAGCCTATCAGTACAAGACAGTGCAAGTGATGCAAGATTTCAAAACAAGATAAGAAATCAATACTGGTTACCATAATACCTCTTGCTGTCTGCAGAACAGCTGCCCATAGCATCAGACATAGTAAGATCAGACAAAACAGAGACAGAATGAAACCAATAAAAACAAAACAATGAATGCAATACAGGACTTCAAAAGAAGAGAATAGTAAATCCAAAATGACTACCATAATCTTGTTATCTTCAAAACAGCCACCCATGCCGTCAGATATAATAAAACCAGTAAGGTAAAACTCAACCAAACAAAACAATGTGACTGATACAGGATTTTGAAACAAGATAACAGGGAATTAACAATGACCACCACTGTCAGAAGGAGCTTCCCATAGACGCTACACTGCTATCCTCTGAATAGATGACAGATCACCGGCCTCAGGCCTGTGGCAATGAGGCACTAAACCCTACAGTGCCAGGGGGACCCAGTGCGGCTCCTGAGGTTCTTGGGGTTAAGGACATTCATTCCCCCGCTCCTCCCGAGGATGAGACAAAGCTGGGGTCAGGTGGAGCCCTCCTCCTCCTGATGGGAGTAAAGGAACTTCTCAGCCAGTGCAGAGTGTGTGTTTATACCCTCCAGGGAAGAGTATAAATTCCAGCCCCACTGCCTCGCAGCTTGTTTGCCTGGCAGGCCTGGGCCCCTGCCTTCTTGGTGCTAGAAAAACTTGTTCACCTAACTTGTTTTGAGCTGTTTTTTCTGGGCTGACCTTGCTTTAGCCCCCACATGCAGTCGATCTCCAGCTTCCAGGGCTCCCAACCCTCAGGGAGGGTTTTACCTCAGTAGCTGTCATCACAGCCTGTGTTTCTCCGGATCAGCCGGTTGCTCATGGGGTGGGGGTGGGGGTGGACGCTGGCTCTTCCGTCCCCAGCCCGCAGGCTGGAAAGGACTGGCATCCGGTTGTCCCCCCCTCGGGCTGCACAGGGCGCACCCTTAGCTGCTTGCTGACTCCTGGTCTCCTCCCCTGCAGCCCCGTCAGTTTCTTATCCTTTCATCTTGTTGGTGACCACTAATGTAGGTTACAGAATTGCACATAAACTGTTATAACTCGGGCCCCGGTATAAAATCCAAGGAAGCAAGAGTCCGAAAATTTAGGTAGCAAAGGCTTTATTTCCAGGCCTGGCGACGAGTCTCCGGGAGCCAATTTGGAGACCGTCCCCCAGAGACTGAAGGGAGGACTTTAAAAAGAGGCTGGAGGAAAAGAGCGGGGGGGGGGGGGACAAAGAAACCTGCAGAGCCATCAAACTTGTTGACCTGAGTCTGGAAACTATATTGCTGTCCACTTAGCTCTGACAATCTCGGGAGTTCCTGGTGTTTCTCAAATTACTCCCATCCTACAGACTGACATTATCTCAGAGTGACACATCTGCAGCAATATTTGGGGAAGAAAGTGGACAGTTAATTATCCCAGGACAGCTCGTTTTCACTAGTGGGTGTGAAGGGGTCAAGAGTTACAAGAAGCTGAAACTTAAGTTTTACAAAGATCTGATATCTAACTCATTTGATGCATACAGAACAAAAGGAAAGCACCGATTGGGGTTTGGGCCATAGTGTTTCCTGGTAATTTCTTTGAAGCTAAACAGTTCTTAAAATTGGGGCAGGCTCATTTTATGACAGATTATCACCAGGTCGGGAAGAGGTCACCAGAAACCCAAATTCTTTATGGCCTAGATAGATAGGTGAGGGGAGAGGGAGGCAATAAGGCGCCATACAGAACAGAAAACGGCGGTTATGTGTCAAGGTCAGGTAAAGGGTTAAACTCATACGCAAATCTCTGCACACAAGCAAGTTACTTTAAACAAGTGTAAATTAGTGGGCCATCCTAGTTTTCTTTAGCTCTTTAGCGGAGAATAGAGGTGCCTAAACAGTGATTAACAACCCTTGTTAGCTTGTTTTAGCACAACTTCTGTAGTTTGTAGAGGGCAACAATGGTTAACATATCAATTAGGTGAGATTCTTGCAATTCTTTACAGAGGAGAGTATTGCTCAACATATCAATTAGGTCACTTAACATATCAGTTAGGGAAAAAGGATAAAAAACACATTTAGTAAGCCACGTTGCAGGTTTGCTATAATACACAAAATAATGAAGGTATTTTCTTAGAGTACAACAAAACCTCCTAGCTTCTGGGGTTTGGGTCTTACAGTTCTTACTTTTATAATTGGAAAAATAAGAATATCCAATTTAGGAAGAAAGAGAAGGGGTCATGAGGCAGCAGCGCCAGCATGGAAAGCTGAGCTCCGGGGAGAACCTAAACGTTCACCCCCCGTTTTTATTCTAGTGTCTCCCTTCACAGGCAGCTTCTGGGGAGCTTTGGTTTGCTTGCTTTCGTTATTTGGGAAGGGACTTGCTCTGTGGTTCAGGCTGGCCCTCAACTCACTGTGACCCTCCTGCCTCAGCCTCCTGAGTGCTGGGATGGCTGGTGTGCACCACCACGCCTGGCGCCAGGCAGCTTTTTGAGGGGCCTGGATTTTGAAAGCTGAATAGGATTTAGCCAGGTGGAGGAGAAAAGAGAAAGTGTTCAGCATAAATTAAACCAGAGAGGTGCAGTTAAGGTGGCCCTGGCAGGGTGAGGTCAAGGGCAAACCCAGCGATGGCAGGAGAACAGCAGGACCAGCAGAAAAGGGTCCCTGCGAGACGGCTGCACGCTGCCGCTGCCTTTTCAGGACAGACTCAGGAGGAAGTGGGCAGCCGTGGGAAGAGCTGCCTGATGGCCCTCGAGCTTCTGGAGTCAGCATGTTAAGGCAGGGGGTCAACGTGAAAATGAGTAAAATTAGAATCATGGCTGTGACTTTAAAGGAACATACCTGCAGAGAAAGGCTGAAGAGTCAAAAGGAAGAGGGCTTGGCCCTGTGGTGCTCTGATCCCCGCACCCAGGAGGCTGAAGCAGGAAGATCAGGAGTTCAAGGCCAGCCTGGGCTACCTCAGAGAATGGGGGAGAAGAGAGAGGCAGAGCTGGTTGGTAATGATGTTCGATGTTCCTCTGTTGCAAATATATTGTCACCCTGTACAGGCTTTCTAAAGACAGCTGTTAGTGGCTCGGAGAATCAGCAGAGGCTTTTCAAGCTTCTGGTGGGAGCAGAGCCAGGAGCTGTATCCCCAGGAGGAGGGGCCCCTTCCCACCGGGGTCTCTGGCTCTGTGCAGTCTGGAAACCACAAAAGCCCTTTCTTGCATTCCAGGGACTCCTGATGCTGCTACAGAACCTACCCACGATCCACTGGGGCAACGAGGAGATCGGGCTGCTGCTGGCCGAGGCCTACAGACTCAAGTACATGTTTGCTGATGCCCCCAATCACTACCGCCGATAGGTGCTGTCTCCTGGGGGGCCGGGCTGCCCCTCTGCAGGGGTGACCTGAGCGCAAGCCACAGCCCCGCCAGGAATCACTCCTACTGTACAAAGCACCCCTGCCCCGGGCTTAGTGTCAGTATTCCAGGCTGTGTGCCTGGGCCCAGCTCCGGGAGGACAGAAAAAGAGGTACAGGGTGTCCCCTGCCCCTTGCAGGAAACTGGATGAGGAAGAGGCGGTGCAGGGTCCCCACTTGCGTCGACCCCACCACGAACTGCTTTTCTTACCTCCAGGCCCCGAGGGGTACACGTATGGTTGCATTTTTTTTTTTCTTTTTTCCTTTGAAACCAGAAAAACCACCGAGATGTCTCCTACGCCCGTGGTGTGGGGGTCAGGCTCTGCTCGAGTTGCTTTCTGTGATTCAGTCCTGTTGGAGTCCAGGTCAGATTTGCCTTATGTTTTCAGAAGCCCAGCCAGCCTCGGGGGATGCTGCGGCCATCCCGCGGGGCTGGACGGGCTCTGGGACGAGGCGGCACCCAAGGGCTAGGAATCTCCCTTCCCTGTCCTCCCCCTCCTCTGTGTGTGTGTGCGGTCAGTCTGCACAGGTCCTGGTGCCCATGTCCAGCCCAGCCTGGCCCCGTGTGACCAAGTGGACGAGCGTCCCTTGAGAAGGATCAGGGCAGGAGGGAGAAGGGCTCTCACCTCTCCGCACCCTTGCCCACGATGACCCACTCCAAGATATTATGTGTAAATTGTGTTATTATGTATATGGGTGAAGCTGTACAAATATACGTCCTCTTTGTAGCAGATCCGAGTTTATATTTATAACGCGCGACCCCGAGCGGACACAGTCCAGGCCCCTGTGTGGGTGCAGCTGCCGGCTCGGTCTCCAGGCGCCCTCCTGGCCTAAGCCCCAGTGCCAGGTTCTAGGGTCGCCCTTGGTGTCACAGGCACCGTCCTCGCCCTCCTGCTCTCCTCCCCAGGCAGGGCCCCCACCTTCCCTGGAGTCCCTGCACTGTGGAAGCTGTGGCCAGTTGGTCAGTGCCAAGGGCAGGGTTCCTGCATCCCTGGGGCCTGGGCTCTTCTCAGATGGCAGCTCGAGTGTCCCTTGCAGTCGCCGTCACACCCCTCAGAAGACGTGGGACCCATGTCTGGTTTTTGGTGGTGATGTGTGGGGACAGAGGCTCGCAACTGTCCCCCTTCTGGGGAGCCAGCATGTCCTCATGGGTGCCCCTGTGCCCCTGCCCACATGCATTAGGGATTTCTCCAGCACCCCCCAAAGCAAGTGGCCCCAGCCTCCTCAGCCAAACAGACCCCTGTGCTCCCAAGCGGTGGTTTTATTTTTTTAGTTTTTATGTTTGTAAGGGAAACTGTGGATAGAGTGAATGAACTGTAAATAAACAATGTATTTCCTCCCCGCCTGCCTGCTGATATTTCTCTCCTGGCTGTGAGCCGGCGTGTAACCTGAACCTGGGGTGTCCCCTCTTCTTGGGTTGGGCAGGGTGTAGCTTCTGACACCCCAGTGTGGAACCAGGCCTTCTGCAGGACCAGCAGGTGTCAGCTGGGGACCAGACCTTCTCGGAGGAGGGCGAGTGAGTGCCGAGCTCCTGCTCCGTGGAAGGAAGTGTGGAGACCACGGAACCGGGTCCACATGAGGTTTCTAATGGCCGGCAGCTGTGGGGCACCCTCATGCACCAAGAGTGACTGGTCCGTGTCTGGCAGAGGAGTGCGCAGAAAGATGGCCGAAAGCCCAGAGACAGCTGGCTTCACCCCGCCCTGTTCACGGACGAAACCCAAGGCCGAGGCAGGCTGCGGCAGGGCCGCCCCAAACTCTGCAGAACTGAGGAGGCTGAGGCAAGACGATCACACGTTTGAGCTCATCGGTGGCAACCTAGTGACCTAGAGCTTAGGCACTGGCCCGCCTTCACGCTCCTCAGCACAGCCTCTGGGGCTGTGGCTGCTGGCTTTTCTCTTATGCTGAGAAGTGGTGCGGGGAGACTATCGGGCTGCATCTGTGTCTACGGAGGATGGGGCCGGAATTGTTTCTCCACCGGGACACCTCCCTGGGACTCACTCAGAGTGTTTCTTGGTTTCCGTCTGGATTGAATTTGGCTCCATGTGACAGAAACAGAAGCCAGCGGCCACACAGGGTGGCACACACTGCTGCCTCACCAGAAGCACCTGATGGTGGGCAGCTCCGGGCTGACGTGGCCACGCAGCCCTCAGAAGGTGCCCTCAGAAGGAGGCTCTTCACCAGGCCCCCGGGTTAGAGTGTCCCGCGTGCCACACGCCGCTTCGATTTGTTTTTTGGCCCCTGCGGTGAGACCCTCGGTGCCTGCACGCTAGGCAGGGCTTCACCCCTGAGCTCAGCACAGGCTGGACTCCAGCTGCTTTGCCAGCCACTCTCAAGCAACAGGACTGATAAAAGAGGGCACAAAGCGGAAGGGGGAAGTGTGCCAGCTGCGTGGCAGGTGGTCCCGCAGCCTTCCCCACTGCGTTTCCTCAGCAGCACAGGGCAGAGCTCTGTCCTCGCAGGTCACACCAGGCTCCACGGGCAGCTGGGGCTTCGTGTATCCCAGGGAGCCGTCTGTCTGGCCAAAACCCAAGAGCGCGGTAGAGCGGAGGAACCCGGATGGATGGTCATCCCGACGTCAGGATTCCTGGGAGGGAACCTGCCTGGCACGCAGCCCACGCATGCTGCGCTCTGGAGACAGACTTTCCCGTGGCACTGGGGGGTCCAGGGACCCTTCACAGTCAACGTGAGGAGGTGGCTCCAGTCATCAAACGTGAGCCCTTCCTCCTACATGATTCTGTTTGGACTGGGTCATTCCGAGGGCTGAAGATCACCGAGCTACTCTTTATTTTAAAATACTATTTTTCAGCGAGGTGTGATGGAGCACAACTGTAATCCCAGCACTCAGGAGGCTGAGACAGGAGGATTGTTACGAGTTCAAGACCAGCTTGAGCTACACAGTGAGCTCAAGGCTAGCCTGAACTGCATAGTGAGACCCTGTGTCAAAAAGATAAACACATAAATAAATGAAATGCTATTTTTCATTTATGCAGAACAGCAACCCTCACTAAAATATGTCTGAGCATCACTATAATTGATGAAACCTCCCAAGCCGACCGTGCTACCCTGACTTGCAGCCTTTTGAGTGTTCCTGCCCTCTAAATCCCTCGTGCACTGCTCTCATAGGTCCTGGCTGTGTTTTGGTTCAGATGCGGTTGGACGGAGGTGAGGGGCACAGAGGAGCAGGAGCCTTGCCCGTGTCTAGAAGGGGCCTCCTTGGGCGGCATGCGGCCTGGCTTGGCCTCAGTGCATCCGGATCTGGGCCCTCCATGTCCCTCTTGGGGCTTCCAGCTCTTCCAGGTTGAAGAAAACAGAGTGTTGTGTCCAGAGCCATGAAATCTTCTGAACTGAGCTCATTGGCCTGGGGAGGTACGGCTGGCCCCCTGTGGGGACAGAACACAGCCTGTGCCCTGATTTTGGCAAAGGCTGAGTGGGTTCCTGTGGTCGGGAGCAGCCTGCGTAATGCACTGGCAGGGGTGAGTGGTGCTGTCCTGGGTTCTGTGAGCTGCTCACACACATGAGTGGAACCCGAGGAGCAGGCTGTGAGAAGCCGAGTTTACATCATTCTGTCTACAGCACACCTGGCGCTTGTGACGGGTGGCAGTTTTGGGGACTGAGCTCTCCACCCAGGGATCTGATGTTACCTCCATGTTCTGATGGCTTCGGAATCAAATGGAATTAGAGGACACCAGCTGGGGCCTGCTGCCAAATTGCTTGCTGGCTTGGTGTGGGGAAAATCCCACACGCATCTGGTGTCCAAAAGTGTTCTGTGCTGACGCTGAGTGTGGTGCAGTCCCTGCACTCGGAGGCTGAGGCAGGAGGATCGTTGAGAGGTTGAAGCGAGCTTGGGTTAAACAGTGAGTCAAAGGCAGCCTGAACTGCACAGTGAGACTCTGGCAAAAAAAGAAAAGAAAGATATCTGTGTTGCTTGCTGTCAGTGACAGTATTAGAGAAACGGAGTTGGTGGTGTTTTGATTTTTTCTAGATAGATGCATTTATCAGTTTGGGGTTCAGTCTGCCTGCCTGTCTGTTTCTGTCTCTGTCTCTTGGTCTGGTGGTGAGTTCACAAACGAGACTCAGATTAAACAGGCCAAATTGAGTAGTAATAACTAATACATATTAATAATGGAGCTCGATAGCCAGCCACAGCGTCCACTAACAATGGGTAGGCTCCAGCAACTGGCCCGGAAGAGAAGCTTGCCTTGCTGTTTAAGGCTTTTTAGCGTGGGTGAGGGGGTCTGCTGGTAAAATTTCATCAGAAACAGGTGGCCATTGTTTTTTTTTTTTTTTTTTTGCAATTTGTCTTCCAGAATGGGTTTACCTCAGTCTCCAGGGCAGTTTTCAAGACAGTTGTTTACTCAAAGACCTAGTTTCAGTGTGACCTAGTCTTGGCCAGACCCAACACAGTGGTGACTGCTAAGCAGACCAGTTTTATGGTGCTATGACACTTAACCTATACCAGTCTCTGTCTCTCAGCTCTTTGTCTCTGTCTCCGTCTCTGTCTGTCTCTCTCTTACCTGCTAACCATTATTCTACGCTGAGCTGCTCCCCAGTCCTCACCTGGCCTGCTGCTTTTGTGTTTTTGTTTTGCTGGACAGTCCTGGCTGGCCTTGAGCTCACTCACTGTGTAGCCCAGGCTGCCCTCGAAGGCCGTCCTCCTGTCTCAGCCTCCTGAATGCTGGGATTATGAGCATGTGCCACCATACCTGGCCTCACTGAATTTATTAAATCGGGAATTATTTTGTGTTTTACCCATTTTGAAAATATTTTTAAGCTACTCCAACCCCTCCCCCTTCCCAGGGACTCCAGTAGACACCTGCACACAAACACAGTTCATTACTTTTCCCCGGTGTGACCTACTGTATTACATTCCTTTGGTTTTCAATTGTTAAAAAACCATTACTCAGACTTACTCTGCATTTGAAAATCACGATTCCTGACACCTGAGGTGAGGCCATTCCTACCTGCATGAACTGAGGCACATCCAACAAGTCCTGAGTATCGGACAGACACTGCACCAGCGCCCCTGGCCCTGTAGCTCTTTGAGTGCAGACAGCCTGGCAGCACTGGGGACGCAGCTCAGTGGTAGGCACCTGCCTGCCTGCCGTCTCAGAGGCCCCGGGTTCTAGTCCAGCCAGGGAACAGAGAACTGCACCGTACCCTGGGCTTCAGAACTCAAGGTTGCCCCCGGGAGACTCACCCCTCATTCCTCTTCCTCCCCAGCAGAAGCCGATGGATTGAAGGAGATTTGTGGGGTTTTCTTTATAGTCCAATAATAGCTCAGAGTGATACAATTCAATGATAGATCATCCCATGCCTAAGTTTTACATCGAGTGCTTTATACTATGTATTACTTGAGAAATAAATAACCCGAAGCCGGCGCTTCCGGGAGAGGACGGCAGGCTCCTTCCCAGGCCCTGCCTTTCCCTCTGCTTCCGCCTTGCTCCCCTCCTTAACACATCAGGTGGGTACATCTGAGCTGGACACGTCACAGTAAGCTAAAGGATGCAGGTGCCTACACAGACTGAAAAGGACCAAGGTGGCTAGCTGACTTGTGGTTTTAAGTACTTCCAAATGTGCCCCTTAATTCCCCATCACAGGCACCCCCTTGAACATAATAAACCTGGTGACTCAAGCTGTGCCTCCACAATGCAATAAACATGATTCAGCTCTATGCTCAAAACCCTGTGTTTAGAAACAGTGTTTAATACATAGCCTGTCCAGGGGCTGGGGATTTAGCTCAGCAGCGTAAGCACCTGCTTTGCAAGCAGGTGGTCGTGAGTTTGATCCCCGGTACCCATAAAAAAAAAAAATACGTAGGCTGCCCAAACCAGATGGTCCCTTTGACCCTGCTTGTCTACTTCTGGTTTTCTATAACATTTTCATTTAAAAGACATCTTCCCCTGATCCCTTTAACATAGGGTCTTACACTTTGAAGGTGGAAAAGGAAGAATCATTAGTAGAATACAGGGGAAAAAAATTTAAAGTAATTATAGTCCCAGCTGTTCAGGAGGCTGAGGCAGGAGGATGATAAGTTTGAGACAAGCCTGGGCAACTCAGAGACCAATGTCAAAAAACTGAAAGAGGCCACGGGTGCAGCCGGGCGTGGTGGCTCACACCTGTAATCCCCGCACTAGGGAGGCTGAGGGAGGAGGATTGTTGCAAGTTGAAGACCAGCCTGGGCTACAAAGTGAGCGTAAGGACAACTTGAACTGCATAGCAAGACCCTGTCTCGAAAAAACAAAACAAAGAGGCCAAGGGTGTTGCTTTGTGGTGAAGCCCCTGGGGGCTCCATCTGCCCCGGCCCCCAACACACTCAGCCCTGATCACCCCAGAATCCAGCCTTTCTGCTCCCCCAGGTGCAACACCCCCAGCCTGGGTGCCCGCCTCTGCACCGTCCTCTCACCGTGGCCCTGGAAGCCAAAATGCAGCCCTGCAGTGAGAAGCTGGCTTGGGACCCGGGATGAGAGAATCTGAGGAGAAGCAGAGGTTTGCTTAAGCAGCAGCTCAGGCCCCTCCCTTCCTTTCTGCGCGAGTTCCCTGATGATGAAACCAGCTCCGTGTCACCTTCGCCTGAGCGGACCCTGGGAACCACATGGCTCACGTCAGCTGTCAGAGCTGCATCCCCAGCCGGGCCAACCCTTGCTTAAGGGGGTCCACTGGGCTGAATCTGCAAAGTCCACGTTGCCAGGACGTCCATTATAAAAAAGGTTAAAATTATGAAGTTTCCGTTTCACAACGTTACCAAAGTGGGGGAAGGCAGCTTCTGTCTCTTCGATAAGAGAGGTGTCATGGGGTGGGCTGGGGTAGCAGAGGGCTCCGTTGGTGGCTTTGGGTGCTTCCTGTGTACCAGCACTGCTGGCGTCCAAGAGTCCACGCTACTAACCCCTGTCCTGTGGCAGCCTGTTGTCCCCCCTGCCCCGCTCCTGGCATCTGGTACACAAAATGTCATGGGTTACTCCCATCCCTATCCCCACACCTCTCTCCAAGGAGACAGAAAGGAGACAGGAGAGAGGGACAGCTTTGGCAGAGTCATCTGAATTCATTAACTTGAGCTCTGAAGTTCCCCGGGACTCCTGTTCCTCCCCCATAGACCCTTGCAAAGCCACGGGATAAAAGCAGCTGGATTTCTTGAGCGGCTTCATAAAGCCTGCCCAGCAGATCCACAGGCAGATCCACCGGCAGATCCACAGCACACAAATTCAGCCAGTATTCTGCAGTGGTCTTTTCCTTGGCATTATCCTGAACCCCAGAGTGCGACAGCTGTTGGTGAAGTGTGCACATTGCATCAGGTGTCCGTCCCACATAATCTGGAGAACATTTAAAAGTGTGGGATGCAGATTCCCTTCCGCTGCATATGGAGGTCTCTAACAGGCCTAGATTGTTACAGCCGTGGAGTCCTGAACCAGCTCCCCCCCACACTAAGGGACAACTCACTTTAGGAGGTAAAGTGCTGTCTGACACTGCTGAGACTGGGGTTTATTTCTCCCAGCAGCTGGTACCACCCTAACTGCACGGAAAGGACACAGCCACCAACATCCCAGACTCCTGGTGTATGCCCAGCCCCTTCTGTCCCTGCTCCTCACGGCTGTGCGGCCACTGAGTCAGCTCGGAGGTCCTGTGCACAGGCACCCGGGGTCTCAGTGGGGAAGCATCGGATGCCCAGGTGTCAGCTGGAACGTCACTTATGGCTGTGGCCTCTTCCCATGCCTGGGCTGTCCCCTTCCCCAAGGCGACTGGGCTCCAGGAACGAGCATCCCTAAAAGATCCCAAGGAGGCCAGGCTTCAGGTGGAGTCACATGGGGGAGGGGGCGGACTCCATCCTCCGTGGTGACGTGCCGGGTGGCAGGGTTACAGGTCACATTGTGGAGCACTAGGGAAGCAGCCGCACTTCCTTCCTGGATTCCTGGCCTCCCTCTTCTTCTTCTCACCCTGTGCTTTCCCCTTCTCCTCTCCTTCCCCACTCCTCGGTCTCCCAGTCTGCTCTTCCTAATAGTTCTGTTCAAGTCACGTTAATGGAGCGTGTGCACGTTCACACTGTGACAGGTGCCAGCTCTGCAGACAGACAGCACTCTACTTCTCTGCACCCTGCACTTTCTTTCCCCTCTGCTTTTGTTTTTGTTTTTGTCTTGGTTTTGAGACAGTCTCACTATGTATCTGAAGCTGGCCTTGGACTCCAGATCCTCTCGCTTCAGCCTCCTGTGATTCCAGACTTGCACCACTGCACCCAGTTTAATTTCCTCTCTCTTTTTTTTTTTTTTTTTGTCTTTTTCATTTTTATCGGTACCAGGGATCGAACTCACGACCCCCTGCTTGCAAGGCAGGTGCTTATGCCACTGAGCTAAATCCCCAGCCCCATATTTTTTCTCTTTTTGAGACAGGGTCTCGCTGTGCAGTTCAGGCTGGCCTTGAGCTCACTTTGTAGCCCAGGCTGGTCTTGAAATTGCAATGATCCTCCTGCCTCAGCCTCCTGAGTGCTGGGATTACAGGCATGAGCCACCACATCCAGCTGGAAAGGTTTATTTTGGTTTCAGTTTGTGGAGGTTTCAATCCACCAGCCAGCCAGCTGGCTTTGAAGCAGGGCAGCACAGCACAGCAATGTGGCAGAGGGGACAGTCCATGGCAGGGCAGGCAAGAAGCAGCAAAGCTGTAGCAGCCACAAGCCTCCCTTTAGATTCTATCCAGGGTACATCACACCCAGGGGGGCTCTTCCTAATACCCACACCCCGAACTATGCTAAACCAATTAGTGACCTAATCCACTACCTAACACCCTAAATCCAGACACCTATGAGGACAGGAGGCTTTGGGGGACATGTAGTTCTCAGAGCTATCAGAGAGAAGCTCTCTGAGCTATCAGAGAGAATCATCTCATTTAGAAGCTATCACATCACACTGGAGAATCCAAAAGAAGTTGAGCTTTTTGTTTCTTTTTTTGGATCTTTTTAATTTGTAAAACAACAGCTTTACTGAGGATAATTTACCAGCCACCAATTCCACTTTTTGGAAGTGTACATTCCACTGACTTTTAGGAAGTTTATACAGCTGTGCAATCACCACCACAACCCACTTTTAGAACATTTCTGTTGCCCTCTCCCCAAATTCCTTCAAGCTGCTTGGCATTCAGTCCCTTCCTACTCCCAGCCCCAGGTAACCATGCTTCCGGTCTCTATAGATTCGGTTACTATAACTTCTTAACGTTTAGCAACAAAAGGAGTTGTGTAAAACTTATGTTACCTAGGAATTGACTGAACTCTTTCAATTTATCACGTTTAAAGTTATTTAAAAGTAGGTTGAGTGTGGCTTAGTGGTACAAACCTGCAATCCCAGCCCTGGGGAGGCTGAGGCAGGACTGCTGAGTTCAACACCAGCCTGGACTACATAGTGAGACCCTGTCTCAAAAATAAATAAATAGAAAACGAAAAAAGTGGGCTGTTCTTTTAGTACCAAGGATCGAACTCATGACTTGATGCTTGCCTGCAGGAGCCTGTGCCACTGAGCTAAATCCCTAGTCCCTTAGACTATGTTTTGTCGTTATCATCATCATGTGTCCATAAAACGAAAATTTTTAAAAAGACCAAGCCAGGTGTGGTTGCGCGTGCCTGTGACCCCAGCAAGGTGGCAGGCTGGGGGAGGATTATAAATTTGAGCTCAGCCTAGGCCATTTAACGACCTCCATGAAAAGTTATGGATGTAGCTCAGCCTGAAGGCCCTGGGTTTCATTCCCAGAAAGAAAGAAAAAAGGAAAGAGGGAGGGGGAAAGAAGGATGAGAAAAAATAGAGCAAAACTCGTGCTTCCCGGGGCAGCTGGGACCCGCAGCTGCGCTGGGGCGCGGCGGGCAAACTGTGGCCCGAGCACTGGAATCCCAGGCCACGCCCACTGACTCTTATTGCGCGCGGTTTTCCTGTTGCGCAGGCGCAGTACTGTGCTTTCCCCGCCCCCAGCCGCGTCGCTGGCATCTACGCTCTCATCGATGCTCGCCGGTGGCGATTATTCTTGCCTGTAGTTTAGCTATGGCGCTGTGGACCAGTGAGCTCCGGGGCGGCTGGACCCCGGTTCGGCGTCTCGCTCGTTGCTGACTGACCGTCAGTCACCCGGGGCCCGGGGGCCATGGGGGAGCCCGGTTGTCAGGACTCAGGAGACCCCGCCGCTGTCCGGAGCTGGTGCCTGCGGCGGGTGGGAATGGAGGCCGAGTGGCTGCCGCTGGAGGACGGGCGCGAAGTGAGGCGCGGGGTCCCGAGGGCGCGGCCTCGGCGGGTGGGCGGCGGGGCGGGTGGGGGCGGGCGTGGACGTGGACTCCGGGCCGGAGAGGGCTGAGGAGGGAGAGAGAAAGTGGAGTTCGGCCCGGCGCCCGCGGGGACGGCGGCAGGAGGAAGAAGATGGCTCCCCGGGCGGGGCCGGGCCGAGGGGCGGGGCCACGCGGGGAAACTGAGGCAGCCCCGCCGAGGCTGTCAAACTGCCACAGTTTGCTTTCAAGACGATTGCGAGTTCAGGGTCGTGACCCCTAACGTGTGTGAACTTCGATGTCCGAACGCCCTGCCCCTTTCCAGCTCTTCGAGGACGGTGGGCTCATTGGGTGATGGGTGTGGGGCCACCGAGTGACATCCGCGAGGTGGGACATAGGTGGCGACTCAGAGTTTTCCCTAGAGGCCGCTTGTCATGTTTGATAATGTAGTCAGATATTACACAAACTTCAGAACAGTGTAGCTTGGGAAGGCCAGTGGGTCAGGGTCAAGCTTGTGGTGCTGGAAATAATTTGTAAGAGAAGTTCACGTTGCGGTAATGCTGAGTGTTTGGTGATTATGTTGCACATGCTAAGAGTATTTTGGTTATTATGTATTTTTGGTTGGTTTTTTCCCTTACCATACAGTTCTTAATTTGGTCCCCCAGGTGCGTAATGTACTGAGTAGTGACCCATGGTTTGGTGTACTTGTGGGAGGGACAGATAGTAACTTGTGCACTCACAGAGTTTATGTCTTGGGTAGGGAGAAAGAACTTACACAATAAACCAGGCTGAGGCCGTCGGAGTTGTGCGGAATGATCAAGTGCCCAGATGTGAATTATTCCCTATTCTAGAGCAGTGGTTCCTCAGGTCTTGGGGGGAATTCAAGGCCAGCCTTAAATGTTGCTAAGTTAGATTATAAAAGGTTACTTGTTTTCCTGTGTAACCTATTTTAATTAAGTCATGTTACTTCATGTGATACCTGCAGGTGTATTACTACACTCTCACACAGTGCTTGTGGCCACCTGGTCACTGGTTAACTTACTCTTTTCGACTCTTCTTTCTATGAATTAATGTGTTCTTCTGAAAACCTGGGAGACCCTGAAGTTTTTAGGGAGAGGAGGCTGATGAGAAATAATTAAAATCAGAACAATACTATAAAGCACTCCTAAATATGTTCTCAGTTATTTGATAGGCTCTGGTGAGCCCCGTTTGCGGGAGAGACTCATACAAACAAAAGTAATGTAAAGACTGTTGGGAAGTCTATGGCTTTCCCTGGGGACTTGAGGAGAAGCCCACCAGGCCTGGCTGTGTGCAGAGCACATTGTGCGGTGTGCAGGAGGAGTGTGTATTGGAGTCGAGAAGAAATCATACTGTAATGATTTTCAAATTACATCACCACTGGCTTTGCACACCATTTTAGGAGGTGTGCTGATGGCATTTAATTATGACGCTAGTGTCAGGTCAGTTCTCTGTCTTTCCTGTTCCCTTCAAAGTCTCAGATCTTGCAGATAAAATAAAACCTAGTTTCTCTTATTTCATGGAAGGGAATACTGTGGAAACCTGTCCCAAGGGGTGTCTTTAAACTTCTTAAACATGGCCAGATAGTTTTGCATAAAGAACAAGTAAGTAGGGCAAGTTAGTAACTTCCAAGGCCCCCTGAATCTAGGTGATTTGGGAAAGCCATGCCTTCCTCTTTGCCTTTGTTTTCTTCTCTCCTGTGGTATTTGGTTTTCATGAAGCTTTCTGCCCTGACAGGATTGAAAAGGATGGTTCTAGGGTGCTCACTGGTTGTTTGGGAAGTAGGAGTTGTACCCAGGAGGAAGGGATAGCATTAGTGAAGATGACCAAGGACGAGATGGTCCTGGATAGATGTCAGTGCTCAAAGGCTTGCAGAACTGTTGTAAAGGGAAACAGCTCCTGACATACGGCTTGGTGTGAGTGGCTATTCAGTTCCCATGGGAAATTAAGTTTTATAAGTGGGTTGCTCTCTTTAACTGGAGCTCAGAAATGTCAGTAATATCAAGGTTCAGACAGGGAAGGATGAAGTGTCTTTTTCTTTATCCATGTCTGCAGGAGGCAATTTTAGAAAAAGGCAGTCCAGACCTCTTCTGTGCTCTTATCCCCAATAGCAATCTGACTCTCTCCTCAAGTGCTAAGATGAAAAATAGACGACTGTACTTTCAGGAGAAAGCTGCCAAGCTAGGCGTGCAGCCTGTAATCCCAGCACTCTGGAGCCTGAGGTCGGATTGCCTTGAGTTGGAGGGCAGTGTGGACTCCATAGTGAGTTCAAGGCCAGTCTGACTATAGAATGAGACCCTGTCTCAGACAACAACAGGAGACTCTGAGTCTATGAAGGAATCCTGCTGTCTAGGAAGGCTGCAGTTCTTGGCAGTGTTCACAATAAGTTAATGGGAAATGGATAGAAAGAATCCCCCCTCTCATCTAAAAAGAGCGAAAGAGGAGAAAGAGAGCCAGGATGTGAAAGCAGAAGGGAGACTGTTAGGGAAGGGGAAGGGGCTGGGAGAGTGGAAGGAAGGGCAGGGGTAGTAGTGGGGTGAAAATGCTCACTCAGTGTGTGTCTTGTGCATGTGCAAATAAATACACCAAAGTGAAACCCACTGTTATTTGGGAGTTTTTGTTTGTTTGTTTTGTCTTTTTGAGACAGTCTCTTTGTGCAGTTTGGGCTGACTTTGAACTCACTTTGTAGCTCAGGCTGATCTTGAACTCTCAAGGACCTTCCTGCCTCAGCCTCCTGAGTCCAGGGATGACAGGCATCACCTGCCTGGCTAAACCCACTGTTTTGTACACTGCTACTCACTAACAGTCATAAAAGAATTCTCCATCTTGGAAGACCTTGAGCCAGCTGGTCTTGCAGGGTCCTGACCAGCCCTGAGTCCAGGGTCAACTCCTTTCAGCTTTCTGTTGTCACTGCCTATATTCTCTGTGGTTTCCATGGCAGCCGAACAGGAGATGGTAGACAAACCATTTGGATTCCACAGGAGTCTGGTTTCATAAACTAGGTTTTTTGTACACTACTGATTTTTTTTTTTTTTTTGTCTTTGATTGCAGAGGGGTTTACCTTCTCAGTACAATAACTGATTATGTTTTTACACTGTTTTCTTTCTAGGTGTCCATAGGACGAGGATTTGGTGTCACATACCAACTGGTATCAAAAATTTGCCCTCTGATGATTTCTCGAAACCACTGTGTTTTGAAGCAGAATCCTGAGGGCCGCTGGACAATTATGGACAACAAGGTATAGGAATTTACAAAAGCCTGTTTTTATGGAATATTTATTTTTAAGTTACTTTTTTTCTCCATGAATATTAACAGTATAAAACTAAAAGTTTATCTTGTACTATTTTATGTTATATTATTTAAGTTTTTGGTGATGGGCTAGAGTACAGGGTTTGAGCATGCTAGGGGAGTGCGGTTCCACAGAGCTGCATCCCTAAGCATCTTTTAAACACCAGTTTCCCATGTTGGTATTCAGAGGAGGAGCTCCTTTATGAGTAAAGGGTTTTTCTGTTTTAATCCAGTTTGAACAGCCTAGCCTTGTGAATATCCTAAGGGAGGTGAATAGGATATAGGGCCTAGCAGTTACCTAGTATGCAGGTATCCAAGCACCTGGGAATGTAAGGAAAATGGAAACAGTGGAGAGATTCTAATGTAAACAGTTCAGGTTAAGTAGTATCAAATGTCAGCTGGGTGCAGCGACGTACACCTATAATCTCAGATACCTGGGAGGCTGAGGCAGGAATATCTAAAGTTCAAGGCCAGCCAGGGCAGCTTAGCAAGACCTTGTCTCAAAGACAGCAGAAAGAGCTGGCGTTGTAGCTTGGGGATAGAGTGACCCTGGACTCAATCTCCAGCAAGGCAAAAATGTACAAACTGTAAATGATGTTAGACACTGTATTATACTTCCCACTGCTCTGGTGGAAAGGGGTTTAAAGGTACCTATTCGGAGAAAGAACAGCTTGCCAACTTGCCCTGCAGCCTCATTACATGCAGAATACATCTAGGTTTAAACCTTCCTGTCTAGGGCTAAGGAGAGTTAGCACTGAGGTGGAAGGAGACAGTGTGAATGCCGAGTAGACTGGGGCCGCCCTGTGTGAGGCACTCTGAGCAGAGTAGGATTTGGTGCTAAGACTATCGAGTCTGCCCCTTTGTAGACACAGATGAACCTGAGTCTCAGAGAAGAGTGCTGTCTTACCCAAAGCTTTGGCGTAACTGCCCAGTGAGTGAAACGAGTCTGTCTACTGTCCCCACTTACTGAGTGCTGATACAGGTGTGCATGATGTGCTCTACTGGTTTCATGATTTAAAAAATAGTTTTTAAAAATACTACACATTTTAAATATAGCTACAAGGTTTTAAAACCTGTAACAGCTTATTTCTTCTCTTTATTTTATTTTATTTTATTTTATTTTATTTTATTTTATTTTATTTTATTTTATTTTATTTTTGAGACAGGATTTCGCTATGCAGTTCAGGCTGGCCTTGAACTCAACTTTGTAGTCCAGGCAGGCCTCAAACTCACAGCAAACCACCTGCCTCAGCTCCTGAGTGCTAGGATTACGGGCATGCGCCACCACGCCCAGCTGTAATAGCTTATTTACACCTCAGGAGTCAGACACAATGACACGTGCCCGTAAATCCACAAACAGGAGGCTAAAGCAGGAGAATCACTTGAACCTAGGAGGCCAGCTTGGGCAACATAACAAAACCCATCTAAAAAACAATACATTAGAAAAAGATGTTTCCCTCTTCAGAGCTGGGTGTCTGTGAAATAGGATTGCGTGTCACAGAGTGAGTCCCTACTGCTGCATTCCTTGATATTGTGGATGTGATCCATTTATTGGAGTAATAGATTTCTTTCTCTGTCTCTTTTTCTGAAGTAGGGTTTTGCCTCAAACTCATGATGTTCTTGTTTCAGCAGCATCCCCAGTGCTGGGCTCGCGGGTGGGTGCTGCCCTCCCCCGGTGGATTAGCAGATTTTGAAAGGTTGAAGAGCTGCCACCATCTAGTGGCCTTAGTGTTCCTGGAATGTCACCTCAGGTACAGAAGCAGCCATGTCAGCAGCGGTCACGGCTATGCTCCGGGGTTGCATGCTAGTGTTCGCCTGGAACCCTTCCTCTCGGGCTGTTGTGATCATTGTTGTGACTCTTTTCTTAGTTCTTAGGTACTGTAGCTAGGTTCTGATTCTTCCAGCTCTTTTTTGAAAGGTTGGTTTAAATGTCTTCACTTTGATTTTGTTTTGAGGGAACTTTTTGAAGACACTGTGACAGTTTTAGTGGAACAATTCTTTTTTTTTTTTTTTTTTTTTTTTTTTTTTTTTTTAATTTTATTTAAGGAGAAAAGAAAAAAAAGCAGGGAAAGGGTACAAGTTATACAGATTTACAGAAAAAAAAATGAACAGTAGGAAATCACTAGTTAATGGATTACATATTGTCATCTTAGAAATAATTATTCAAGTCACAAAATTAAAGCTTGTAAAGTGGACATTCCATCAATGATACTGCAAACAGTTCTGTTCATTGATCCAATAAAACTCTGTGATATCATTTTCTATCTTATACACTTAAATATACATGCAGTTATATAGTTTAGAGCACTTTCTTTTCCTCTCTTTTGTACCATGACTATTACACATTTTGGGTTTCATTGCTCCCACGGTTCTTATTACTTTTTTGGAAGAGAGTAAAACCAAATGTGACATAACAGAACAGAATCGGTCAAGTCAAAAGGGTGGACATAATAGATAATGTAAAAACATAATACAAGGTGATCAACAATGGTTACCATAATGCCTCCCGCTATCTCTGATAGAATTGCCTATATCGTTAGTTATAATACAATTGAACAAAACAGTAAAGAATAAAACCGACAAAACCAAAACATTGGAGACATTGTAGGTCTTCAAAAGTAGATAAAAGTCAACAACAATGGGCGTCATAATGAATCTCATTATCTTCACAGCTGATGCCTAAACTTTCGAACCTGATACTATCCAGCAAAACAGAATAGGGGAACATCAGTTAAAAACCAGATGGTGAGAGTAATACAGGGCTTTAAATCAAGGTAATGAAAAGTCAAAGTGGGTTACTATAATATATCCTGCTATTTTTTTCCTTTAATTAAAAGGATAAAGATAAAAAAGTAAGTAAATAATGGAGTGGAGATTGAGATAAAAGAGGGCATAACAACGAAACAGCACAGATCAAAACATAACCATTTAAGCAGAATAGTGTTTCACCACCAGATAATCCTAACCTAAAAGTAGTTACCATATTGTTTCTTTCTTTGAAATCCTTGAGTACAACTTCATATACTGTAGCATTAAGTATATCAAAACAATGTAAAACCATTCAAGAGAATGACAGCATTACAGAGTATTTAGAATCGACTAACAGAAAATGAACACTGGTTTCTGTATAATCTCCTTGTCTTTAAAAGGTTTTTGCTTATACTATCGTACATAATAAAATCCAATAAGATACAGCCTATTTAGACCATTGGAGACAGAAGGACAAAAGCTAGATGAGACTTCAAAACAAGATGATACTAAATCAGTATTACCTCTTAAGATGTCATTTTCTCCAAAATAGCTATTCCTATCATCCAATCTTCTCTGCCTCATTTCTGTTGAGCTCTTTTTCTGTCAGTAGCTGTCAGTTTGTCTTCTTCATTTTGTTCTCTTCTCCATTCGTTGTGGCCTCTCTGCCATTATTTCTGGATTCTTTGTATTTTTCTTTTTTTAGAATATCCTGCAATACTCTCTGTAGAGTTGAATTGGTGGTTGCAAATTCCCCCAGTTCCTCTTTATCCTGGAAGCACCTTGTTTTTCCATCAATTTCCAGGGACAGTTGTGCAGGATATCTCAATCTTGGCTGGAGATTATTATCTTTCAAAGCTTGAATTATTTCCCCCCACGCTCTTCGTGATTTGATGGTTTGTGTCGAGAAATCTGCTGTAATTCTGATGGGTGTTCCCTTGTAAGTGGTCTGTTTCTTGTCTCTGACAGCTTTTAATATTCTGTTCTTGTATTGAATTTCTGGAATTTTTATTATTATATGCCTGGGTGTTTCTCTGTTTGGGTTGTAGGTAGCTGGGGTCCTGTATGCCTCATACATCTGAGTATCTTTACCTTTTGCTAAATTAGGAAAATTCTCCTGGATTATTTCTGTGAGTAGCTTTTGTAGTTCACTTGTTTGTGTCCCTACTTCTTCTTTTATGTTCTTAATCCTTAAGTTATGGATCCTCTTGTCATCTTCTTGTCTTTGTATTATTGCTGTTTGTTTCTTTGTTATTTTTAAGAAGTTTTTCATTTCATTCTCCCATATTACAAGTCTGCCCTCCAGTTCAGATAGTCTGTCCTTAGTTTCTTTCAAGCTGTTATGCCAGTCTTCTATAGACTTCTTAGTATCTTGGTAGTCCCTTTGAACCTGCTTCACGTATTCTATGCTTTCTCTGTTTTCTCCATCAAACAATTCTCCCCTTTTTTTCTGTTCTTCCATTCCACCACCTGTTTTTTCTTGGGTGGTACTTAGCATTTCTCTAACTATTCTGCATACTTCTAGCTTCAGGTCGTTGATAACTTCATTCCTGAATTGGTCTATGAGGCTCTCTATATAGTGCCTTATGTGTATTGGTGCGGTGTCTGCTATTGCCTGTTTCTCAGAATTGGGGGCTGAGGAGCCTTTCTTGTTGCTGCCTCTTCCCATGCTGCCTCTTCTTCTCTGTTCCTTATATATGCAAGCTTATATATATAAGAGGCCCAGCTTCTCTCCCAGTCAGCCACAGCCTGATCGAATTGCGCCAGTTAGGTGTTCCCGCTCACCGCTGCGCACCAGGGAGTTACGGACCAGGCAGCCTACGTGTCTCCCCTCCCGGCCACCATCAGGCTCTGGGATCTGGGTTGGGACAGTCTACCAGGTCCGCCGGCAGCGTCACGCAGGCCAGGCACTTTTCACCAATCCCGCCCGAGAGGGGGATGTGTGGCTGGAGTCGCCACTGCGCCCTGCTCCCGCAGGACTGCTCGGGCCCAGAAAGTCCTCTGCTGGAGTCAAACTGTGGTAGAGTGTCAGTTTCTCTCACTCACCTCACCACAAGTCAGTGCACGCCTCCCTGCCGTTCGCAGATTCCCGTTCTCAGAGCTTCTGCGCGTCTCTCTCCTTGCCGAGCCACTGTAGAGGCAGCTAGCCGCCGCGTGGCGGGAAACCCAAATCGCGTCTTACAATGGCGCAGGGTCCAGCCTCCACACCGAGATTTTTCTGTTCCTATTTTAGCACCAGGACTGCATTCCAAGTTGGTTTCTCTCAGCCCAGTTCGTTCCTGAGTCAGCAGAGCATATCTCTACCTGCTTATGTCTCCTTAATCCGCACCATTCCTGGCTTCTGAGCCGAGTCTTTCAGAGAGCCTCTGGTAGTTGCTGTTATCTGTCCGCCATGTTCCGGAACAATTCTTAAAAAATGAAATTCCTCCTCTTCCTGTTATTTTTTATTTATTTTCAGCTTAACCGATGTGCTCTTTTTCCTGGCTTTTCCCTGACACGATGCCATGGCAGCCCTCTTCTGCTCATGAATGTGAGCTGTAGGTTGTTATTGCTATGGTTATGTTGGAAGTCATATTCCAAGTCTCTTTTTTTTTTTTTTTTTTTTTTGTCTTTTTCATTTTTATCGGTACCAGGGATCGAACTCACGACTGCCTGCTTGCAAGGCAGGCACTTATGCCGCTGAGCTAAATCCCCAGCCCCATATTCCAAGTCTCTTTCTTTTTTTTTTTTTTTTTTTTTTTTTGTCTTTTTCGTTTTTATCGGTACCGAACTCACGACTGCCTGCTTGCAAGGCAGGTGCTTATGCCGCTGAGCTAAATCCCCAGCCCCTCCAAGTCTCTTTCAAGAGATAGATGTATTAAAAATACAAGAGACGGATGTATTAAAATTTTAGAGCTGTTTTCTTCATAAAATGATTTCATTTACTGAAATGACCAATGAACCTAAGTTTAGATGTAGAAATGGAAACAATGCAGTTTTGATTTAAAATTGGCTTAAAACATATACACACATGCTCACTGGTACAAGCGTGGAGGACAGTGAACTCTGGGCACAAAACCTGAGAATGGCTTTCCTGTGTGTGTGTAGGGCTCCATCAGGCAAGAAGCTCTCTGACATGATGGTCCATCTGTTGTATTGACATTCAGAAATTTCAGTCTTTTCTCTCAGAGTTGGAATGTGAAATGCCTTACTGGCTGAGCCCTATCGTATCTGAGCCTTTCCTGTTCTCCCTCTGAACCCCTGTTACAGTTTACGTGCTACCTGGTGATTCTCACCTCCTTCCTGCAGGGCTGAGAGCCTGTGTGTATGAACAAACCTCACTGCTTGGGGTGGTTCAGCTTTAGGCCTTCCAGCATGGTCTACAACCCAGTTTCATATTTATGTCATTACCTGGTGTACTTGTTAAAATACTGATGGTAGTATATAAAATTAAGAACTTCCAAATGCCTGTAATCCCAGCCTTCAGGAAAGCTAAGGCAGGAGGCTCACAAGCTCAAGTCCAGCCTGGGCAACTTAATGACACCCTGTCTCAGAACAAAAAATAAAAACGGCGGGGGATGTAGCTCAGTGATAGAATGTCCCCAAGTTGAGTCCCCAGAACTGCAAACAGAGCAAAACACAAAAATAAATAAATAAACTTCTGTTCTTCAAAAGACACCATTAAGAAAATGGAAAATCGAACTCAGGGTGAAAGGTGTTGATATATATGGCCTATATTCATGTATATACTGAACCCCAAATCAGGTTTGTCTTGTGTTTATTTGAGCAACTCCGCAGTTCAGGCTGGCCTTGAGCTCACTTTGTAACACAGGCTGTCTAGAACTTGCAAAGATCTTCCTGCCTCCGCCTGGCAGGTGCTGGAATTGCAGGTGTCTGCCACCTGCCGGCTTCAGCAGTATTATGCAAAGGAGAGAAACTGACCTCAAGAGGCACCTTGTGTGGGATTCCATTGTGTTGCTTTCCATCTAGGTCTGGGGAAGGGGAAGCTGTTGACCGAATCAGGGCACTGTAGCTTGATTCTGTTACACAGTTGTCTATGCTTGTGTATAAGTGTAATTCAGACAGTCTGTTATCTAGTCCCCGGTTAATTCAGTCTCGGGGTGAGACCTAGCATAAACCTTCCCAGGTGACTTAACTTTTCAGCCAGGGTTGAGAACTCTGAGCTACAAAAATCATCTAGAAAACTTCCAAGAAAACATCATATTTGAGCTTAGGTGTTCCCTCTTCCTCAACAGCTGTTTTAAAATAGCTGGGCAAAGGGCCAGGGATTTAGCCCAGGGGCTCAAGCGCTTACCTGGTAAGTGTGAGGTCATGAGTTGATCCCTGGCACAAAATAAAATAGCTGAGCAGCTAGGTATGGTGGCACACACCTATAATTCCAGCACACAGGAGGCTCAGGCAGGTAAATTGCTATGAGTTCAAGGACAGCCTGGGCTACAAAATGAGTTCAGGGCCAGCCTGAACTTCATAGTGGGACCCTGCCCAAAAAAAAAAGTGCTGAGCAGAGATCGAGCATCAAGTGAGGTAGCTCAAAGGTCAAGGGGTGTGGATTATCCCACATTTTTTTGCCTTGGGTTGCTTGGAGATTCTGGGCAGGTTTATTCATTGACTGGTTGTCATTTTGTTGTTCTTTGACATTGTTGGAGCTGGTAATTATGAAAAGCAACATCAGGAAGGCCTTGAAAAGAGCAATCTGTTTAACCACTTATGATTAACCTATTGCGATTGAGATTGTGTCCTGGTCAGTGCTGATCTGTCCTTATGTAGCCATAGGATTTGTACTATTTTCTCTACCCTAAGAGCCGTGGCTCAAATTATACCACTAGGTGTCACCAGGAAGTGATGCATGGCTAAATAAAGAGGGATGCAAGGGTAACATTCACTGGGAAAAACTAGAGAGCTCACTTTTTGGGGCAGAAGGGTCTGCAGGAGGTGGGTTGATAGGGAGGACCCAGTGAAGGAGGACTGTGACAGATCTTGAAAGTTGGCCCCAGTTTCTTAGGGATGCTTAGTTTCTTTTGCTCGGGGCTGCTTCTATAACCTTAAGCTACCTTCTCTTTGCCCTTCAGGCCTTTTGTCATTTCTTGCACATTGGTATTAGGTGTGATATTACTTTGCCTGAGATCTTTTCTTTTGTATAATCTAAAATTGACCATTCTGCACTAAAATTGTCATGAACGTGGTTCTGGCTTTATCCTCTCCTCTAAGATTACTTTACTATGAGTGTTTTGGGCTCAGTGGAACTGATCATTACTCATAGTTTGTCAGGCTGAACAGAAAGAAAGGGAGAAGGTTGCTTATTTGAGCCATGTTAGGCCCAAGACAGCAGGTCCCTGTATTATGTGTGTATACATATTTCTCAAACCAACTAACAAAAATAAAACCAGAAACTAAAGCTTAATACCAAACTAGAGCTGAGATCCACTATCCACCTCCCTGCATCCTCTGTGCTTGTGGTTAAGCCCTTTGCCTCTTGTGGGTTGACCGGGGATATCTGTTCATCCACTCACCAGTTCATTCCTCTCATCTACTCATTGTGGCTGAAAATAGCTAACTACAGTTGCCAGTGTAGACAGCGATTTTCCCCTCAGTGCTGGGGATGAAACCCAGAGCCTCAGCCCATGTGAGGCAAGTGCTGAGCTCCCCTTTATCCCTAAACGTGTCTTAGTTCAGAAGTGAGTGTCATCTTTAGCTTGTCCCCTGAGGTCACGTTCTTACTATGGGCTAAAATGCCCAGGGTCTGTTAACTCTGAGCCTGCATCTGTCTGTTGCAGGACCTGTCATCTCCATTTAGCATCCTTAGATAACCCTGGTCTGAATGATGTGCCTTTCCACTTACAGGCTGTGCCCTGTAATCACACTTACTCATGCCCTTGTATCGTCCTTTCCATAGTCAGCTGCTGAAAGTTGTTTCCATGTCTCATTTTGCACAGGATCTGTTACCTTATAAGATGCAGTGCATACAGCTGAAATGACGATAAATCAGTTGAGCCTGGACATAGTAGTAGTGAATATTTCATTCCTTATAGAATTGGTGTAAGGTAGATACTATCCCATTTATAGTCAAACCAGAGGCATAAGGGTTTAAACAACTTGCTGAAGGCCATGCAGCTAGGAAGGTGTTATAGCTTGGCTGTGAGTCCAGCTCTGAATGCTAGTATAGTCAGGTCAGCTCCATCTACCGTTGACCCCAGTACATGGTATTGGGACTCTGTGTGGCTTGTGCCTGCTGAGAAGAGCCTTTATCGAAGGGCCTCATTTAGAGATGCTGTGCGGTGACTTTCCTGGCCAAGCCTTCCTCCTGGGCCTCACCATTGCATGCTGCCTCCTGTGTTAACAGCAGTTGTTCTAGTGTTGGGCCATTGCCTCCAGTTTAGGTCATTAGCACAATTCAGTTTCAGTGTCCTTTAATGCTGTTGTATGTGCTTGAGTGATTCATCCACTGGTCATACATGATTCTTTTTTTTTTTTTTTCTGGGGAGGGGAAGGTGCAGGAATTGAACTTAGATCCTCAAGGTTGCCAGCCAGGCACTGTGCCGCTGAGCTATGTCCCCAGCTCCTAATAGATGATTCTTGCCTGTTACACAGTCCGTTCTCTAGAGGTGTTAATATAAAATATGTAAAAAGCCAAATTTTGGTTTAAGAGTACTGTTTCTAAGGGATGGTGGTGTGTGAACCTTTCTTTTTCTATTCTCAATGTTTTTCCTTCTGGAAAAGCAGAAGGGTTTGCAGCAGCAGGAGAGAAATTCTGTTAAGAGGAGGTAAATCAACAGGGTACGTGGTGGGGGTGCACACCTGTAATCTCAGAGCTCTTTGGGAGGCTGAGGTGAGAGGATTATAAATTCAGTGTCAGCCTGGGCAACTTAGCCAGACCCATTCTCCAGGAAAAGAGCTCAGAGAGAAGGTACTAAGTTCAAATCCTTAACATTGGAGGTTTGGGGGACAAAGGAGGAATACATAAAACTTACTTTGCCTTTCTTTCCCTTTCCCTAGAGTCTGAATGGTGTTTGGCTGAACAGAGAGCGTCTGGAACCACTAAAGTTTTATCTCATCCGTGAGGGAGACCACATCCAGCTCGGAGTGCCTCTGCAGAATAAGGAGCACGCAGAGTTCGAATACGAAGTTAGCGAAGAAGACTGGGAGAGGCTGTTTCCTTGTCTTGCCCTACAGAGTAGACAGATGGTGGAGAAAAACAAGGGCTGGAGAACTAAAAGGAAAAGCAGCATGGAGGAGTTAGAGAGCCTTGGCTGTGGGGGCCCCTCAGGCTCAAAAGCCAAGATGAGTAAAGTGTCTTGTGCACCTGACCAGCCGGGGAGGCCACCGGGGCCTGGTGAAATGGCCAGTCAGCCCCGTGAGTGTTTGGATCCGGGGCTGGCTCCTCCTGAGGCAGGCAGGAAGACCATGAGAGCTCGTACTTACCCTGGGCCTCCAAAAGCCCCGCAGCTTTATCCCAAGAAGCAGAAAGCCTCAAAGCCTTCTGCGTCTCAGAGCAGCCTGGAGCTGTTTAAGGTGACCATGTCCAGAATCATGAAGCTGAAAAAGCAGCTGCAAGAAAAACAGGTTGCTGTTATGAATGTGAAAAACCAAACCCGGGCAGGGAATGCACGGAGGATCGTGAGGATGGAGCGGGAGCTGCAGGAGCTGCAGGCCCAGCTGTGCACAGAGCAGGCCCAGCAGCAGGCGAGAGTGGAGCAGCTCGAAAAGACTTTCCAGGAGGAGGAGAATCACCTCCAGGTACCCCGGAGGGAGCAGAGCTGGGCAGCAGTGGGCTTTGTAAACCACGGCCAGGGCTGCCTCTTTGGCTTCCCCCCTCAGGGACCTAACTGGGATGCCCAGATAGGCTGAGGTGACTGGAAGATCCAGCAAGGGCATAACTGGTATCAGGACATGGAGCTGAGGTATCCCAGACCCCAGGCACCCTCGGGAGGAAGCTGGATAGAGGCAGGGTGCCACAGCCACAGCACGTGTCTTGGAAGCCAGGAGTTGTCCTCATGACTTAGCTGTCTGCTCTGTGGCCCAAGCCAGTCACTGAGTCACAAAGCACATGCAGGTCATCCGTCACTGCCATTGTACCGATCATTGGTTAGCCGTGTAGTTGACTCTGTAGCTCACCTAAAAGGGAAAGGTTAGAAAGGTAGAAAATGCCTCTCAGTTTCTGTCCTGGGCAACCGGAACGCTTAGGGACGGGTGTAACATGACTTTATGTTGGGTTTGGGGACAGGCTGTTTCAGGAAGGTAAAATGACAACTGTCTCAAATGTGTTCCCATCCCCACGTCATCTGCCTGGATGATAAGCTCTGATGCAAAGCTTTAGAGCTGACCCTGTCCCTGCTCAAAATGTCAGTTCCTGTGGGCCAGAATCAGGCATTATGCCCACCCAGTTGCTCAGGTGATGCTGAATGTCAAGAAATCCCTGTTGTTGACTTAGAACTAAAAAGGGCCAATCAGAGCCTTTTGCTTGAGTTGCTCAGGGCAGGGAGCAGCCAGGAGTAGCTATGGCTGATTTCTCCTTTAGTTTTTTGGTGCGGAGTGGGAAGGGGACTGGAAATTGAACTCAGGGCTTCATCCTTGCCAGGTAGGCACTGCCCACTGAGCTGAATCCTGGGCCCGCTGTGGCTCATTCCCAAGCAATCTGTGAATGTCGTGCAGATATCATCCACCGTCCCCTTGCTCCGGCACCATTAGTGGGGACTGTGGGGTTGAGTAGCTCATTTGGGTTGCAGTGTGTACCCTTTGCTGTCCTTAGCCAGCCTGCACTAGTTCTTCACGTACCAGAGCGCGGCTTATGTCTGCATGTTAGTGTTCCACACCTTCACTGAGCAGCGCCGTCTTGAAAGGCCATGTGTCCCTGGACAAGGTGATTGCTGACTGATACATGGGCTGTTCCGAGTGCCGCTGGAGAGCACCCTTTTCCTTAGCGGGCCCCTAAATGTGAGGAGGACTGGCTTAGTGCGTCTCCAGCTCATGCATAACCTGCTGAGTGGAGAAGTGATCCATCCGTGTCAGCTGCATCTGCCATGCAGCCCTGGGGTTCTGTCTCCTCTTGCTGTTTGTTCCGAAACTCACTGAATCCTCGGTTTTGCTTTTTCTTTTTATGCGGGGTGGGGGGCAGTGCCTGTGCTGCCTGACACTAAGGAGTTTGCTGGGTGTGAGGACAGTGAAGTGGTTTTACCATTATGCAATGTATCTTGAGGAGACAAGCTGTGTTGTGCACATAATATAATCGGAGAGCAGTTTTGAGTCCATATATTAAACTAGACAACAGTTTGAAGTTGGGGTGTAAACAGGTAGATAATTCTCACAGATGCAAGAGCGGGAGGTTCTTGTGTGAGGAACTGGCTATGGATGAGTGATGATATCAGAGGGGCCCACGGAGGAACGCAGACGCCCACCCCCAGAAAGAGGAGGAGAGGTTTATAGGCAAAGCGCAGGATCGACAGGGCGGCCGGGCTGGGCAAGGCAGGACTTGGTGCCAGCCGGGGAGATCGAGCGAGGTGCCTGGTGGCTCAGCAATTCTCTGTTTCCGTCCCAGTGAGCATCGTGGCATTAGTAACGTCGGAGGCTTGGCCAGAACCACCCAGTGGTGACAAGCCGACAGCCTTGAGTTACAGCCAGCATCTTGAAGGGAAGTGGGGGAATTACCAGCTGTTCCCTTTTGCCTACTGTTTCCAGATGTTCACGCTAGCTGGCTCACTGCTGCATTTTATTCCTTTTCCGTGACAGTAAACCTTCTGTCTTGTTTTGGCTTTGCAGGGTTTGGAGAAAGAGCAAGTAGAGGACCTGAAGCAGCAGCTGGCCCAGGCTCTGCAGGAGGTAACTTGTTTCTTGCCACTGTGTGGAGACCGTGATGGTTTGCAGGCGGGAGGCAGCCAGGCTTCACATGGCCCCTCACTGTCTCTGCCGTGGAGCCTGCACCTCTGCGGTGTCCCCAGTCTGCACGCAGAGCAGGTGGCAGCTGCTCGCACCATCAGGCTGGAGATCTGGAGCCGCACGGATGTGCCAGATCTCAGCGTGAAAGCTTACATCTTCATCTCGGTCGAGCTAGCTCTGGTGATGATGGAACAGGGCCGGTAGCAATTAAGGGAGGCTCTCTGGGGAAGCAGCCCTGTTTCAGGAAGGTGAGAGCAGAGGAGGGGAATGCGAGCCTTGGCGTGGCCAGCAGGGCCTGCGAGGGCCCCCGAGCCTCACCATCCTGAGCCATGGCCGTCCAGCAGTGGTTTGCAAGTGCTCTAGTCAGCATTTCCGGTCAGCTTGGGAAGGTGTGTTCAGGCCAACACACCGCGTTCATTTAATGAAAGAGTAAGGCTCACAGGAACGGGATCCTCCTAGAAGACTTCTTGTAATTCAGTTCATTTACCTGCTTGTTTGATGATGTTTCTTTTCCTTTCCTGCCCTATCCTGGCCTTGCCTGCTTTCCTTCCACTTTCCTTCCTTCCATTCTTCTTTCTTTTTTTAAGTTTGCACTGCTGGGGATTAACCCAGGGTTACTGCTCTAAACTGCATCTCCAGCTCCTTTTTAAATTTTTTTCTTTTGAGACAGATTCTCAGTAAGACTCAGGTTTGAATTTTTAATGCTGCTGCCTCCGTCTCCCAGAGTGCTGGAATTTCAGGAGTGTGCCACCTCTTTCAGCTTCTAGAATATTTGATTATTTCTTTTGCAGCTTTGAAACCTGCTTACCTTCTGTCCTTTATGTGTTATGATTACTAGTCTGACACAGGTTTGTGCAGGAGGTCAGTGGGGTGGCTCAAACCTCCTGGAGAAGAGTGAGCACCTTGCATTAGGGTGTATTCTGATAAGGTTGGTGGTGATGGCACATAGCCTGTAATCTTAGCTACTCAGGAGCGTGAGGCAGGAGGCTCAGAAGCTTGGGGCCAGCCTGGTCAGCTCAGTGAGGCCCAAAATAGTAAACTTTTTAAAGGGCCGAGTCTGTCTGGGTTCAGTCCTGATCACCACAGTGAATGAAAGAGTGAACGGGCTGAGATTACAGTTCAGGCTGAGGGCTTGCCTAGCGTGTGTGTGGCGCTAGGCACAGCCCTCAGCGCTGCAAGGAAAGGGGGAAGGGTTTGCTCAGGAGATTTACATTCATTCATTCCATATCTGTCTCTCACCTTAGGGTACTAACAGTTACATGGGAATTGTGTAACATCGACTTTGGAATGAATTAGATGATAATTTGGTTTTTTTAGAATTTTATTTTCTGAGTGTATAAGGATGGAGAGTAGGCATATTTCCCATTTGGAGCATTTTAAAACAATTATTTTGGTATTAATTGACTGGAGAAGAGTGAGGTTTTGTGCTTTGGAATACCCTGGAAGATGGAATTTCCTGCGTCCCAGCCCCTCACCCTGTTGAGATGGGACGTCACACTGTTACCAAGTGTAGGGTCCTTGGCCATCTGTGCCCTATCCTGAAATCAGGAGCTTTCAGGCCTTGTCTCTGTGTCATGCCCAGTGGTGTCATGCTAGAGTGTGTGTGGCGAGCTTTGGAGCAGTGGTGAGCTTTTGCTTGCTTTGTTGGGCTTGGCTTGGCTTGGTTTTTCCAGTACTGGGGGATTGCACCCGTGGTGCTCCACCACTGAGCTGCATCCCAGCCCTGTTCATTTTTTATTTTGAGACAAGATCTCACCAAATGGCCCATGCTGGCTTTGAACTTTGGGTCCTCCCTCCTCAGCCTCCTGAGTAGCAAGGTTGCAGGCGTGAACCACCATGCCTGGTGGCAGTGCTGATTTTCTGTTGTACCATGCTGGTCCCTGTGAAGTTATTACCCAGCTGATATAACAGTTGCACTTACACAGAACTGTAAACCATTTCTGAATGCTTTTCACATCTATGGTTAGCAGTTCTAAGGTCAGGAGAGCACCTGTTTCCTCATTGTAGGGATGGTGCACAGTAGTGAGTGGACAGGGTGAGACCCAGGCCTTCCGAGGCGACTGCTCTTTTCAGCAGACCACACATTTCACATTTGGCTTCTTGAGTAATGACTTTTCAGAATTCACGTCTACTCTGTCTTCTCTTAAAAGGGATTTAAGGTAAGATTTTACACATAAGCTATATTTTTTTTTTCTAATTGCAGTATCGGAAGTTGAACCCAGGGCCTTCTGGTTGAGCTCCACCCCCAGCCCTTTTGGTTTGTACTTGGAGACAGGGTCCCACTAACTTGCTGCTCCCGGTCCCGGCCTCCCAGAGTCTAGGGTGACAGCATGCAGCACTCTCCACTTGTCTTCCTTTTCTGCGGTCTTGTTCTGTGATGCTGGGAACAAACCCAGAGTTCTGGGCAGGGCATGAGCTCCCCACCGCCGAGCCTCACCCAGCTGTCCCCATGTCTCACAGAGCCCCTTGGCCTCCTGTGAGGGTCCTTAGCTGCAGTCAGTGGCTTGTCAGCCCTTGGCCACACCAGCCTGCAGCAGGCACTGCCACGGTCTGCAGTGCTGCCGGAGGTGTGTTAAGGATCTTTAGGTTAAGGATCTTTTCACAGAAGGTGTCTAGTTTTCTCTAATCCCCTTCACCTTGCTCGTTTCTTAAAAGCTGCTCCGGTGACAGTCACCTCATAGTCACTTACTAGTTGGTAAGCACTGCTTCCAGGGTCACGTGGGGCTGGTTTTGTGTGTGCAGTGCTGTGGTGTGGGGGAGCAGACCCGGGCCTGGGCACATGCTGGGCAGGTCCTCTGCCCAGTTCATCTCCAGCCTTTCCATGCACATCCCCGGGCCCCAGGCACACAGTCAGACTCTGGAAGGCAGTGGAAGTTCTTAGTCGATTTGTTGAACCACAGAGATTGAGGGCGCACCAGAGGCACCAGGGAGGTTCATAGTCCTCCTTCTTAGCTGCCCGTCCCAAAGGAAGGCAGCACGGGTTGGTGGTGGGGACCTGAATGAAGGGAGGCTTGAGTTTGAAATTGTCCACTCACTGATCCCAGACCACAGTCCCTGGTCAAAGGCAGTTTGTGTGGCTGGGAGGAGCTACTGTGCGGCTCCGCTGAATGTGTCTCTGCTGTGTTTCACAGCATCAGGCCCTCATGGAGGAGCTAAATCGCAGCAAGAAGGACTTTGAAACAATCATTCAAGCGAAGAACAAAGAACTGGAGCAGACCAAGGTACTGGGAAGAAGAGAGGATAGGTTTCATAACTCAGCGTCTTCCTCAGTGCAGGGTTGCTGTGGTGAGCAGAGAGGGTGGTTGTGCTGTCTACCTCGGGAAATAATCTGTACCATTGTTCAAGTCCACAAGAGGTTCTGCCCGTGAGCAGCATCTGTGTGCTGCCCTTGTTTGGAAGCCGGGTGCTGGGAGCGAGGCGCCCAGGTCTCACACCCCAGCCCTTTGTCTGCGGGCCCTTCCCTCCCCGCCCAGGGGACCCTTGTAAACAAGGGCTGGGCCACAGGTGCAGCAAGTGCTAGGTTGTTTGATTCCTGTATCAAAAACACCCAAAACATGCAGCAATAAGAAGGCGTGCAGGGGCCAGTGGAGTGGGAGGACTGAAGCCCCTTAGCCCTTCTCCGCCTGGTCAGAGGGCTGGGCCAGTGTGGCCAGGCCTGGTGATTTTTTCCATAGGAAATGGAAATCTTGATGTCAGTGTGAACTACCCTAGTTATTTTTTTTTTTTTATTTAAGTGGTACATAGAACATAAAAAGCATGTGTTTTAAGCGGGGGGGGGGGGCATATGATGTTTCAACACATGTATTAAGTTCAGTTTTTTGTATGTGCTTTTCAGTACCATGAAGGCTGCAGGCTGGATCGGGGCCACAGGTCAGCAGTTTGTAAGCTCTGACCTGAAACAAAGACCTGGGTCTAAACCCTGTGCAGCCCACAGCTGACTACAGAGGAGGAGGTTTCTTTCTTTGTCTCTTTCCTTTTCCTCGAGTTCAGTCACATAATACCTTCTTCCCCAGTCTCCAAGAAACAACCTTTCTTCACAGTACAGGGATCACTCCCAAGGCCGGGTGTGCACTAAGCATGAGCTATACTCTGGCCGCTCCCCAGACCCATGCATCTTTTTAAACCCAGAAGCTCAGAACATAAGTTTGCCAGGAACTTGACCCTGCTGTAGAATCGAGTCCTGACTGTAGACCTAAGTACTCTGACAGCCTGGTTGGTTGAAAGAGAAAACGAAAGGTGAAAAGTGAACCAGCCACTTAAATGTGACCTAAAAAGTCCCTTCCTGTCCTGCCCAGAGGTTCTTGTTGCTTTCTGGTTGAGGATGAGACACTGACTTAATGCCTTAGAGGAGCAGAACTCAAAGCCCAGCCGGTGGGGAGTACCTGTAACCCCAGCACCACAAAAGCCGAGGCAGGACCAGCCTGAGTAACAGTCAGCTCATGGTCTCTACAGAGAGAGACCTTGTCTCAAAACAACAGCAACAATAAGAAATCAACAGTGAAGACAAACAGCCCCTAAGGTCCTCCCTGGAGAGCACAACCGGGAGGAGAGCTTGGGGGGAGAGGGAGGGCACTGGAAAGTGGCTAGCGGCCCAGAGCTGGGTCCCCAGGGTCGATCTCCAGCTCCGGCCTCTGGGGCACATGGCTGTCCACCTTTGGACAAGGCAGTTGCATAAACACAAGGAGCCTTTGAAGCTGTCCAGACTGTTGGCCTCTCTGGACTGTTCTTCTCTGTTCTGTCTTGTGCAGGGAGGTCTTAGTTGTCTGAGATGGTTTGATGTTACCTCCGGGCTGCAGGGTGCTACAGAATACTTCAGTGACCTGCCTTCATTTCTTTCCCCAGAGTTTGCTTAACTCTGGGGAAGAGACAGAAACTACAGTACAGATTTGAAAATAGTGTCTTAGTCCATTCAGGATGCTGTAATAAAATATCGTCAAGGTAGCTCATAGACAAAGACCAACAGCGAGGTGGGCGTCTGGTCCCAGATGCTGCCTTCTTGCCGTGTGTCCCACGGGGCGGAGCGGGAACGAGCTCCGGAGCCTCCTGTCTTTCGTAAGCCCACTCATCTCTTTCCACCCATTCCCTGTCACCTTCCACAGCCGCCCCCCTTCTCAGTGCCTTCACATCGTGGTTAGGTTTCAGCATCAGGTGTGGAGAGAGGAAAGAATGGAGCTTAAGGGCTGGGGATTTAGCTCAGTGGCATAAGCACCCGCCTTACAAGCAGGCAGTCGTGAGTTCGATCCCTGGTACCGATAAAAAGAAAAAAAAAAAAAAAAGAATGGAGCTTAGTGCTCTGCCAAAACAAAAGTAGAGGGATCTTTTCAAATGGGAAGGGGAGCAAGAGATGGCGAGAGTGGGGAGGAAGAAGAGAGGGGATGGAAATGAATGGAGTGTTGTGTGCATGACCAGCTCCACGCAGCAGGTATAATCACTGTGCACTGCAAACGTGCTGGGATTACGGGCACCTCCCGCCATAACCAGCACCCTCCTCCCCTTTTTCTGAGACAGCATCTCATCGGGTATAGTCAGGCTGCGAGGCTGGGCCAGCCTCGAATTCTCTACCTTCCTGGCTTGGCCCCCAGAGTGCGGGGTCTATGGGCGTGTACCACCACACCTGGCTAGAAAGCGGTGGTCTATAGGGAAGGTGTTTTATCCTCCTGCTGCAACAGAGAGGGCACTTACTTAGGCTCCTCCTGAACCCTGTTGTAAGCAGTGAGCCTCACTCCGTGTCTTGTTCATTCGCAGTGGCCTTCTGAGTGACAGGTGGCGTGTGTCTTTGCAGGAAGAAAAGGAGAAGGTACAGGCCCAGAAGGAGGAGGTTCTGAGCCACATGAACGACGTGCTGGAGAATGAGCTGCAGTGCATCATCTGCTCAGAGTACTTCATCGAGGTAACTGCCAGGGGCTTCTCCCTCCACGCTCTCCAACCTAAGTGCCCCTGGGCTCTGCAGGCTGCTGATGCTGAAGGCCACCTTCTTCCAGGTGCCAAAGTGACCCTAGATGCTACCCTTTCATTAGGCTTACACAGTTCTTCCCCTTTACTGTCCTTTTTTTTTTTTTTTTTTTAAACTTGATGTTGAATATTTATTTGGTACAATCAACATTTTAGCTGAAGTAAAGCCTTTATCTGTTTTAGAGAGAGGGAAAAAAACGTGACCAGGCAGCATTAGAATTGTAAGTATCCTGCAGACTTTACCTCATGCAGCTTTTCTTTCTTTAATGTGTGGGGGCACAATGCTGCCCACAGAGCCACCTTTAAACAGAGGAGATTGCAGAGATTTTCCCTTGCCCCTGGACGTTAGCTCCTGTCCAAACGGGGAGAAGGGTAGCATGACAGATGTGGCCTGTGTGTCTCTCTGCCTTGCAGGCTGTCACCTTGAACTGCGCCCACAGCTTCTGCTCCTATTGCATCAGTGAGTGGATGAAGCGGAAGGTGGAATGCCCCATCTGCCGGAAGGACATCAAGTCCAAAACCCACTCCCTGGTTCTAGACAACTGCATTGCTAAGCTGGTGGATAATTTGAGCCCAGAAGTGAAGGAGCGAAGAGTGGTCCTCACTAGGGAACGGAAAGGTGAGGGGGCGTGAGAGGCTCTGGCCCCTCAGTGAAGGACTGTTTTACTGCCAGACGCCAACAGGTTTTTAAAATTTATTTATCTTTTTTGGGGGATGGGGATAAGAAAAATAAACAATAACAGCCATTATTGTTTGAGACACTGGGGCTGAAACCCAGGGCTTCTCACGTACTAGGCAGGTGCCCTACCATGGAGCCGTGTCCCATCCCCAACTAAATGATTCCTAAACTACAGGTGAGCTGGATGAGCTGGGAGAGAGAAAGGAGGTCAGACAGCTGGGTGAGGGAGCCTTAGCCCCACTGTTTAAGTATCAGATAGCAGGAAGCTTGTGTATGGGGGGAGGTCTTGGTTGCTGTGATTGGAAAACACATGTGGCGGGCGTGGCGGTGACTCCTGTAATCCTGGCTGCTGGGAGGCGGGCGTGGTGGTGACTCCTGTAATCCTGGCTGCTGGGAGGCAGGCGTGGTGGTGACTCCTGTAATCCTGGCTGCTGGGAGGCTCAGCAGCGATTCAGCCTGACCTTGTCCCCCAAAAGAAAAGACACAGACGACTTGTTGTATTGATCCCTAGGTGGCACAGTTTCCAAGACAGTGTAGTTGCTGTCCTGGTCTTGCGAAGTCTTTGCCTTATATCCAGGAGTGGTGCAGCGTGCCTGTAATCCCAGCACCCAGGGGGCAAAGGCTGGAGAATCGCCCCAAGTCCAAGGCCAACCTGAACTGCATAGTGAGACCCTGTCTCAAAAAGGCATAAATAAATAAATAAATAGACAACTATAAATACAATGTACACAAGACAAAGATTCACATGGAGAGTGCCTAAAGACAACACACAAGTCAAGTCCCTTCCTAAGGGGGCGTGCCTTATGTCTGCACATTGGTAATAATGAGCTACAGAGGTGCACATGTAGTCCTCCTGTGTGGTCTTTGGGGATCTTAGTGGGTTTGCTGACAAGTTCCGTATCAGAGTTTGGTAGGTAGACTGGGTGAGGCTGGGTGAGTTCCCGAGGTGGACTGCTGCCCTATAAGTGTCTGCTCACTGAAGGGGTCTAGCTACACTGGGGCCTGTGCTCTACTCAGGACCTGCAGGCCTTTGTAGCAAAATAGTGTAGCAAAGCCCAGGGGAGCCGAGGGGAGAGAAGAGGTGGTTGGGCAGAGTGCTTTGTGTGTGACCGTGGGGTAGGTGTCAGTGTGCTGGGTGACCCTCGTACAGCCCAGTTCCACGCTCTGGAGCCTCAGAGCCGCGGATGTGATGTCAGCAGCTGTGCGAGACAGGCCCGTGGGGAAGAACTGGGAGCTGGCTTCCCCCTAGGTGCCATCTGGCCATTGGGGACCCTTGTTCATGTGTGACTAGGTTGGACCTTTGTCACGTGCACAGGAGCTGACAGGCCTCAATAGGGAGAGCAGGGCCTCTGTCCATGGCTGCCTTTCCCCCAGCCCCTCAGCAGTGGTGGCCCCTGAGTAGGGCCAGGGTTCTGGTGCTGGTCTGCTGGCTCTGTGCTGTGAAAGTGGCCTCAGGTATTGAGTGCCACCCCTGCAAGCTGGCCCAGCACCAGCTGTGAGCCCTGAGCAGGAAGTGTGCCTGAGCTACTTGGGTCAGGGAGGACACTGGGGCCTGTGGGAGGGGGCGGTGGCCTCGCTCGGCTCTCTGGAACCAGTGTTTCCTACCTCACCAATACCTGTGTGCCCTGCTTCGTGCTGGGTTTTTTTTTTTTTTAAATAATCAACTTTTAAAAAACAATATTTCTCTGATTTTTTTAATTTTGAAGGTAGTAAAATACAACAGAACAAGACAGAACAAAGCCAGTTGACACACTGTAGTAAAATTGGTACAGAACTTCAGAGCAGGTTACTGGGATAACAGTAATAGGTATCACAGTATATCTCGTTGTCTTCACAATAGTTGTTCTTTCAATCATGTATGGCAAAATAAAATGAAATACAGAACATTATACAACTTATCAAAACAGTATTGAATAAAGCAGTACCATTAATCAGAATAAAGCAGAACAGTAATAAAAATATTTGCCTTCAAAGAGATGGTAGAAGGAAATCCCCCTTATTTGCTATATTGCATACGGTCAGCCTCCCAAGAGATGCTCAGATCTCTGGTTCCCATTTGCTGGCGGGGGGCAAGGGAAGTGGGATATTTGACTCTCAGCCCGTGTACCGACAGGCTCACTATTGCTTAGCAGGGAGGCTAGCTGGTTGCTTGGCTTCCCAGCACCCTAAATTCCCGCATGGCGTGGATCTCAGGAGACACTGGTGATTCTCCCCCTGGAGGGGCCACACCCTGCCACACCACAGCTGCTTACCAGGGAGGGGAGCTGGTTGCTTGATTTTTTCTTATCTTTGCTTTTTTTTTGGTTCTGGGGATCGAATTTACAACCTTGTGCTTGCTAGGCAGGTGCTTGTGCTACTAAGCCAAACCCTGGGCCCATTCGTGCCCAGTTTTGAGTCACCAGTGTCACCTCCAAGCGACCTGTGTGGAATCCCGTCGCTTCCTCTTCACCTCCTGTCACCTGGAGGGATGCCGCAGGCCGCAGGATGAGGGATAAGCAAAGGGGCGGCCGGTGCACTCTTGTGCAGGGGCCCCTTAGCTCGGCCTGGGTCCGGCCGAGAGCTTCCCAAGCAGGAGAACTGCACAGCAACACAGAGAACCGGAAGGCAGTGACCTGCCCTGCCCGTCACCCACAGGACACAGCGCGCTTGTGGTGCTAGACTTGGAGGCGGGAAGGAGCATCCCTGGGCCCTGGTGATGCCCGCTTGCTTCCCCTTTCTTAGAGGACTTAGGAGCCAGGAACCCAGACTGTCCAGGGCACGTTGTGACCTCTGAGCCGCAGTGTGCTGCGTCCCTGTCGGGGTGGTGACACCGCTGCAGTCTTTGCCTGCCCACTTCCTGGCACTCTTTTCCCAGGTGCAATCACCGCGACTGTGGGAGCACTGGGAAGGAAGGCAGAGCCGCATGCCAGGTCCACCCCGGCATCCCTTCCACAGGCTCCCCCTCTCTCGGGGGGCTAAAGGGGGCGCTGTCGGCCGTAACGGCCCGTACAGTAAACTCAGCCGCCCCACTACACGCGTCTGTCCTGCAGCGAGCAGCGCTGGCAGCCTCCGCGCGGGTGCGCGGGGGCGTTATCGCAGCTTTGAGGTTCCTGCAGGCGCGGCTGGGCTGAGAGCCCTGAGACAGGGAGGGACGTGCGTGCTAGAGCTCAGTGTGTGATAGGGAAACCCTCAGGTCGGCAGTGCTGCCTGCCGAAACTCACTGAATCCTTAGGTGTGGGGACATCTAAAAAGGGCTGGATAGGAAACCCGAGGCCACACGCGAGGGTGGAGACGCTGGCTTTGACGCTGCCGCAGGACTCTGGGCGGGAACTGCCTTTCTGGGCGCTGGGAGCGCATATGGCTGCCCAAGGAGAGGTGTGGGTGCCTGGTGACTGATTCCCCCTGAGCCTGGTCCCCACCTGAGAGGAGACGCCCAGGAGCTGGGCGCGTAGGCACTCAGGCTCGGTCAGTGGGTAACTGCGGCTGCTGGAGTGTTTCCCTGGGATTCTCCAGGAGGGGAAGGGTCTTGGGAGCGCGCTGCCACGCGCTTCTGTTCGCTAAGGTGGCGGGGAGTTGGCTCACAAGCATGTGAACACCATCACTTTCTTCTTTTCCAGTCCTGGGGATCAGACCCAAGGCCTCACGCATGCCAGGCAAGTGCTGTACCCCGAGCGACAGCCCCGCACCACACTCCCACCTGTGGCTTTCTCTAGCTGTTTCTTCGGGTTCTGTTTAGGAAAGAAAAGGGCAAAGCAGAAGTGAGACCACATTGGTGCCTTGGAGCAGTGACCTCACACTCGCTGTTTAAAGTCCACCCCCAGTTCCCTTGCTGCTCTGGGATTGGGCCCGAGCAGGGAGAGGGCTCCTGTGGGGAGGGCGGGATGCAGGGGTGGGGTGCCTTTTCCATAGCGGTCACCTTCGTTTGTGGATAAAAACGCTCGCTGGCGAGGACAGGGCCAGCAGTGTCCCACCCCCACCTGTGCTCCCTGCCCTCCGAGCAGTGGAGGCATCCCCCAAGTGGGCAGGACACGCACATGCTCTCAGCAGGGCGGGCCGAGGGCGTCCACTGCTTGCACACAGGTGTGGACTCCTTACACCTGGCATGGTGGCAAGGGAGAGGAAACTAGCAGGGCTGTTCTCCACTCACTGCCCGTTCTTCCCTCCTCTTCTGTCTCCTGCTGTGCTTGTCATTACCACGGGGCTTCCCTCTGGTCAGTGGGTGTCCTCATCACCCTTCACTGACCTCCCAGAATCCAGGGTGAAACGATACGGGCGTCCCCCTGGGGAAGGGACTGACCTCCTCCCACAGGTCAGCGCTGGGGTCCACTGACCAGGCAGTAGCATCCCGGAGAGTTCCGGAGCGGAGTGCTTGTTGGCTGTGGTCCTTGTGATTTCAAAGGCTTCTTCCGCCCCGCCGGCAGCGTGCCCGGTAGTGGGCTTGCCCTTCCCCTGGAGCTTGTCACAGGCCGCCAGGCAGGCCTCCTTCCCAGTGCTGGCGTCTGACTTCTCCTTTCTTCCTCCCCTCTGGCTGCTGGTGGGAAGGAGCTGGGGGCCAGGAGAGTGGGGTCCAGGCTGCTCATCTCTGCTGTGTTCCTTCCCAAAGCCAAGAGGCTGTCATGAAGACTGCTGCGGCGCAGAGAGGGGCTCCCAGGCCCTGGGAGCTGCAGGGCCGGCCGTGCCGAAGTCTTTGGGAGGCCTCGTGGGACAGAGACACACCACCTCGGGACCCCGTGCCCCTCACTTCCCGTGGCGGCTGGTGGCACCAGCTGCCTCAGGGACTTAGCAGACTGCTTCACTCCCTGCCAGGCAGGGTTGAGTTCTGTTTGTTCGTTGTTTAATTTTTGTTGCTATTTTGATACCTCAAAACACCACTGTTGACCTTCGTTTTGGACTATAGGGTGTGACCTGTGGCTGCCATGAGGGCCGCCCTTATTTTGAAACTAACTTATATCTTTTTTGTGAAAACAAGATGTCATTTCTTGGGAATAAAATATAAAACCTTTTGGTTGCTTAGCTGGGCTTCAGTGTGTTTATCTCCCCTCCCTCCCAGCTCCCGACAGGCTCCCAGGTAAACATTGGCAGCTCATAGGTGCAGCAGGAGAGCGGGCCAGACACAGACGTCAGGGGTGCATCGGGAGGCCAAGCTGCACCCGATGGGGGCGGGCCCCGTGCCAGCTGGTGCTGTGAGGATGCTCGGGGTTACTTCAGCTCGGTGTGCTCAGCTCGGTGTGCTCAGCACGCGGATGGTGATATTTTGAGAACTCTGTGTGCTTCTTAGCTAGCTAGCTTGCTTGCTTGCTTTCTCTTTCTGTCTGTCTTTCTTTCTTTTTAATTAAAAATTGTCTGTGCCAGGCATGGTGGTGCATGCCTGTAATCCCAGCACTCAGGAGGCTGAAGCAGGAGGAGGCACGAGAGTTTGAGGCCAGCCTGAGCTACATGGTGAGACTCTGTCTCAGACAAACACAAAAAATTGTCTCTCTGTAACCACCTCCCCTTTGTAAATAAAAAGAAAGCTCGTTTTGGTGTTTGGGGGTAGAAGTTGAGGACAATTTGCTATCCTTGGTCACTGTGATAAGAATGAGGGAAGACAGAGGACCTTGCAGAGCAGTCACTGAAACCCTCGAGCAGGATTGAGACCTCCTTCCTGTCTCCCTAGAGAGCCCTCTGTGCACATGTGTGTGCACCCCTGCATAGCCGTGTCCTGCTCTGTGTGTGTTCACTGGAGACTGAACTCAGAGACTCCTTCATGCTAAGCTCACACTTTGCCACTGAGCCACATCATTTTTATTTTGTCTTGAGACAGGTTCACTAAGTTCCACAGGGTGTCTTTGAATACACAGCCCTCCTGCCTCAGCCTCCCAGGTAGCTGTGATGACAGGTGTGCACAGCCTTCATTACACCCCATGTTTGGATAGACGCTTGGAAACTGGACTCAGCAGCTCTAGAGCTCCGCACCCAGGCGGCTGAGACCTGGAGGCAGCATCACGGCCTCTGCGGTCTGCGCTGCTGCATGCTGGGGGCAGCTGCTCGCAGCTGTCTTCCAGAGCACAGTCCCCTCTGCCGCCAGCTTCTGCCCAGAAACACGGGTGGCCATGAGTGAAGGAATTCAGACCAGCTGTCAGCGACACAGCAAGGGCACGCTGGCTTGGATAAGAAGTATGGGAGAAGCTGCAGAGCAAGCCCAGTGTGAGCGCCTTTCTTTGGAAAAATGAGTGCGTGCCTGTGACTGTTTTTGCCTGCTTTTTGCCTACTGCAGGGAAACGCTTCTCTAGGAATGCGTGAGCTAGAAGTGAGGTGAGGGCTTCACTTCCCGGCGGTTCCACTGAGCGAGGCCGTCCTGAACCTGTGTCTCAGAAGTCAGTTCAGGCACACTGGTGTCCCAGTGACTGTCTCTCTGCGCCCTGCGCCAGGATTCCTTTCTTTACTTTCTATGATGTGCGTGTTTTCTTTCTCTCCCGAGTTAGGGATGCCCGAAGAATCCTCTGCAGCGATCGTTGCTTGGCCGGAAGGGGCGTCCGTGTTGAAGGGGAGGCCCAAGCAGCACTGTCAGCGGCAGGCTGCTGTGTGCTGTGACAGGGACTTCCTTGGAGAGGGAACCACTGCGGAGAAAAGTCGACAAACGAGATGTGATTGAAACCAAATTGAAAATGGGCGAACAGATGACCAAGTAAGAGGAACTAGTGAGTCGGGGAATCAGGTCCTGAGTCCTGTTAGCAGTTACATTTCTGGGCCGCACGGCAGGTCACCTAAACACAGTTAACCTGGTGTGAAACTAACGTGACGGACACACAGGAAGTCCCTGACTTAGGAATGACTTTGTTCAGGAGAACATTCTTACGTTGGATTTGTTTGTAGGTCTAACAAAGGGTGTCTTACACAATGTAAAGTGTAAAAAACCAGCCATACAGAAAAGCCATAAAGGTTTCCAGTTACCTTAAAAAGATGGTACAATACAGTATTTTCACCTTTTTTTTTTTTCCGTCTTTTTATGACAGGCTCTGGCCTGCGTCTGGTGGAAGTCCAGGTCACTTCAGACCTAGGCAGTGGCGCAGGGGATCTGTGTGCAGATAGCAGCAGGGGAGGACAGCTCCTTAGAGGACAGCTGACCGTGCACGCTGACCACCGCCAGTGGCAGCCGCCTGTTCAGCACGCCTTCCCTTCAGTGTGCCTGCAGCGTGTGGAAGTCAGCCCTCTAGATGGACTGAAGAACGAGAAGCACACAGAACTTAAGAGTTAAAGGCCAGCCCTGTTCTTGTAACTGTGTGACCTTGAGAAGTCACCAACCTCTCTGGGACTTGGTTTTCCCTCGTCTCTCATTGATTACCAAGGGAGGCCTAAATATACCCAGTTAGTACTCTAGTGCTTGTACACAAAAGCCACAATGGTTTCTTTTGGGTACCTTTGTTTGTTTGTTTTTGAGACAGGGTTTTGCTGTGCAGTTCAGGCTGGCCTTGAACTCACAGAAACCGTCCTGGCTCAGCCTCCGGAAGGGTAGGATTCCAGGCATACGCTACTACCACGCCTGGGCAGAATGCTCTGTTTTTAAGACAAACCAAATATTCACCCAAACTCCGTTATTCCTCTGAGTTGCTGAATGCTGTCTCCCTGGAGAGATACCCGATCTTAAACGTCATCTGTGTTTTGCTCGCTTGGATAAAATATGCGGTAGCTTTTCTGCCTTGCAGCAAGCACTGAACTGGGGCCCAGCTGAGCCTAGGGCTGCAGTCTGTCTCTAATTAAAGCCTGTCCTCCACTAAGAAACCCACGCAAGGCTTTATTAATCAGGTGAGCGCAGCCGGCCAGGCCAGGCGCTTTGCAGAGTGGCAGGCATCCCATGAGGTCTGGTTCTATTAGCCTAGGAAGAGCTCAGCCTCCACCAGCCTTGTATTGTCCCAGAGTCAGACTGCCCGGGTGGGGATTTGTCTCCGTGGCTGGGTGGTTGAATGCCTGTCATCTGCTCCTCTGACTGGAAGCTTCCGAGTTTGTAGAAAGACTTAAATCCCTTCATTGTATCCAGCCTTTGTCTCCCCGCCCTGAGTGGCTGTGGAGGCAGCGGCAGCAGCAGGCTTGAGTGGGGTGGACAGCACTGTCCACTGCCTGCTTGCTTTTCAGTCTGCCTTCCTCTGCACTGCCCCTCCTGCCCCATCTCTAAGGGTACCCAGGAACCCCAGTGCCCGCGGGTCCTCTCCGTACACTCATCCTGCCAGCTCCGATGAATGCTGTGATAGTCGTGTCTGCCTTGCACTGTGCTCCTAATCTAAAAACACGAAAGAAGACCCAGGGACCCGGAATGGCTCTGTCCAGGGCCATGGTCTCCTTGGCAGCTGCCTGGCCTGACCCGTGCAAGCTGCTGCCCTGGGTACAGTGGGGCTTGTTCTTCTCGATAAGAAGCCTCGCAGCGGCTGTAGCTTTTTTGCAGATGGAGCGGAGGCAGGAGGGATGGCAGCGCCTAGGAGAAAGACGGCCTGCAGGGGTGGAAAGTAATGAGCCACGGGAGAGAAGCCTGGTGGCCTAGGTGAGTGTCAGGCTGGCCCAGGCACTCAGCTGCTCAGACCTGTGGGTCCTCGGTTTCGGTTTCCACCTGTGGCTGTCTGAGCTCTTTTCCTCCGAGCGGTTTCCCTGTTGGCTGCTGCTCCAGCGAGCCTGGCCCAGCGCTCCCTGCTGTCCACTTCCCCACTGTAGTCCTCTGTCTTTTCCCTCAGCCGCCTTGCAGTACACTCAGCTCGAGAGTGGGTACTGACACACCAGACACCGCTCAGGTGTTAGTTGTGGCATCAACAAACCAAAGCTGTTGTGAGCCCGCGTTGTGGGAGCAATCACCACACCAGCGCCTTCTCAGCACCTGGGGAGCCTGCGCCCTGCACAGGTACAGAGAGGAGCCCTCGGGCCGGGCAGCCGCCCTGCAGGCTGCGCTGGGCCGGCTCCATTTCACACTTCGGGACCCACGCTGCTGCTTTAGCCCCCTTAACGATACAGCAACCAGCTCCGCAGGGCAGCGTGCCAGGGACCTCCAGGTCACCCCTGCCGCAGTGCCAGGCCCTGGGGGTGAGGATGACACAGCACCCCACACTGTGGTCCTGCACAGGCCGGCACCCCAGGGACTGAGGAGGACTCGGTGACTCTGTCCCCAGGTGCCACAGCAGATTGCTGGAGTGACAAGGTGGCTGGGATTACACCTTTCAGGTGGACACTCTGCCATCTGGGATGAGATGGGAGTGGAGGCGTCTGCCGGTGGACTCAGGAACGAGCCCAGAAGTGGATCCTCCAGCCCCGAGAGACATTTAGATGGCGGAGTCCAAGCCATCAGCTTGGCTTACACTGACCGAGGGCCCTCAGCAGCCAGTGCTGCCAGGAAACTGCACTACATTCTCGACCCTCAGGTGAGAGCCTGGCGTGTACCACCCTGTCAATCCAGCAGGAAGAGGCGGAGGCATATTCTAGGCCAGTCTGGGCTATGCGGTGAGTTCAAGGCCAGCCTGAACTGCATAGCAAGACGCTGTCTCAAAGAGCACAAAAGAAAAAAAAAAAAGAGTGCCAAAAAACGTGGACTGTTTTAAGCCGCTGAGTTCTGAGGGCAGTTTTGATAGCGGTGATTAACTGTTAGAGCAGATAGTGAACACCGGCGATGGTAGTAGTGGTTGTGGTTTCATCAGCAGAAACGCTAGCTATTTTCATATCATATTAGAACTGTGGCTGTTTCAGAATATATTTCTCCTCATCATTACCCCAGAGCTACAGTATTATTAGATCTACCCGTAAAAGGTACAGGGTTACAATCTCAGCTGCCTCCAGTTCTGTGACGCAGCCCTCGGGCAGCTCTTGAGTCTGGTAATTACCAACCAAATGATGCGTTTCCCATTTGGAGAACCCAGACATCTTTGTTGCTTTCCAGAAATTTCTATCAAAAATTGTTTGTAAAGTGAGTCGTTTCCACTGCCAGCTTAAGTTCTGCAACCCAGACAGCTTGAATGAGAATGCTTCACCCCATGATGCCCCTTGACCTTCTGAAGGTCAGCGGTGAATGTGGAAGAGATGGTTCCAAACAGCCCTGGGGCTAGAGGACCAGTTCTGGGTTAGGATCTGGCTGCTGGTGCCTGGTGCAAGCTTTGTGTAAAGCTGTGAGTCCTCTCTGTAACAGACATGATTTCTTTTACTTTTCCCTTTAAAGCTTTCCTTGTGTTATTGTGACAAATACTCGGGCTAAAACAACTTAAGAAGAAGAAAGGTTTGTTTGGGTTCACAGCTTTGAGGTTTCTGTCCGGGTCTAGGTTGTCCTATGCTGTGGTCCAGTGAGGTCACAAAGATCCTGGCAGCAGAGGAGCCTCCTCCACCTCATCATGGTGGGGAATCAAAAGGAGAAAGAGGAAGAGACCATGATCCCACAGTCCCCTTTGAGGACAGACCCTCAGGGACCTAGAACCAGCCACAAGGCTCCTCATTTTATGAGTGTCTGTTGCAAAAAATGAAAACAAAAAAGCCAGCATGGTAGTGCACACCTGTAACCCTAGCACTTGGGAGGCTGAGGCAGGAGGATTGCTGCAAGTTCAAGGCCAGTGAGACCCTGTCTCAAAAAGACAAAAAAAAAGAGTGTCCCCCACCTTGCAAGAGTGCCATTAGTTGGGATGTTCCAGACCCTAAGAATAGCATCTTGAGGTCAAGGCATGAATGCAGAGCAGGCTGTGCAGGTGGTGGTTGTACGTTAGTTCTTGAGTAGTAAAGGACATGGAGGGCAAGACCTCTGCATACAACCAAGTTAGACTTCCTGGCTCGGGGCTGAATACTGACCTCAGTAGGAACATGAGGAAAGCCTTAGAAAGTCAAATGAAAATCATAAAGAATGTATGACTTAGATATAAAATGCCCCCCAAAGCTCATACATCAAAGGTTTGATCCCCCACCCCCATCAGTGGTGGCCAGAGGTGGGGGACAGAGAGGTGACTGGCTCCTGAGGGAGCAGGAGCAAAGTTCTGGGGCGAATTCATTGGCGGTCAGAGCTGGGCAGGTGGCCGGAGGGGGCCTGGCTGGAGGAAGCAGGTGAGGCTGCATCTGTCCCCTGCTCCCCCCGCCCCCTAGGAGAGGACTGGCCTCTCCTACGGGTAACCACGCACACTGCTTCAAAGCTCAGGGGCTCCTGGGGATGCCTGAGGACGTGACCCCACTTGTCCAGTGCAGGTGCACAGTGGGATGACTGCACAGTAAACATGCGCGCACTGGTTCCAGCACTGTGAGAATGTAAAGTGTGTGAGGACTGTGTGTAAAGACGCCGGCGGCTCTGGCCCTGGTGCTCGGCTCTGCCCCTGCTGCCTGCTTTGCTGACGTCTTGCACGTGTGTGGCCCTTAACCTTAGGACTTCGCCTTTGAAAATCCCCCTTGGGTCCCTGAGTGGGCTGACACCCCTGCACCCCGCTTTCCTCCATGACTTTTCACTGCACCTCAGCCCAGAGCAAGAGTCTGCTGAGCGCAGATGGAAACCTCTGAAACCGAGCCAGCTCAGTCTTTCCTCCCCTGACTTGCCTTTTCTCAGGGATTTTGTCACAGCAACCAAAAGCTGACAAACCCAAAACAGGTGAGAGATGCCTGTGCTTTGTGCTTCAGTGCTGTGATTGCAGGCGTGTGCCTCCATGCCCTCTTACAATGTCTCATTTCCAACAAAAAAGTAAGAAGCATACAAAGAAGTGGGAAAGTATGGCTTCATGGAGAAAAAAACATTTTATGGAAACTGTGTCCACAGATGTTGAATTTAGCAGACAGACTTCAAAGATAATACTATGGTTATGTTTAAAGAACTATAGGAAATCACGTTTGAAGACCTCAAAGTCTGACCAAAAAAATGGGGAGAAAAGTGGGAATGGTGGGGCACACCTATAACCCTAGCACTTGGGAGGCTAAGGTAGGAGCATTCGGAGTTTAAGGCCAGCCTGCACAGTGAGACCCTGCTCAGAAACCCAGAAGAAGAATAAGAAAAAGGAGGGGAGGAAGAGGAACATTTATATGACAACATTGAATCAACAAATACAGACTCTCAGTAGTGACAGATTTTTTTTTTTTGGTCTTTTTCATTTTTATCGGTACCAGGGATTGAACTCACGACCGCCTGCTTGCAAGGCAGGTGCTTATGCCGCTGAGCTAAACCCCCAGCCCCATGACAGATATTTTTTAAACCAAAGATTAGACTAGAGTTGAATGATACCTTTAGTACCTAAGAGGATCTATATATTAATTCTAATCCCTATCAAAATTCCAATAATGATGGATTTTTTGCTTTTTGTTTGCATGTATTCCAAAAATAGAAACCCCCACTTTTTAACTGATACAGCATTTCAGAAGCCCCTAAGTAACCAAAGCAATCTTGAAAAAGAAAACTAAAGATCTCACATTTCCTGATTTCAAAAAGTACTATAAAGCCACCGTAGTGAGAACAGTATGACATTGGTGTAAAGACAGAGGGGGAATGAGAAGTCTCCTCACCAAAATCTTGACACCTACAGTCAAATGCTTTTTTGGGGGTGAGGGTGGGGTTGCTGGGGATCAAACTCATGACCTTGTGCTCGCCAGGCAGGTGCTTATGGTGAAATGATTTTTGACAAGGGTTTCAAAACCATTCTGTGGGGAAAGGACAGTCTGTTGAAAACTGGTGCTCAGAAACCTGGAAATGCACAAGCAAAAGAATGAAGTAGGACTTTTGCCTAACGTGACGTCACATGCCTATGATCCCAGGCTGGGAGGCTGAAGCAGGAGGGCTGCAAGCTTGGGACCAATCTGGACAGCTTAATGAGTCCCTGCCAATACAGACATCTGTACGTACCGAAGTAAAGCTGGGGATTTAGCTCAGCGTAGATTGTCCCCGGGATTCGATTCCCAGTACTGCAAAAACAGAACTAAGCAAAATGACAGAAAATAAGCATTGGTGAGGAAACAGAGACACTAAGGCCCTTGTGCACTGCTGGCGTAGGTGCAGCTCCCCTCTGATATTTAGCAGAGAGACTTTAACGCGAGGGCAGGTATTTATGGCACACTCGTGTGTCTGAGGTCAATCTCCAGCACTAAGAAAAAAATGTAATGATGAAAAACTGCAGGAAGTTGGCAGGTTGCGGACGGCAGAAGAATCAGTGACTATAGATGAACAGAAACCAATCCAAAGCACATAAAGGAAATAAATTAAAAACCAGTGATGGTACTCAAAGACCTGTAGGGCAAGAGCCACATAAGCACCCGTGTCCAGTGGGATTACCCAAAGGACAAGGGAGAGGAGAAAGAGGGGAAGAGCAGACACAGACAGACAGACAGACACTAGTCACTAACAACCTCCCAGTGTATGCAGATCTGAATCTATACATCGAGGACTGAAAAACCTCAAACAGGATTAATACAGAGAGCTACATCTAACACACCACAGACAACCATTGAAAGACAATGAAAAACTGTTTCTGGATGTTTGTTTTTTTCTGGTGGTTGCATTTGTCAGGTTTCCCGTTGCTAGACAACGTCTGACTCACAACTCAGAGGAGCAGATTGATTAGCACACGCTGTGAGGAGATTCAGTCCCAGGTCACCTGGCTCCCAGGCAGAGCATCATGGTGGGAGGGTGCGGGGGAGCAAAGCCCCTTAGCTCATGGCGGGAAGCAGAGCCCAGCAGGAAGGGGTGGCACTGTGTACGTGTGTACGAGTGGGCTGTGGCTGTCCACCGTCCCTCCGTCCAGACCAACCTGGACCAGAGCCATAAGGTCAACACTGAACCTAACCTTTGTGCTTGATTCGGTTCTTGTCCAATGTGGTTTGGAAAGAACTGAGGTACCACCTAGCACCCCCCCCAGACACCCCCGGAGGGTGCTGTACCAGGTGCTCCTTCACCAGTGAAGCTGCCCGTCAGGGCTGACGTCACAGGGGTTCTGGGAAGTGGGACTCAGTCCCCACCTGTGTTGGCTCACACAACCACCGAGCCATGCACAGCCTTTACAAGAGGGTTTCAGGGGGCTGGGGATTTAGCTCAGTGGCATAAGCACCTGCATTGCAAGCAGGCAGTTGTGAGTTCGATCCCCGGTACTGATAAAAAGGGGGGAAAAAAAGTCAATCTCTGGTACCAGCAAAAAAAGCGGGGAGGTTTCCTACAGAAGGCATTACAGCATGGGACAGCTTTGGTGAAATATAAATTGTTTCTTATTTCCTAAACAGCACTCAGGGCTACAAGCTAGTGTACATTGGGAAATTACTTTCAAGCCACAATAAGCATTTTATTGAGGTAACTGTGTCTACAACGATAGAACTATATACAATGTGTATAAAGAGATGAATACAGACAGATAGATTGAGAGACAGAGAAAACAATAGAGTAAATTGTTAAATGTTAGCAGCTGGTAGAATCTAGGTTCAGGGTATGTGGAAATTCTTCATTATTATCCTGGCAACTTTTCTCTAAACTTGAAATTATTCCACAACTGAAAAGTTAAGTCAAATAGTTCAAACATTTTATTTTAGCTTCATTTTGTGGTTTATACAAAACAAATTGAAAATAAAATGTCAGAGAAGAGGATGAATATGAAAATCATGTACTATATCCTTTCACTTCTATTACTGAATATTATGGACCCAAAAGCCCAGCTGGTGAGTGAGAGAGGTGTGTGTGTGTGTGTGTGTGTGTGTGTGTGTGTGTGTGTGAAAATGGATGAGATCTAAAGTGCTCTCTCTCTCTCTCTCTCTCTCTCTTTCTCTCTCCCCCTGATGTCATCAAAGAAGACATTTATTTTGTGAGTACTTTTTCAAACTACAAAGACTGTGAATATTTTGGAAGTGACAAAAAGATTTCTGGCCAAACCCAACTTTGGATAAACCCCCTTCTCTGCACAGATGGGCTCCTGCTAAGCCTGCTGAGGCCCAGCTTTGCTACTTTAATGAGAAGCAAACTTTCTACGCTGGCATCATTGTTATTTTTGCTTTTTTTACACAGACAGACAACAAAGATTCTAGGAAGCCCAAAGAAGAACTTCCTCAACAGCCATAAACCTCATCGGGGAGACGGGTCTCAGAGTCAGACACACTTAAATTTTAGCTTCAAGATGTAAAAGCAAAATCCGAACTGCTTCTCTGCCACATAGAAGTTGGCTGGCTTTTCTGACGCCATGCCTTGAAGGGCTTTTTCAAACTAAGGGCACAGAGTTTACTTTAACTAAATGCAAAAGGACAAACAGGAGAGGAAATCCAGCCAGGCCGTTATCAGACCAGGAGCCTGCTGCCCCCCTGGCTGGCTGGAGGAGGCTCCTCCACCAAGGGAAGGCGTCTGGCTTTCGGGTCCCTGTCCCGGAGCCAGCCTTACAGCCGGGATTGAGCAAAGTGAAACATGCTTGGCTCAGCGGCTGCTCAAGAAGCAGCTGCAAGATCTGCTTCTTCCACGTGGAGCTGTACAAAAATCTGCCTCTGTCTTTGGAGAAGGAATTCCATAAATTCTGGAAAGCTCCAGAAATCTTCCCGAAGTCATTTCCTTCAAGGACGGCTCCGAAGGGGAACTGCGGGTGTGCAGTGTGTTTCTCTCTTGGAAAAGCGAGCCAGAGTTGAGGTCTCCCGAGTGGACACAACACCGGATGTCCACAACGTAAAGGAGCAGAGGATGATTTGGCTCACAGCTGCGGTGGGTTCAGCCCAAAGGTAGGTGAGTTGGGGGGTTCAGTGGGAATAAGATATACGTGAGTCAAGGGCTGGGACAGGGGAGTGACTGGGCCCACGGCGCAGGTGCTGGGGAAATAAAAAGATTCAGGGCCCTAATCCACCGGTCTCGGGGACAGTACAGTGGCCTCGGGGCAATCACCTTCTTTCTGTCTGCAGGTGGCTGCCTTCCCTCTGTGTCCTCACTGGGCCCCTCTCCGTTCTGTGTGCACAGACAGAGGCGGGCATGGCTCCTTGTCTGTAGGATTAACACTTCATACTTACGACCTCATTTAACTCTCCTTCCAAAAAGCTGAGGATCAATGGAACAGATTAGAAGATGCAGAAATAACCACAGATACACTCAGCCACCTTCTCTTTGACAAAGGTGCAAACACCTCCACTGGAAGAAAGAAAGACAGCCTGTTTAACAAATGGTGCTGGAAAAACTGGCTCTCTACACGCCAAAAATTAAAACTAGACTAATAACCCTCACCATGCACTAAATTAAAATTGAAATGGATTGAAGATCTAAATATTAAAGTAGAAACACTAACTCCACTAGAGGATATAATACATAGAACTCTTGAAGACACAGGGGTAGGCAAAGACTTTATGAACAAAACCCCAGCCACACAGGAACTATTACAAAGAATCAACAACTGGGATCTCATCTTGCTTCTGAAAAGCTTTTGCACAGCAAGAGAAACCACCAACAATGTGAAGAGACAGCCCACAGAGTGGGGAAAAGATGTTTGCCAGCTGTTCCTCTGACAAAAGACTACTATCTAAAATATAGAGAGAACTAAAAAAATCAGATCCCCCAAATTTAAGACCTAATCTAAAAATAGGCATCTGAAACACATACACACTTCTCAGATGAGCAAGTAGAAACAGAAAATTTATGAAAAACTGTTCAATATCATTGATCATTGGAGAGATGCAAATTAAAAACAACACTGAGATCCCACTTCACCCCAGGAAGAATCAAGAAATTACAAATAACCAATGCTGGCAGCACCGTGGGGAAAAGGAACCCTTTTCTGCTGTTGGTGGCAGGGTAGACTGTTGTAACCGCTGTGGAAATCAGTGTGGAGAGTCTTCAAGACACTAGGACTACAGGTTCCATTCAAACCAGGTCCCCCTCATGGTGTCTTCCCCAAAGAACTAAAAGCATCGTATCACAGCAATGTATGAGCATTTGTAGCGGCACAGTTTGTAATAAGCAAATCTTCGAAACACCCCAATACCCATCAACCCGTGCATGGAGAATAAGAGGGGGTTTTTTACGCGATGGGGCAGTACTCTGCCGTAAATATAGATACGCTTGAGGCGTTTTTAGCTACGTGGATGCACTGTGAGCCCACACTCTTAAGTGAAATAAATTGCACGCACGTGTCGTGTGTAAATACTGCGTTGTTTCTCTGCTGTGACAAACCAAAAGTCCAAATAAGGACAGAAATGTATCATAGGTGTAGTGAAATGGGAAAAATTGTTCAGATGGGGAGGGGAACACGGGAGCCGGGCGGGCGAGAGGAAGGAAGAGAAAAGAAAAAGCATGATGACGAAAGAAGGAAAAATGGAAACAAAGTTTTTCAATAAGGAGGGAACCAGAGATTACAGGGAAGGCAGGGCTGGGGAGAAAGGAATCAAGAGATGCCGTGGAAAGGTACGAGTTCCCTGGGATGAGTGCGATCATTGTGAGCACCTAACTGGACCAGTGAGCTTAATTAATTAAAAAAAGAAACAAAAACAGCTCAGAGGGCTCAGCCCAGGGCCAGCTGACCCAAGGGGGGCAGAAGAAGGGGTGGCCGGAGGAGGCTGCTCCCCGCGAGATGGCTTCTGGTTTTATGTTTTATTTTTTTTCAGTGCTGAGGCCTGAACTCAGGGCCTTGTGCACAGTAAGCAAGTGCTCTGCCCCTGAGGCTTGCCTCCTTTTTATTTCTGAGTTTAGCAATTTGAATCTTTTTCTTGGTCTGTCTAGCTAAAGGTTTGTCAATTTTGTTGATTTTCTGGTGTGTGTTAATGCTTGAGGCATTGGGATTGATCCCCAGCACTGCAAAAAGAAAAACAAAACAGAATTTTAAAAACACCCTTAGGTTTCATTGACGTGTTTCTCTCTTCTCGGTTTTGATTGCTTCTGCTGTAATCTTATCATCCCTTCTTTCCACTAGTCTTGTGTTTTATTGTTCTTGTTTTTAATCTATAGTGCCTTCCATGTAAAGTTAGGTTTTAGAGTTCAGAGCATGTATATTTTGTTGTTCTTTTGTTTTATATAAGAAAAAGAAACCTAAGCATTTAAGTAAGTCCCCAACTTGCCTGTAGGCAGACTGTGAGCTAAATAAACCCTTCCCTCCTCTAAGTGTGGGTGCTGGGTATTCTGTCCCGTAATGGGAATAGTGACTAAGATACTCTCTCCCCGTGCAGTGAGCACTCAGCAGCACAGCCATGAGCACGTCCAGCAGATCTGGGAGCTACTTCTGATATTTGTTCCCTTCTAGAAGTGGTCCTAATACAACTCTCTTAGTATCTGTGAAGGTTCAAATCTTGGATGTTCGTAAATTGGGAACTTCTGTTTAGGCTATAAATTTCCTTAGACTCCCTTCACTGGGTCACATAACTTTTGGTAGACTGTGGTTTCATTTTCATTTATTTCTCAGTCTTTTAAATTTCTGTCTTTTTTGATCCACTGGTTGATGGCATGTTGTATATATTTCACAAGTTCGTGGAAATGTCCAGTTTTATTTGTTTGTTTGTTTGTTTATTTTTCTGAGACAGGTTCTCACTGTGTTCTCAGACTGATCTTCAAACTGTCTGTGGAGCCCAGGCTGCCCTTAAACTTATGGCAATCCTCCTGCCTTAGCCTCCCAGAGAACTGAAACTACAAACATGTGCCACTGTTCCTGGCTTCTTAGGATTTCTTTTTATGACTTTTTTTGTCTTCATTTTTTGCATTATTGTACTTTTTAAAAGTACTTTTTGTACTTTTTAAAAAAAATTTTTAAAATTTTTAGTGACAAACTTTTTTATTTTGAACTCCTATCTCATTTGTTTTCATGTATACTATTTAGCTATATTCTTTGTGGTTGCTATGGAGATTATATTTAGCATCCTAAAGTTACAGTACCCTAATTTGAATCTGTATGAGTTTTATTTCAGTAGCATGCAAAACTCCTCTGCATGACAACTTCATTCCCACCCCTAAACATAAACTAATAATTCTTTTCATTGCATTAGTCACTTTAAATTATACAGAAAACAAAACGTGGCCTTAAAGGTTCGCGTTACAATGACATTAGCTTTGAGACTAATTGTTTAAAGTGTCGGTCTCTTAAATCACACCGTAAGCAGAAGGGGAAGTGACAATCTGCCAGAGACACGACAGGAGCATGCACACGTGTCCGTGTGTCCATCTGCATGGGGATTTTCCTTCCTTCACAAGGCTTGGGGCACCTGTCCAGTGTCCCTGCCTTTCACTCCAGAGCCCCCCTTCAGCACTGAAGGACAGGTCTGGAGGTAGGGAAGCCCGCCAGCGTTTATTCATCTGGAATGTCTTATTCCTCCCTTAGTTTTACACCTTAATTTACTGTTGTTCTTTTTTTTTTTTTTGAGACAGAGTCTTGCTTTATAGTTCAGGCCTGTCCTATACCCTCTCTGTAGTCCAGGCTGGCCTTGAGCTCATGGTGATCCTCCTGCCTCAGCCTCTTGCGTGCTGAGTTTGTAGGTGTGTGCCACCATGCCCAGCTAATTTATCTTTGTTGACAGCTTTTTTCTTCCTTCTAGCATTGTGAGTATATTTCACAGTTTTCTGTCCTTTGAAGTTTTTTAAATGAGAACTCTGTTAAACTTACTGACAATCTGTTCAACTTGTCCTTTTGCGTGTGATATCATTTTTTTCTTGCTGCCCTCAAGATTCTCTTTTGGAGCAGGGGAGGCAGCTCCGTGGCCGAGCACTTGCCTGGCATGCACAAGGCCCTGGGTTCAATCCCTGGCACTTCAGAGGAAAAAAAACAGAGCTAGGTGAGGTGTCTCCTACCTGTTCCTGTAGTTCCAGAAGCTGAGCAGGCTGAGGCAGGAGGATCATTTGAGGCAGGGGTAGTGAGGGTGCATTTGCTCAGCTCAGATGGAAACCACAAATGGGCAAAGCACAGGGGTCAGCAGCGCTGGGATCTGAGTGCCAGGGGGCCTTGGGCCTTGCCTGCAGCTCCTGGCAGCTCCTCTGGCAGCACACAGCCTGCTTCAGCAGCTTGTGCTGCCTCTCAGGGATTCTCTGCAGGTCTCCGCTAAACCTGGCCGCTGGCTGCCGCCTCTGGTGGCTACTAGTTGATGCTGGGTCATTGAGGGTGGCTGCTGCTGGTCTTCCTGACCCTTTAAGGCTAGCAGCCCTGCTGCTACAGCTCTTCAGTGCGGCCTGCTGTGCCCACACTGCCTGAGATAACAGTTAGGAGGAGACTTACAGGAGGACCCGCGAGGCTTTCTTGAGACCTGCACTGCAGCACGGGGTCCAGTGCACAAAGGAACCCTCTCCTGTGAGCCCAAGGAACATGAGGGGCCAGGTCCGCAGTTCCGCACGTTTGGTGACTGCTTGAACATTTTCAGAGTAAGGGCAGAGGGAGGAGCAGAGTCATCTGGGCTTGTAGGCGGAGTCGGTCCAGCTGGCACAGGCGGAGTGATCCGGGATTTAGAATAGGCACTAGCCATAAGTGTAATCCTAGCACTGGGGAGACTGAGGCAGGAGGATCATTATGAGGTCGAGACCAGCCTGGGCCACAACCTGAGTTCAAGCCTGAGCTGCAGAGTGAGACCCTGTCTGCAAAAGAGAAAACCACTGTAGCCCTGCGAGGTGTCTCCCGGACACCAGGGTGTGTCCAGGACAGTCGGAGCTGTAGCGGGACATCTGGGGGAAGTGGCTGCTGGATTCTGAAGAAACTGCGGCGCTGAAACTGTCACAGCACAGCTTCGCGCATCCTCAGAGGGGCGGCACAGTGCCTGGAGTAGTGACAGCAGGAGAGGGTGTGAGGGCTGTCACCCACCCTGGGCTCTGTCCGCACGGAGTAACCCCAGAGACCCCGGGAAGACCTGGAGTCCGCAGGTCCCAGACCACCTTTGAAGAACCCGGGGAAAATCTGAAGAAATGAAGGGGGAATTTTTGCAGAGTGGGAGAAGCTTGGCACACACAAGAGAGGCCCATGCGCGCCGGGCCCGCACCTCTGCAAGCAGCAGCGGCGGAGCTCACTGCGCAGGCGCCCTGGACTGTCTCCCCCCCCCCCCCCAGCTTCCCTTCGCGCCTGCGCGCTGGGCGCAAAGTGCCGGGAAGCGCGCGTCCCGCTGGCCGCCGGTGGCTGCGCGGTGCGGGTCGGGGCCGTAGCTGCCAAGTCATTGAAACTTAAAAGGGACCCAGATAAACCCACTTACCATCGGACCTTGCCCCGGGATGCTGCAGGTCCTCCTCAGGCCCCACAGGCTGCCGTCTCCCCGGAGTCACACCGGGGAGGTCAGCGGGGTCGGAAAGGGGAGCCGCACCTCCCTCCTGCGCCTGCGCGGGGCGCTGTACCCCGGTTCCCACGGCGTCGGGGTCCCTCCCTCGGCCGCCGCAAAATTCCTGAAGAGCTGTTAAAGAGCTTGCTCTGCGGATTGTGTGTGTGTGTGTGTGTGTGTGTGTGTGTGTGGAAGGTGCTCACCCAGCACACTCAGGGCCCTGGATTCAAGCCCCACTGCAAGAACAGAAGAACTCAGCCATCAGATCAGGCGGCGTTTGCTTTCGACTATCGTGAATGTTTTTTAGAAACGTAAAAGAAGAAAAATAGTATGTGGTATCTTACCTCGCTATGCACCCTTTTAAAAATTTTACCCTTATTAGTACACTTTTAACATCCGTAAGGGTCACACTCATCACGGGGGATTTGTACTGGTAGGTGACACAGCTTAATCCTTTTCATTCCATTCTCCTCTCTTCCTTTTGACCCTGCGTCCCCTCTCCCTTTACAAAACTCGGTTTCTATCGTTTTCCTTCCATTCTTTATTTTTAAAAATCCTTGTTTCCTCCCTTCCCTCTCTGACTCCTTGCCCCCCACCCTTGCCCTCTACCCTGTTCCCTTCCCATTTGAATATTTTCTTCGTACTTCCCAGTATCTGTGATCTGTCTTGGTTCTTATTTATCCTTTCTGTCTGTCACACATGAGAAGCAATGCGATATTTAAACATGTGTGTCCGATTCCTTTTGCTTAACATTGCGTTCTCAAGGTGCATTCATTTACCTAAAAACATCTCAAGTTTATCCTTCTTTATGGGAGTTTAGTACTCCAATGCATATAAAAACCACGTTTTCTCCACCCATCCATCCATTGATGGGCATCTGGGCTGTTTCCAAGATTTAGCTATTACAAGTTGTGTTGCTATAAACATGGGTGTGCATATATCACTGTGGTATGATGCTTCTAACTCTTTTGGGAAGATACCCAGAAGAGAAATAGCTCTCTGGGGGACCTCTAGTCCTAGTTTTGTGAGGAACATGCACACTGATTTCCACAGTGGTTGCACCAGTCTACACTCCCACCAACAGTGGAGAAGGGTTCCGTTTTCCCCAGAGCCCCTCTGGCATTTGTTATTGGTTGACTTCTCGATGATAGCCATTCTTTCTGAGGTGAGATGGAATCTCAGTGTTGCTTTAATTTGCATTTCTTGAATGACCTGTGATGTTAAACATTTTTCATATATTTACTTGCCATTTGTATTTCTTCATCTGCGAAATGTCTATTCATTTTAGACGCCCATTTTAGGATTGAGTATTTAAATTGAAGGGGGGGGCTGGGGATTTAGCTCAGTGGCATAAGCGCCTGCCTTGCAAGTGTGTGGCTACGAGTTTGATCCCTGGTACCGATTAAAAAAAGAAAGAAAGAAAGAAAGAAACCTCAAATACTTGGGGCTGGGGATTTAGCTCAGTGGCATAAGCGCCTGCCTTACAAGTGTGTGGCTACGAGTTTGATCCCTGGTACCGATTAAAAAAAGAAAGAAAGAAAGAAAGAAAGAAAGAAAGAAACCTCAAATACTTGGGGCTGGGGATTTAGCTCAGCAGCATAAGCACCTGCCTTGCTAGCAGGTGGTCATGAGTTCGATCCCCGGTACCGATAAAAATGAAAAAGACAAAAATAAATAAATAAATAAATTGAAGGGGGGGTCTGGTTTTTCTGAGTTCTTTATAAGTTCTAGATATTAGTCCTTTGTCTGAGGAACAGCTGGAAGACATTTTTTCCCACTCTGTGGGTTGCCTCTTTACTTTCTTGGTGGTTTCTTTTAATGTACAAAAGCTTTTAATAAGATGAGATCCCAAGGGCTGGGGGTTTAGCTCAGCAGCATAAGTGCCTCCCTTGAAAGCAGGCAGTCGTGAGTTCGATCCCCGGTACCCATAAAAAGGAAAAAGACAAAAAAAAAAAAAAAAAAAAGAGATCCCAGCTGATTCTTTGTAATATTTCCTGGTCAATCAGGGTTTTATTCATAAAGTCTTTACCTACACCAAAGTCTTCTATAGTTTTATGTATTCTCTCTTCCAACAGATAGTTTCTTAATATTTATATCTTTGATCCATTTTGGTTTTAGTTTAGTGCATAGTGAGGGAGATATGGGTTGGTAACAGAGTAGTTCCCCAACCAGTAAATTTGTTTCTTAGTTACCCAGGTAACAGTTCCTGGTCCAGTTTCTGTTACTCCTGTCTCTTAGAAACAGCTGGTCACTGTGATGCACGTTGTATGAACCAATCTCCAACTCACAAGCCATCCTGCTTCTGTATTTCCTGCTTGCTTATCCCATATAAGCCCTAGATCACTGGAGATCAGGGATATTCCCTGATATTCTGGGAATGATCCTGATCAATGTCTGTCTACATAAATAAATCTGCCTCCAGATCCTGGGTGTCATTGTTTGCTGTTGCAGGTCTAGGTTTAAGCTTTGGCATGTGGAAAACCAGTTTTCCCAGCACCCCCTGATAAAGAGGCTGTCTGTCTTCCACTGAAGATGTTGGTTTCTTTGTCAAAGATAGGGTAGTTGAGTATTTTTGGAGTTGTTTCTGCATCTTCTGTTCTGTTCCATTGATCCTTGGGGCTGTTTTTTGTCGGTACCATGCTATTTCCAGCACAGTAGCTCTGTAGGATAATTTCAAGCCAGGGGTTGTGATGCCCCTGCCTTGCCTTTGTTGCCCCAAATTGCTTTTATTGTTCTAAGTCTCTTCTGGTTCCAAATGAATTTGAGAATTGTTTTCTCTATTTCTATGAGGTACACTGTTGGTATCTGATCAGGATTGCATTAGCTATTTATCCCTTTTATTGCTCTTCTTTCATTCCTGATACCTCTAACTTTCCTGTTTTAATTTCCTGTCAGCCAGGATAACCTCCTTTCGTCTTGACAACATGTGTGCTGGTGATTAGTGCTCTTAGCATTCCCTGCTCTGTGAATTCTTTAACTCACTGTAATTCCTGAGGATTTTTTCACTGCATATGGAATTCCAGATTCACTATTTTTTTCTTGTACCAGAATTGAACTGGAGACCTTGTGTTTGCCGGTACTATGCCACTGAGCTCTATCCCCAGCCCCTATTCTTTTCTTTCACAACTTTAAAATTTTTGTTTTACTACTTTTCTGGCCTCCAGGTTTTCTGATATGAAACCCACATTCATTCTAATTGTTTTTCTCTTGTGGGCGAAAAACCTTTTTCTCTGGCTGTTTTCAAGGTTCTTTTTTGTTTACTTTTCAGTAGTTTGAATATGATGGATTGTGAGATTTCTTTGTGTTTACTGTTTAGCAATTGGTGAGCTTCTTGATTCGGTAACTATATGTGTTTTGCCATTTTTGGACGTTTTCGGCCATTATTTTTCCAGCCATTATTTTATCAAAGTTGTTTTTCTATACCAAATATCTTTTTTTTGCCTTTCCTTTTGGGATTCTGATGACATGAATGCTAGGTTATTTGGTCTTGTTCCCTGGGTCCTTGAGGCTCTATTTTTTCCCTCCTTTATTTTTATGTTTTTTTTTCAGATTGGGTACTGTTAAATTGAAAGTTTAGCTTAAACTTTTTGTCTCTCTACTTGGGTCATAATGTTTGGCCTAGCACTGCCTCCGAGCATCATAAACTGTAATCTATCTTGATGCCTGAAGAAACTAAACAAGAGCAAGTATCATGGTAACCAAGCAACTGACGATCAGCCAATCACAATAGCCAAAACCTCAGCCAATCACAGGCTAAAGACTGCTGAGCCACGCCTGTGTGAAACAATCCTAGAACAGTGGCAATAGAGTGTCATTTCCTGACTTTCTGATTATAAATATGCTTTCCTTGGTTGGCAGAGGCACGCTGAGCCATCTTTGGTCTGCAATGTTTCCCCCTTATAGAACTTCATATGCTTACTTTGTTAAATTTAACTCATTTCAGGATTTTGTCTAGTGACCTTCCCTCTGTATTCTCTATTCTGCTACTCAGCCTATCTAGTGACATTTTTGCTTCTCTTACTCTACTTGTCAATTGTAAAATCCCCATTTGATTTTTTATAACTTGTGTTTCTCTGTTAAGACACTCTTTTTATTTTATGTCTCCTCCTCTGCTTTATATCGTGGTTGTGATAGCTGTTCCTTTAATTATAAAACCAAATCAAAGCATAAAACCAGTTGTAATGCTACAGGTCTGTAATCCTAGCTACTCAGGAGGTGAGGCAGGAGGACTACAAGTTCAAGGCCAAACTAGGTAACTGAACAAGACCTTGTCTCAAAATAAACTATAAAAGTGCAGAGTTAGAGCACTTGTTTAGCTTATCCAGGGGTTGCATCACCAGTACTGCAAAAATGAAACAAAAAGCACCAGATTGATCGTAGTAATTATTTTATTTACTACTTAGGACCTTGCACTTGCTAGGAAAGCGCTTTGCGATGAGCTACGTCCTCAGCCCATTTTGAGTGCAGCTCAGTGGCACTAATGATACTCACAGTGTTGTGCAAGGTGCATGCTTTAGGTTGCTTTTCCCTCCAGGTTAAGTGATAACGGGGTGTGGTGGTGTGGGGTGGAAAGCTCATCCTTGGTTCTTCTTTTCCTTATAGTCTTGCTGCCATTACTTCTCAGAATCCTCAAAGGCGGGGTGTTTTGGCACACACCTGTAGTCCCAGCACTTGGGAGGCTGAGCAGGAGTATTGCCATGAGTTGGAAGCCAGCCTTGGCTAATAGTGAGTTTAGGCCAGTCTGAATAGAGAGCAAGATCCCCCTCCTTCGGAAATCCTAAGATGACTCCTGCGTGTATGCTCTCTGAGGCTTCAAATTACATTCAGTGAGAGAAACAGGATGCATTGTGGTTTCTCCATCTGACTGGAATTGGAAACTTCTGTTTCTCTGCTTGCTCATGGGTATTACATATATTTTTGGATATAAGTCATTTATTAGATATAGTTATTGTGAATATGTTTATCGCACTTTATGCTTTGCTATTTTTTTTTTGTATCAGGAATTGAACTCAGGACTTGTGCTTGCCAGGCAGGTGCTGTGCGCTAAGCTATTATAGCTCCAGCCCCACATAATTTTTTAAAATCACTTTTTTTTTGGGTGAGAATGCCTTACAGGCACCATGATTTGGAAACTGCTGCAGAAGTTCTGCTGAGAGGGAGTGCATGCACTGTGGCCGAAGCAGGATGAAGAGATCTGAGCTGGTGGTGGTGCAGGCCTATAATCCCAGCATTCAGGAGCCTGAGGCAGGAGGATCGCTGGGAGTTCGAGGTCAGCCTGAAGTACATAGCTGGACCATATCTCAAACAAACAAACACCAAGGTAGATTTGAGAAACGGGAAGCAAACTACATTAAACGTTGCAGGCTCCAAGGAATGAGGAAGAGGGGAACTCATATTTTTTGTTGGATCAACAGGATGGGTGGTCCTGCCAGTCCCTAGGACTAAATAAGAGTAAAGGCGAATCTAAGGTGAAATTTTAATTTATGAGGTTTGAGATGATTAAGGCGACTCAGAATGTCCAACAGATTTGCGACTATTTTAACCTGAAAGTCAGAAACGTTAAAAGGACGGTATTAATGAGATGAAGGTCAAGCAGGGGACCTGGACATGTATTGCTCCTAATAATGAGGACTGAACCCAGAACCGTTTCTCTGGACTATAATCCCAGTCCATTTTTATTGTTTTATTTTGACACCGCCTCACAAAGCAAGAAGCCTGGTGTCGAACTTGCCCTCCCTCGGAGCCGCAAGAGAACCGGCTTGATTACTTTTGGTTTCGCACCCTTTCCACGCCTTCAGCGCAGGCGCCCGGACCTGCCCTGACGCGAAGGGAGGCGGTGGTGGGCGGGGCCAGAAACGGAGCGGCCTTTCCCAGGGCCCGCTGGCCTCTGGGGGCGGGGCCGGATGTGCCGTGACGTTACTAGGCTGCGCGCGGAAAGGGACCGGAGCGCGACGGCGCCGCCGGAGGACGAGGACTGGCTAGTGGGGAAACGAAACCGAGGGAGTAGGCGGAGGTTCTGGCGGCGGCCGAGCCCGGCCCGGTATTGGCGGCGACGACAGACCTCCCCCTTCTCGCTCCCCCGGCAGCTTGCCCTCTCCCCTCAGCGTGAGTGCCGACCGCGGCCCGGGGGGAGAGAGCGGGCGGGTGCGCGGGCTCAGCATCCTCCTCGTCCCGTCGCCTGGCCCCCACCCGCGGCGGTGACTCCCCGCCCTCCGGCCGCGTTTCCTCCGGCCCACCTCGCTTCCGCAGCCTCCTGGAGCCGGAGCTGCGACTAACACAAGTCCTGCGCACACGTTGGCGCGCCCAGCGTTATCTTCAGTTGCAAAGACCAGCCAGGGAGGAGGCGAGCTCCTGGCTTATGTGCTGGGGGCTGGCTGTGTAAAACCCAGGCCCAGTGCAAGGATCTGAGTCCTTCTGGTGGGGAAGCAGGACTTCCCTTCGAGGTCCTGGCCACAGCACGTTCTTCTGGCATGTGTTGGTCACTTGAACTAAGCAGTAGTTAGCTCCGTGGTCTTTTTTGGGGGGCTTAGTCTTTTCCATTGGAAAGTGAGAGGGTGGATCAGATGACCTGTTAGGCCCAGGTGTAACCACACCAAGATGGTGTGGGTGAGGAGGATCAGCATCTGCTCCCCTTTACACAGCTGCTTCCTCTCCTTTATTTGCATCCCCCTCAACACAGTTCACATTGAGTTTCTCGTACTTTCAGCCTCCCCCCCCCCCAGAGTGGCTTAATTATCACAGGAGTCTTTCTGCGTTTGCTGTGTCTAGAAACAGGTTCTATAATGGACTTTCCTACAGCCTTTTTGGGGAGACCCGAGACTGCGATATAAAATGAAATGAAATGTCACCAGGCTTGGTGTCACTTTCTGTTTGCCGCTGTCCTGGTCCACCAATCTGCCAGTTAAGGGCCCACTTCCTTAGGAAAGGTGTGATTGTGCGTCGATTTGACTGGCTCACCCTTTGACTAGAGAGAAGAGCAGCGTGATCCAGACTTTTGTGAGGGTTTGGGGATCAGTGACACCTTTGAGATTCTTTGCTTGCTTTCTGTGGCTGCAGTGACTCACTCTGTAAGCCTACACGTCTGTCCTCCTGGAAGGGTTGCAGTCCAGCTGGTCACCCATTCCTTTGCACCTGTTTTTTCTTTTTAAGTTCTGTATAACCAATCATTAGTGTGTAAATCATGCTATATTTACTGCTTTTCCTTAAGTTTTAAGGGCCTCATGATCATTCCATCCAATTTTCCTCCCTCACACTTATGTGTCACATGCATGGGCATGGATGGATGGTGGGATGGGTGGTGACATGGTGCTTACCTCTTTTTTTTTTTTTTTTTGTGGAGGTAGGTTCTTATTTTTTCCCATTGGTGCTGAGGATTGAACCCAGGCCCTTTGCACTCTGCTGTATTCCCCCTACTTTTTAAACTTTGGGGCAGAGTCTCAGTTGCCCTGGCTGGTATTGAACTTGTGATCCTGCCTCATCCTTCCAGGGTTTTGGGATTATAGATATGTGCCACTACACCTGGCTCTACTATTTATTTATTATTTTTAAATTTTTGTTTATTTTTTTTTTTTTTGAGACAGAGTCTAGCTCTGCAGTTGAGGCTGGCTTTGTGCTCATGGAGATTTTCCTGCCTCAGCTTCCCGAGTGTTGGGATTACAGGCATGCACCACCACACCAGGATATTATTTATTTTTAATTTTTATTTTATTTGGTGATTTTTGGGACAGGGACTCGCTGCATACTTCAGGTTGGCCTGGAACTCATAATGATCCTCCTGCCTCATCTCCCAAGTGTGTGATTACAGGCATGTACCACCACGCCTGGTTGGTTTTTTTTTTTTGGAGGTGGAGTTTCGCTATGTAGTTTAGGCTAGCTTTGAACTCCCTGTGTAGCCCAAACTGTCCTCCTACCTCTGTCTCCTGAATACTGGGATTATAGGTGTGTGCCACCACACCTGGCTTGGTTTTATTCTTTTTTTTTTTTTTTTTCTGTCTTTTTCCTTTTTATCGGTACCAGGGATCGAACTCATGACTGCCTGCTTGCAAGGCAGGTGCTTATGCCGCTGAGCTAAATCCCCAGCCCCTTGGTTTTATTCTTAACAGTACTGTTTCTGTACCTCAATCCAATGAGTTAGCTATCTCCAGTCCTAATATTTTCCTTTTCTTCAGCCTAAGCCAGCTAACGTGCTTATTCCTTACCTTAGGTGAAAACTTCATATTTTCAAACAGTATGAAGTAAACGAAAACCTAGTATTTGTGTAATGTTATGTAATCTCACACTTGTTCTAGTACCAGTGGGCCATGGGCTTCTGGATCTATGGCTACCACCTTTTTAAGTAAAGCTAACATCTGTTAGAACGCAGGGCTTAGGCTGGGGATTTAACTCAGCAGAGTAAGTGCCTGTATGATAAGCACAATGTCATGAGTTTGATCCCTGCTACCAAAAAAACAACAAAAAACAAAGCCAGGGCTTGGCTAGCATGCTTCCTGGGCCACATTCAGAGCAGGAGCTCTTTAAGTGCTAGCGCCGGAAGATACCCAGGATCGCCAGATCTCATTCCATGGGTGCTTGTACTTGCTGTGATCATAGTAGCTTGCACCCAAGGGCAGCGGATGGTCTGGCTTTATGGTTGCAGGTAACAATGAAGAGGAGAATTGACCCTGAATGCACAGCTCCCCTCAAGAAACAGAAAAAGAGAGTTGCAGAGCTTGCCCTGAGCCTCAGCTCCACGTCAGATGACGAGCCTTCCACCCCGGTCAGCCACGCGGCTAAAGGTATGTGGGCCTCGGTGGCCCAAGGCCACCGGCCATCTGGTTATTTGAATCCCTGTTGCTGGGATTGAGCGGAATATATTCCATGGCCCCCTGGGGAAATTTGGTGAGAGTCTACAGAAAGATGCTGGCTGCAGACTCTTCCATTGAGCAGTTGTCCCACAGAGATCGAGGAAACTTCTTGAAATAAAAGGCTGTTACTTTCCTGGAATTGCCTTAGTTGCTGCTGGTCCTTCAGCAGGTGGCACTGTTGGCGCCTTAGAGCCTGGGTCACTTCTGTAGAGGAGGGGCTTTTGGTGCAGCTGTCTGGCCTAATTCTCAGATGTTTGCACACCGTTTCCCAGCTCCTACAGCAGAAACCCTCGGCGGTAGAAGAGCATCACTGTGCCCGCTGTGTGCGCTAAGCTCAGGGGATCTCATGGGTCCGGGTGGAAGTAGCATTTTGCCATGCCTGTGTTCAGGGTTACAGATTCTGTGGATGCTGTTTGAGAATTCGGGAGGTGCTACGCGCATGCTCCGAGTACTGAGCAGGTGGAGGGAGCTGTGTTCCTTTACAAGGGCTGCTGGTCACAGCTTACCACACACTGGGTGCTTTAACAACAGAAATTTATTTTCTCACCGTTGTGGAGATGAGAAGTCAAGGAGTCCACAGGGCCACAGGTCCCTTGGAAGGCCTGTGGGGAGACCCTCCTGACCACTTGTGGCTGCTGCTAGTCGCTGGCTCAGATGGCAGCCTGACTCGTCTGTTGCCGCCTTCCCTCCGTGTCTATGTCCAGATCGCCTCTTACAGTGAGTTGCTCTGTGGATTAGGGCCCACCCTCATCTGCTGCTGTGTTACCTCGTCTTAACTCCATGGGCAAAGTCCCCATTTCCACACTGGGCCATACCTCCAGACTCTGAGTGACATGATTTTGAGGGGAGACTGTATTCAACATAGTACACCAGCAGGTTGAATTTTGCACGCTCCGTGGCATCAGTAGTGAACTGGAATAAACCTGTTAACAGATTGATGACTGGAAGGGTGTGAAGCTCCCTCTGTCTGTGGTAGGAAACACAGTTTATTCACAAGGGGGCTCACTGAAGGGCTGATACTCATCTGCTACAGGAAGCTGGGCCAGAGAAAGGTGTGACAGGTGGTCCAGCTAATGGAACATTTGGTGTAGCTGTGGTCTGGGTCGGCTAAGAGATGCTCTTTTTACCTTGTGTGTGGAAGTATGTATGCTTTCAAAGTCATGGTAGAGCTGGGCGTAGTGGCACACTCCTATAATCCCAGCACTTGGGAGGCGGAGGCAGGCGAATTGTTGCAAGTTTGAGACCAGCCTGGGCTACAAAGTGAGCCCAAGGCCAGCCTGAACCATGTAGTGAGACCCTGTCTCAAGAAGACAAGAAAGAAAGAGAAAGAAAGAAGATCATAGTAGAGCCAGGTATGGTGGCATATATCTGCTAATCTGTAGGCTGAGGCAGGAGGATGACTTGAAACCACAAGTTTGAGTGTGCTCTGGGCCACAGAGCAAGACCCTGTCCAAACAAGGCCTACCTGTCCAGGGTAAGTGAAAGTCTGTATGGTTGGAGTTCTTAAATGGAAAAACAAAACCATACTGGGTATATGGGTTTTACGGACTGTTAAGGAAAGGCGATTTGTCTCCTGCCTGGGCGTGGAGCAGCAGGTAAAGGTAGAGTCTCCCTGGGAGAGTTCAGGTTCCCACCAGGAACAGGGGAGAGGGCCTGGGCAGTAAGGGAGGCCTGAGTGTTGGGGGGATCTAGTGCTAAGTGGTTTTGGGGGACAGTTGCCCTCAAGTAACATCTCTTTGAAGTAAGGAGAGAACAACTCCCAGCTAAAGGAAAGTCAGCACAGTGGTAGCTTGGTTCATCAGATTGTTTCCAGGATTCTGGTAGCAGAATTCCCTCCAGCACTGGTTGCAACTGAATTGCAAGCACTGCATGTAACCTTTAAGTATCTTTTTAGGAAACCAGTCTGATTGCACTTTCCAGATTTCAAAATGCGACCATGAACTGAGATTGCCTCCCCTCTGTGTGCACATACCCCTCTTTCATTTTACCAGCTGGTTTAACTTTTTCTGGAAGTAGCACCATGTGCCTCAGGGCTGACTGCTGCTGTCCTGTGCCCAGAACACGATTCGTAGGTGGCCAGTCTCTGGTATATGACAGTAGGCCAGAGGGTCTCTTGCATTCACAGAAAATGAGGCAGAGGCCAAGACAAACTGACACAGCTACATTTCTTCTCAGGGTTCACTTTGTTTAGGAAGAGGCTGTTCCTCATGGATGCAGAAACTTGCACCGGCCGGGGGACCGCCATCTGTGTCCCCTCCCTCCTAACCGAGGGGTAGATGCTCACCAAGTACTTCCTGGAGAGAGTTGTAAAGGGGTAAGGATAGTGTCCTTTCCGGAAAGCCTAGGATGCTTCGCATCTTTCCTTTTGCCCTTTCCTTCTCCAGCCGCAGCACATTCCAGTAAGCTCTCAGCCTGGGTATCTGAGCTGTGGGGCTTCTCCCAGGCTGCCCCGACAGGGTGCCGGCTGGTGTCTGCTCTGATCCGGAGACTCTGTCTCAGAGATGTGGATGTAACCTGTACCGAGGTCACTGGAGCAAAGTGGGGGTGTGTCCCATTGTGCTGACCACTTCTAACTGCACAGAGGAATAGGTGATGGAAAAATGCTCTCTAGGGGGATGGGCAGAAAGACAAAAAAGTTACTGTTTCTGCTTGGACCTTGTTTTTCTTCCTCTGCGGGATCAGTGTGCTGATTCCTGAGTAGATCTATTTAATTTAACCAGTTTGTTTATTTTACGTTTTTCACAGGGTTGCTTTGAAGTAGTGAGAGGCAAACACATCCTTTTTTGGGGAGTGGGGTGCCCTTTCTCTTAAGGAAACTGGTCTAGATCTCAAGAAGATTTCTCATCAGCTCCCTCTCTCAAGGAAATTCCCTCTCTCCCACATGGGACTCTTGGTCTCGCAGCAGGTGACTTTGGGAGCTGCAGCGCTCTTTGGCCCCATATTTAAAGTGACTTCCCCTCCACCAGATTTAATTCCTTCCTAAATAGGCTCTTGGCCCTGAGACAGCATTGCTTTCCTGCCAGCCAGATTCATGACCTTAATCAGAAACTTTCTTCATCGGTATATGTTTAAGTTGCTCTTAATGAGTTACCGTTTGTCTGGCATGAAGGAGAATTTGAGTTTTTCAACAGGAATGAGTATGTTCCTAGCCGTTGTCAGGCAGGATGTGCTGTTTATTAAAATGCATAATTTATTCTTGGTGCTGCTTACCTTGGCCATCGATGGTTGGAGTCGCCCTCCTTACGTGCTGTCACCATCATTTTTAATCTCGGCATGTCTGCCCTACTGTTCTGGCGCCACATGGACAATCGTGCCAGCAGTCGGAAACCTTTGGTGCCCCTGTAAAGTGAACCCTTCTTCAAAATGACTTAGCAGTGATTTCTGTCAGGTGGAGAAGTCTTAAATGAAAGCCCTAAATAACATCTGGGTGCGGTGGTGGGTGTAGAAGGGGAGCTCCTGGGGAGGTAAATGGGCTGTCTCCCAGTTTTGGTAAGTTCTTAATGAAACTAATGATTTTAATAGACTGACCTTATTACTCCTGGTAATTCATGTCCTCATTACAAAATTGTCTGCTCAGTGTTTGCTAAATTCTTACCAGTCTTGGGAAGCAAAATCTCCTCTCCACGGCTGCAGCCGTGATACTTATCTCCTCCTCATTTAGAAAGAGTGGCCCCGAAGGTCCAGGCGTAAAGTAGGTAGTGGCCCTGGCATTCTGTGGTCATTAGGACTAATCTGTGGGCTTTTCTCTTAAGTCGTGGCAAGCTAGGAAGTGGCTTTATATGCTACGTGCATAAAAGAGAAATGGGTTTTGCTTGCTTCTCTGACAGCCTTCTGGGTCTCAGGGAATTACCTGCTGGGGATGTTTTAGTTCCTGTCACCCTCTTGCTGCAACCCTGGGAAGGGCAGCGTGCAGGAATTAGCGCCTTGGGAGGAAGATGGGCATGGAAAGATCTTTGTGTCACATTCTGATGATGAGGTTTTGTGTCAGTCTCCACTGATTCGCCTTCTGAGCCTTCCACCCAAATTTCATTCTGCCATTTTCACCAGAGATGTTAAAGAAGACAAAAGGAAATTCCATCTCAATGTCCGAGACCAAAAGCTTCAGGAGCAATTGAGTGCGCCAGGGAAGGGAACTCATGCCATTCCCGTGCTCACTGTTGGATGCTCACGGCTCCCTAGAGCCCTGGAGCCAGACCCAGGCACACTGCCCTTTGAGGCTGCCTGTTTTTTCCTCCCCCTGGTACTGGGCCTGAGCCCAAAGCCTGTGCACTGAGCTAATCCCCAGCCTTTGACTTGGAGGTAAGGTCTCGCTCCGTTGTCCTGGCTGGGCTCAAGCCCAGCCTCAGCCGCCTGGAGTGCTATGATAGGTGTGACCCTCTACGTCTGACTGGGTACCAGGCCTTTCACCTTTCCATAGGTTGGCCTGTCACTGGTCAGCTGGGAAAGGAATGCTAGTGCTTTCACGCTGTAGCTTCCAGTTAGCCAGGAATCTGAGTGCCTGGGTGCCCAGGAGAGTCTTCAGGGCTGTGCCCAGAGCTGCCCACTTTCCTGGGGTCACCTCTTTTTGTACCAAGCAGTGCAAGTGCGCACTGAAGGCATGGAAGCAACTGAGAGCAAGGACGTGTACGGCCAGAACACAGTTCTTAATGCGTGTGCGGTGTCACAGAGCACCCGCACCTCTGTCCTTTACCTGGAGGAGACGGATGGGAGGGGCCTGGGGGTAGTCTTGAGCCATCTGGGAGGCTCTGTCTTCAGATCTGCGCCCTGATTTCTCTGGAGAGACACCCGTCTCTTCCCAAGACTGGGAATAGTAATTCCTCCTAGCTTTACTTCTTGGCCTAATTTCCAAAGTGACGCATTTCTCTTTCTCACAAATGCAGAGAAGTGCAAAACAAACAACCAGCCCAAAAAGAAAATGCAGAAAATGAGCA